TTTTGACAATTGGAGTCATTATGATTCAGTGTTGCTGACACGGATTATTCCATTTGCAGAGGTGTCTTCTGGTCCAACATCGGTTCTTGGTCTCCTCACTGCCGAGGCGGTATCTTCCCTTCCAGATGAAGACCCAGCCACTGTTGCTTCGGCCGTGGCCTTCATGGTTGGCGTCTACGCTCTCATTGTTGGAGCTCTCAAGCTCGGTTTCCTCCTCGATTTCGTCAGTGGCCCCGTCTTGACTGGCTGGATTTCGGCCGTTGCCTTGGTCATCTTGCTTGGACAAGTCGGCTCGCTCGTCGGTCTAACGGTCGGCTCTACAACTGTCGAGATCATCCGCGGGGTCCTCGGTCATCTTGATAAGATCCAGGGAATGACTGCCTGCATTGGTTTGACTGGTATTGCGATGCTCCTTGTCTTCGAGCACGTTGGCAAGACTATCGGCAAGAAGAACAAGTGGGTCAAGTTTGTCTGCACCAGTCGAGCAGCAGTTGTTCTTGTCATCTACACCTTGATCTCCTGGGGCGTTAACAAAAATCGAGCTGAGCCTGATTATATGTGGGCTGTGACTGAGATCAAGTCCAACGGTCTTCAAAAGGCCAAGTCTCATGACACCGCCCTTCTCGCCAAGGTGGCTGGTCGCGCTGTTGCCCCGTTCATCGCCATGTCCATCGAACATTTGGGTGTTGGAAAAGCCTTTGGACTTCGAAATGGATATGACATTGACCGCTCTCAAGAACTGGTGTTCCTTGGAACTGCCAACATGGTTGCTAGTATCCAAGGCTCGATGGCTTCTGGAGGCGCCATGAGCCGTACAGCTGTTTCTAGCGAGGCCGGTTCCAGGTCTCCGCTCAACTTCATCTTTACTTCTGGATTTGTTCTCTTGACTCTCTACGAGCTTGCCCCCGCGCTGTACTGGATTCCCAAGGCCACCCTTGCCGCTATTATCGTAAGCAGTCCAGCCTCATTTTAATGGTACCACAGATATACTAACATATTGACTTTCTTACTAGATCATGGCCGTCGCTCATCTCGTTTCCCCTCCCAAGCTCTTTTACCGATACTGGAGAATCAGCTTCATCGACTTTGTTGGTTCCATGCTAGGATTCTGGGTGACGCTCTTCACTTCCACTGAGATTGGTCTGGCCGTGTCTGTTGGTTTCAGCTTGGTATACACTCTTCTCAGACTTGCTTTCCCACGACTGGTCAAGGTTACCCACTCGCAGACTGAGAACAACCACTGGACTCTCTCAAAGAGCCGCCCCAATGACTCGGAGATTGATGTTCCCCCTGAGGCATACCTCGTCAGATTTACCAGTGACCTCTTGTTCCCCAACGCCGAACGTCTCAAGAACTCCATTGTCGAAGACATCAAGGTTCGCTACGCGCCCACCACAGAAATGTCACAGGCCGCCGAGAAGAACCGAATGTGGAACGACTCAACGAAACGCCGAATTACAAAGATCCGCCACCGCGAACAAATCCAACCCATTGAAACCGACCGCTCTCCTCTGCGCTACATTGTACTTGATTTTGGAATGATTTCATTTATTGATACAACTGGTGTTCTACTCCTCATTGAATTGAAAATGACTCTACGCAAGTACTTGGGCAAGGATTTGCAGTTCCGCTTTGTCAACATGGTTCCTCAGGTGCTTGAAAGGTTCACTCGATCAGAGTGGGAGTTTGCTCGCGAAGGTGAAGAGAGAACCGGCAATGAAGACGTCATCTACTCTTCTTTCGAAGTTGCCCTTTTGCACCGCGATGGAGACGAGAAAGACGAGAAGGTTGAGTTTGTGGAGAAGACTTTGGACGTGTAAGGGGTTAAGTCTGGGATGGGGAGAGTAAGGGCTTGGGATTTGGGACTTGCGTGTTGGAATACCAGGGACAGGGGCTTGGAAACTCCTGGAGGAGTTTTGGGAACTAGGGATTTTCTTGCGATGGAATATGGGCAAACGTTACGATTATGATCTCGATATCACAATGCTGAGTTTCTCTCAGCGACAATTTTAGCTTCACAATTTACAATTTTACCGAGACTCTTTTTTACTTTTCATTCTTGAGGATTTGGGGTATCACCTCGGATCGTAGCCTTTTATCAATGAGATCATAATCGACAAAACTGACTAGCCTCTCGTCAAACTGCGAATCCGAGACGTCCCGATCAGCCATCACCAGACTTGACTGACTATACCGAAACAGCTCGTTACAGGAAAGGCTGCCTAGACCAGAAAGTGTAAAGCTGAGACTATAATGCATGTAAGATGGAATGGCGCCAGTTTCCCCCCCTCACGTAGATTCGTAACCGGACGAATCTCGGTATCGAGGGAGGAGGGAAGTCCTCCAGGCTGCCTTAGCGTTAATACGCCTTCGAGGATGTGATTCGAAGGAGTACTTGTTAGAGTCAAGCTATTTGATTTTTGCCCCTCATGGTAGACGCAGCATAGAGTTGGGGTAAAATTCAATAGTCTCCAGCCTGAAATAGAATTGGGAGAATAGTGTATCTGGTTGTCTGGAACTTTTGGATACCTGAGAGGAGGAGGAGAAGGGGGGGTAGGGGAATAGGGGGCAAAAGTGAGAAAAGAGGAGGAGGGGAGGGGGAATATGCGAGGAACCTTGGTTTGGAGGCAAAAAAGAACTGAATTACTTGGAATTTTGCTTGGGGGTGTTTTGGAGACATGCTGGACAATAAGAAAAAGGGGGTGTATGTAGGGTAAATGGTATGAGGAGAGGGCGTGTAAGGGGGGCGTATGTAACTCGCGTGTTAGACCGTACTTGGACACTAAACGGGGGGAAAGACTTTGCTACTATGACCTGACGAGATTTACGACGGGGGTTGTCCGTGGCTGGGTTGGTTGGGGGAGGCGTATATGGCGAGTACATGCTGGTTCCTTGCTTGCTTTGTACCGTAACTTGGGATACAAGGCAGGGAATCTAATCTGAATGGGGAGGAGAGTGGAGGAAGAGGAGGAGACTGCGGGCCTGTGTGAATGGGAAGTTCCGAGCAGGACAAGGCAGTAAGCCCGAGTGGCGATGAGGGAGATTCGAGTAGCGGTAAGGATGGAGTGGGTGAAGTTGCTCAGAGGGGGCTCCCCGGGCCGTTGTAGTCTACTCCGGTGGCGATTTGTCACTGACATGCCTAGTATAGTTAGGTATAATGATGTTTTCTTTTCTTTACTTGTTTGTTCTATTGTTGGAGGGCGTTTCTTGGAGGTTTGTGGAATCGTATATTCCTGGTCGTGGCGAGATGGGGAATACCACATGACGGAGGGACTAATCTCAGGGTCTACCCTGTCATGTACGACTTTTCTTGGAGGAGTAGGAAGTTGAGATAAGGGCTTTTGCATTGCATTGCATACGCATTGCATGACTGGTCCTCCGTTGGCAGTCCAACAGCTATCTGTGTACTCCGTCTACTACACCACCTTGCCGGTTTACTGTTGACATATTCATATTAAGCCTCACCTCTGGCTGAGAAAGTTTGTATTATGTTACTCAACTTCCTGCGGCTGTTTAAGAATGCCTTCTTCTCCTTATGTGAGCATTTATCTCTCCAATTACTGACATGCTTCGTCTATTCCCTGTTACCGTTTCGCGGTAGGGATAGGAGTTCCAATATGTTCGACTATCGGTATACCTACCTGACATCCACAACACATTTGTATGTCTGCTGGAAATACCCTTTGTCTGAATCTAACATGTATTGTAGTTTGATAGCTTATACTATACTCTATGTTCAGGATATCAGGTAAGATAGCTAAATAGTAATTCGTATGTACGCTCGTAGAGATACTCTGTCTATATTTCTCACGTAGTGGCAGCGGCAGTACCATCAGATGGCTGTCAGGTATCCTAACGGCTACTATGTATCTGTGTAGTTTACCCGATTCTTCAAGTATCTGCAAATATCACTGCCCTCACTTGGTATCTGCCATCATGGCTCCTTTATTCTACTATCACTAAATTCTAACAACATCAATATTCTCTTCCAGTATCATTGTATTCTATTATTACCACTACTCTCATCTATCGTCCCTACTCTCGTCTAGTATTAACACTCTCATCTAGTATTAATACTCTCATCTAGTTTCTTCTAGTATCAATACTCTCGTCTAGCATTGTCCAGTACCAATGCTCTCTCCTAGTATCGATAATTTCTGCTAGTATCAATGCTCTCTTCTAGTGTCAATAGTATTTGAGATAGATGTGTAGACATGTGTCATGAGGTCTTGTAGACCCAGCTCGGAGTGATGGCTATTAAGTGCCATATCTCATTAGAGCTCAACGAGAGTATAATATCTGCTCAGGTCGGTACCTCTCTCCATGTAACCCCAAATCAATGAGTCAAAAAGACACTCCTTTATCTTTTGAGCTTTAAAAAACTGAGATTCCGCATGAAAGCATAACTCAATTCCAATCCTGCCCTGGAAAGTGTCTCTAATGCTTGTTCCCTTCTTCTTGTAGGCCTCCCGCATGACTAGCACTTCAAGTTCCCAAACGTGAATCACGTGTTAAAGGAGAAGATAAAAGCAGAGTTGTACATCTATTAAGAGACATTATTTGTCTCTTCTCTGCATGGCTATAGCTCCCTTGCTTCTGCCAAATCTTGTTGGTCACAACCACCACAAATCAACACGAGAGAGCGAAGAAGTATATTCAGCTCTACCCTTCAGCTTTTCTGCTTCCTGCTTCTCTCACCTTTTCACCACATCTAAATCTACACTCTGAAATTATGCAGGTTTCCGGTATGTGCAAATCCTGAGGCCGGTTTGCTGCGTCAAGCTTCTGCCGGCTACCAGTTGCCAGCTGGCACATTGGCCACCAACTCCAGGCAGCTGGCAATGCAAACGCGAGAAACATTTATTATCAGCTGTTCTCTGTTTTCTGAACTTCTCTTTTGCAAAATTTTCACACACCCTCCACCTCCCAATTTTGTTCCCTCCCTCCTCTGCTCTCCGATTTTTGCTCCCCAAGTTACCATCCCCAAGCCCTCCGGCATGATGGCTTCCCTAAAGCCTATCATTGATCATGCCGTACTTCCTCCAAAACTACCTGGCGAAAAAGAAGAGAACTATCAAGAAATCTCCGATGAAATCCTCAGAAGACTTATTCGTGCCTGCGAAAAGGTTGAGAGTCTGGCAAGCTTACCATTTGCTGATGCTTTTCACTCTCTGAGTGAATCTCTCCAGACATGCATGAATCTCAATCAAGGGCGTCTTGACCGAGACGCACTGCTAAAGCACTTTAGCCAACTTCGACCAAACACTGTTCTCATTTGCTACGTTGTTGAACAGAATGCTGCAGTTTTCATAAGACTTGAGAACAACCAGTAAGCGCCCTAACCACTCCGCAAACATGAATTTCAGGTTACTAACGATGATGCAGAAGAAGCGATGAACAATTTGTCGTCATAGAATGCTTCGAAACTTCACCAACGACTGAGCATGTGCTGGCCGCCGATAATGCCCTGGAATGGGATTTTCCAGGGCGTGCTGTGCGTTTGAGCCTGTCGGAGTTTAACGACGAGAATCTGCAAAAAGCCGTTTCTACATTTCTCGAATGTGCAAGCATGGAGAAAATTCAAGATCTGCAAGCTCAAACAAATAAAGCAAGTGTGTCGGTTGCCGAAATTCGAGACACTTCCGATCCAGCTATGATCACTCAGATGTTCATGAGTATTCTGGAGGCCATAGGAGAATTCGCACACGTCCCTCAGCTGAGAAAGAGAGTTAGAGATGATGTGAACTTCGTGACGGGCTCGCTGCCATGGAGAAGATTGCCCTTTTGGCTCGTTTTGCAAGTGGCTGCTCAGAGGCACCTCCACCTGTCACTCGGCGAGCCAGGAAGAGCATGCTACAAGCTCTTGATGGCCGTGTTTTTCTCCGAACTGCTTCACGATGCTACAAATGGCATCGTTTCTCTCGATAAGACAAGAGACCTCAGTGGAAATTTGAAACTTGATCCTAGCTTGGTCTTGACACTTCGCACAAAGCTGTGCCGTCGCATGGCTAAGCTGGAGCAGGAAAGAGCCAATCTTGTGATGCACGGAGAACATTTCGAAAGCCTTTTCAGTTGCACTGCGCCAATGATCACAACTTCTATCGAGTTTTCAAACGATCGTGTGGGAAATCTATGGAATTACTTCAAGTGGAAGACCAAACGGAAGGTTCACCGACTCCCACAAAAGGCCTCGGATAGATCTCTCCAGCTCTCACTTATGAAGAGCGGCAGCTATCTCGACAGACTTCTAGACAGCCACAGATCGCCAATTCCGGTTACCAACAATGGACCACTACTGCTTCCCAACCCCATGGATACGCCTGTTCAAGAGGTTCATGCATTCACAGAAAAGATATTCCTTTTGACACGAATGGAGCAAAAATTTGAGCTGGTCAATCTGCCAAACAGATTCAACACTGGAAATGCCAAAAGTCATTGCTGTACATTTGCCAACAATATTCATGAGACATTTCGGCAGCTCGGGGAGATGTATGATGGCGATCCTCTGCTACAAAGCATCAAACTTCTCACGATATTCGAACTCTGGATGCGAATGGACGAGTGTGCCCTTGTTTCCTGTCCCCTCTTGGGTGACTACCAACCGGTCTTTCCCCCTGAGCTTCTTGATGCCCTCCAGTTGCCGTCTTTGACGGATATGCAGCGACTCCTAGTAGTCCAAACGTATCTGGCTAATCGTCATGCGAAAGCCAGACATGGTCATATATTCAGCGTTCATGATCAAGATAGTTTTGCTGTTCAGTATGCGAAGCAGTCGGAGCAGATGAAGGCACGCTTGAAGTTTGTTATGAAGCGGTCGGACGCTGACCGCACTGCTAAGACCAAGGAGTGGGAATCCAAAAGAGATGAATACGAAACCCACTCATTGCAGGTCAATACGCTGGTTTGTCAATGTACGTTCCAAAACGGGAAACGGGATGTTCGCGGTTGTACGAAATGCTGGCACTGGAGGACGCGAAAGAAACTTCGAATTCAACATCATGAAGATTTTCTTCCGACGGACGAGGCGAAAAGCTATATGATTGTATTCGAACTGGAAATTCCTAAATTCATATCTGATTACCGCGATGCGACATGGAAACTCTTTAGAGATCTGGCACATCCTACCCGTCCGTCCACCAAGTCGCCTTACACGACTCTAGACGAATGTCGTCATCTACAGGGCTTCATGACGGCACCGAGGGGTTGCATATCTCTTGCGTCGGATAAGAAGTGCTTTAGCGAAACCCATTATAGCTATAGTGATGGATTGGTGTCTCTCAAAAGGATCTTGTTGCCATTTGCAGCAAACTTCCAGCTATACGACCACGAAGCCAAGATATGGGTCAAAGATCTATCAGAGTCTCTCACGCTACATCATCTTTGCAGAATCTATGTTCCACTTGGGCTTTCAAGCACAGTACTAAAGCCAGATGTGCACCCAGCCACGAGCTTGGATGGACCATCTTCGTATGAGATTCAAGCCAATACTACCAAATGCCCACCCAGCATGTCAGTGGCAGAATTCTCGGCTTACCAAAAGCTGCTAGCTGGCAAATCACAGCGTTGGCTCAATATTCTGGTGGAATTGGGCTCGTGGAATGTGAACTTTAGCAGCGAGGACACTGCTTTGTTGGTCTCTCAACTAGCTATTCAGGCCGGTCCAGCCACTCAAAAAGAATCTGGACCTTTGCGCGATGTGCACTCGGTGTTCAGGGAAAGACATTTCGTTCAGAGTTTGAAGAAGCAAATTCAGGCCCGAATAGATTCCATATATTCTAACTGGAGAGAGACGAATTGTATGGAGCTTCTCATCAATTTGAGCTTGCGAGGTTTCTCTTTATTGTTAGACACCGATATGCGTGCTGAGTTTGAACAGCTACTCAGGTCAGCGAGAGATGCTACTCTCGGGTGGATTATGCCATCTCAAGAAGAATCGAGAAACACTCTGGATGGAAAAGATGCTGACAGAATCGCCACGTATGGGCTCAAGGCATCCCTCCTTTGTCGTCGTACTTTCGAGATACATCTTGGCTCTGAGGCAGCTTTATCCGCGGCTGATCTTTCCACCTGGATCAAGGCCTCAGTCGCACTTCAAGAAAACCGAGTAATGACTGTCAACAATCTTTCCCCGCTAAGCAGAAGCATGATGATTCGTGATGCGAAAATGATGTTTCGCATAGACGGCTTGATTCGAGCTGCTGTGGAAGCTCATCCAGACGCTATTGCAGATGCTATTGGAGAGATGATCGACATCAAAGGGCATGAAGCCACTGGCAATGAGACGCAATCCACGACATCTTGGACGTTTCTCCAGTCCCCACATTCACGATGGATTCGATGTACTGTGCCTCAGAATCAAGCATGTTCTAGAGGCAGGCAAGTGCTTCACCTGCATATTCTTGAAGGCCATTTCTTTGTGAACGGAAAACGGCGAGGAAATCTCCCACTAGCCATTCGCAATGACCCATCTGTCAAGTCCCTATTTGGTGATCAGAATCTGCATGTTTATGCTTCATCCATGCCAGGCATGGAATACACTCTTGCGTACCCATTCCAAAATAAGCGCGTCCACTTTGGCATGCGCGAATCTGGCGCCATTATTCGAACGGAGGGACGAGATGGTCTATTCGAATTCATACCAAGCGAAGTTTTTAAGCCTTCTAGCGCGTGGAATTTCGACTTGCCGAGGAGCCTGCTGGACAACTGCTCACACTGGCTGAACTTGGATACAGGCATTCTGGAAATTCGGCGGCAGCCCTCGATTTGGAACCGCCGACACAAAGACTGGGTGATTAATGTTTTCGACCGATATGCAACTCGTGGTGAAAGAGTGAATTTGGTTGATCCGTGCTCTTCAGAATTCAAAAAGATTGCCAAAATCTTTGAACACTTTGAGGTGCCACAGATGTTGACGGTCTTTCAATCTTGGTCCGAAAGAGGCAGATTGTCCGTTGAGCTTCGTCACCTAGACCTTGAGTTTCACGTCAACAGTATCGGGCTGCTCTTTTGCAAGCAACTGAAAGCAAATATCGACATTGACCAAGATGCTGGGACGTGGTATGGGCTTGCGAGCAAGATCGTGCTTCGAGACGCCGCAGACACAAGTAAGAGGAGCATCATCATACCAAACGGAAAATTATCATGGAGGTCAAACCCAAACTACCCTGGCATTCATGTGGACACATTCTTCCAAGCATCTGATAGATACTTTCGGTTTGACATTGATCAAACTCTTGGTCGCTTGGTTTCACAGCCGGAACCCCTTTTGCTGTGCAGAATGGCTCTATGCCATGCGGTCACGTCTTTCTGCCTCCCAGATCCTCTTACAGGAGTAACTGGCACGGAAGAAGCGGTACGAATTCTCCAATCAGGCGCAGTTCAACCTTGGTCCCCTTCGTCTTTCCCAGACCTTGGAGAGTTTGCAGTTCTGCTCCCCAAGCGACAGTACTACCCTCCTGAGTTTAAACGTCTGCAGAGAGTGAAGTGGGATAGCCACCTCACAACGACAATCCAAAGTGACCAACTTGAAGCTCTCATTCGCGAAATTGAGAGGAAAGCTGGCAACTTGGCACAATTCTCTCAGACAACCAACGCCCAAAGGGAGAAGTGTGTGGCAGAAGAAGCGTCCCAGCTACGCCTTCGCGCTCAAGCTCGCCGATCCCTTTACGAACGTACAACGACAGATACTGCAATTCTAAGCCAACTGTACCAAGTTTATGTACCTCGTGATAGGCAATCAACTTCCAGAGGCAGCCAAGTGTATCAAGTCGCTCAGATGATACACTCGGATTCCCAGCACATAAATATGGGACGCAATCTGAAACAGATTCTTGATGGCTGGCCTCATATTGGTGGTTTCATGGAAGATATTTTATTCCTGGACGCAGAATCTCTCGCGAGCCAAATGGAGTCACGTATCTGCGATCGCTGGGGTTCCCTGATCAAATTATGCTGCAGCGAGAAGGACAAGCCATCGTTGATCTTCCAATTGGGACTACTGGCGTTCCAATCTAAGGCCAATATGGACATTGTTCTATCTCTGGTAGCTTTCTACTGTATAAGAGAGCTCCGGGACCTCGAACATCCCAAGCATGCGGGTTATGAACGTTTCAGAGAGCGTGGACCTCCTCAACAAGCACTCCTTGAGAAACTCATTCACAGCGCATTCTTGCCATGCCCGGAGACGAATGCTAAGTGTCTATATTTGGAGAGACAAAAGGAACTTGAAAAACACATGGAAGAATGTGTAAAGCAAGGTAAACTATTGGCAAAGGATATACTGGCGCAATGGCCAGAGCTCCCGGACAGTCTTAGCTTCGAGACTTCTCTCATAGATGTTCCCGCCGCTTTGGATGCCATTCGACTAGATTGGAACCGCAGAAAACAAAATGACCAGTTAGAAATCTATGTCGACCAGGTGGATAGCATTCTCATCGCATATCGTCACAAATGCGGTGGTAGAAAATACCCCAACGAACCGCAACTATGGGAAAGAAACATCTCTGATCTCTCTGGCTTCTACCCTCGGGACATAATACCATCATTTTCGCGAGATCTCGTGACTAGGGCCGGTCCAGACTTGGTCCGGGTCAACAGCCACTTTGCAATCAAGTTCACTGATGTTGAGGCGCAAAGTGTTGAGTCCCAGAAAAAGCAGCGTATCTTTTCAGAAGAACCCAGTGAACTTGATCAGATATTGGACGCCTTTTCTAAGTCACCGAATACTCTACGCCAGGATTATAGCAGTGATCTTCAACGAAGTTTGGCTGCTCTACAATCCACTGGCCAAACAGTACTCAGTACTTCCATGCAGCCACTTCCAGGATGTTATGAGATCACACATGCAATTGAGCAACTACGAGGGACGATAGAAGCCTACCAGAAGTCGATCCGAGATGCTTTTTGGTCCGGCAACACTCGCTTTACGTGGCTCACCTTGGGAGACATACTGCCCTGCCGAACCCCTATCGAGATTCTGTGCCTCCTGCAATCTCGAGCTAACCATTCATTCGGTCCTGGAATGAAAGAAGCACTCATTAACTATGGCTGCGCAATTGCGGAGATGCAGCGGCTGATACGCCTCAGATCAGCCGTTCTACTCAACGATCACCGTGCTATAAATGAAGAGCTTCGCAACGTCGGCCACGAGAACTGGAATCCTATGGAAGAGGACCCAGATTGGCTGTTGATTGAGATTGACAGCAACATATTGATTCGTACAGATCAGATTGATGTTGCACGAGCTGTTGTTAATCCTGCCTCGGGCCAGAATAGCGTGCTGCAAATGAACATGGGACGCGGTAAGAATGCAGCATCACATGCACACTTAGAGCTTATACTGACTTGTGCATACCAGGTAAAACATCTTGTATCATGCCTATGGCTGCAGCAATATTGGCAAATGGCGAGAACGTCTCTCGTTTGATCGTGCCCAAGTCTCTCATAATGCAAACGGCAAACATGATGCATTCGCGATTAGGTGGTCTCGTTGGCAGAGAAATATGCCATATCCCATTCTCTCGCCAGACCCCCACGACGGATGAGATGATTCAACTGTACGAGCGATTGCATCGGGACGTCCAAAGATCCAAGGGGTTAATCCTGACCAGCCATGAACACGTGTTGTCGTTCAGATTATCAGGGCTGCAACGCCTTGCAGATGACAAGACCAAAACAGCCACAATGATGATTAACTTCCAGAACTGGCTTGATACTCGATGCCGAGATATTTTGGACGAATGTGATTTCACTCTGTCTCCAAGAACTCAGCTAAACTACCCCAGTGGCTCAGAAAAGGATTTTGATGGGCACCCATTTCGATGGCAGGTCGCAGAGGGCCTTCTGTCCATGGTATCAAAATATATACCACAATTACGAGAGTCTTTTCCAGGAAGCATTGAGCTGTTAGCAAGCTCGGGTTGGTTTCCGGCTGTTCAGTTTCTACGAAATGATGTCGAAGATGAGCTTCATCGGCTTATAGTAGATGATATCTCGAAGGGCAAAGCACCATTCCTTTATATCAATCATGCAATTGACAACGAAATCCAGACCACTATCAAGCGAGTACTGTCTGACCAGAGCTTTGACACAGCGTTATTTGAGAAAGCTACTGGGCTTTTCCCCCAACCTGATAACGCTGCCAAAAAACTACTTGTCATTCGAGGAATAGTTACGCGCAAGATCTTGCTGCTCTGTCTTTCCAAAAGATGGAATGTGCAGTACGGCCTTCATCCAGGCCGAATTCCTCTCGCAGTACCCTTTGCAGCAAAGGGTGTTCCATCAGAGTTATCCGAATTCGGTCACCCAGATGTCACCATATTGCTGACTTGTTTGAGCTTCTATTCGGCCGGACTCTCCTATGAGCAGTTTCGACAAGCTCTCCAGAGTATGCTAGCCTCTGAAGATGCGGCGTCCGAGTATGAGAAATGGATCTCAGAGTGTAACATTCCCCCTCACCTGCAGCATTGGAATCTCATAAATCTGGAAAACGAGACCCAAGTGAGGTTACTTTGGAAGTTTTTATGCCGAACGCAGGCCGTGGCCAACTATTACATGAATAAATTCGTCTTTCAACCTTATGCGCGACAGTTCACTATCAAGCTCCAGGCTTCGGCGTGGGATATTCCTCAAAATTCTGGGGAGGAGACTGCTCCTGCTGCGAGGACGACGGGGTTCAGTGGTACCAATGACAACAAGTACTTGATGCCCATGAATGTTGAGCAAGAAGACCTCCCGGGTCTGTTACAGACAAACGCTGAGGTCCTATCATATCTGCTACAGCCACGCAACCGAAAATATTCAGTCTTGGTTGATCACAATCTTTGGCGCCTCAGTGAGCATGACATGCTGAAGACAATTCATGATCAGGGTATCAGGATTCTTATTGACTCTGGAGCATACATTCTTGAGACGGGCAACAGGGATCTGGCAAAGCTATGGCTTCAAGTTGATGGACAGGCACAGGCGGCCGTTTACTTTCATTCCGACAACCGGGCTTGGGTTGTCTATAGAGATCCAGCGAAGAGAGATACTCCACTATTGGCAACAAGGCTCGCAAATAACTTGGAGAATTGTCTCGTCTACTTCGATGAGGCGCACACCAGAGGGGTGGATCTCAAGCTGCCTGAGAATGCGCGCGCTGCATTGACTTTAGCTCTTAAGCAAACCAAGGACAACACGATGCAAGGTAAGTACCCTCCTCTTGATCATATCCACGAGATGTGTGCATCATACATTTATCGATGGGATGATTCCCATTTCTCGAGGCTATAATAACGAATACTAACAATTGGACTCTAATGCAGCCGCCATGCGTCTACGACAGCTACGCACAACGCAGTCTGTGATGTTTTTCGCACCTCCGGAAGTTGACATGAGTATCAGAGATGTTTGCTATAACCGGCTGCCGATTAATACTCATATTGAATCTCCACATGTCATCTTCTGGCTCCTGGAGCAAACTTGCAGGGCCAACGAAGACTTGCAGCCACTTTTCCAGGCACAAGGCAATGACTTCTGTCGGCGTACAAATGCCCTGTTAAAGTATCCCGACTATTTAACCTCGAAAGATTCTAAACGTAATCTTTTGAAGATACTGCAACAGCCAGAGCATCAGACTCTGATGCAGATGTACGGCGACACATCAAGGTCTTCAACATCGCAAGGGCTCGAAAATATGCTCCCTTCTCGCCTTCAAGGTTTCACAAACAGGCTCTCTCAGTACGATATTTCTGGTGTTTACCGGGCAGATATTTTTGGAGAAGTGGAGCAAGAGCAAGAGCGCGAGCTCGAAGTGCAGCTGGAAACCCAACGCGAAACAGAAAGGCCAGTTCACTACCAAGCACTCAACTATCTCGGACTGAGCGCAACCATCCTGGATTTTTACAAGGCTGGAAAGTTGAATACCACTGATAAAGAGATACGACATGCTTTTGACTATATTGGCGCCACAGAGGTCGGTGAAAAGCATGATATCAAAAACACTGATTCGCGACTCTTCGTTTCAAAGGAATTTGGCCGAACCATTAAGCTTCCTTTGAACGACCCAACTGTAGGCGATCGCTTCTTGGTAAGTCACAAAATATCACATATACTCTCATTGTTCTAGAATCACAATGCTGACTTTTGATGACTTATTGTAGCGCCCCGTAGAATGGGTACTCTGGAGCCCGTCTACCTGGACTGCTCTGGTGATTATCCCAGAAGAAGCTGAACTTCTCATTCCGAAACTTCGAGTTGCCCGAGGCAAAGCAAAAGTTCATCTGATCGCCTATGCGGCTCCTATTACTCGAGCCATGGTGCCCTTCAACCACCTCCGTTATTATTCGCTCCCGCCAGTCCCTCTGAATGCTACGTTTCCTGTGTGGCTCAAAGTCGAGCTCGGCATTCTGTCAGGCCGACTCTACGCAGATTTTGAGGAATGGAAGCTTATTTGTGACTACTTTAAAGGCTCACCCAAGGGAAATATTAGCCGTGGATTCCTCTTAGAGTGGCTTGGAGTCCGTTGCAGAGCTCATGATGTGCTTCACACGCCAATGGGATACATTTGCTTGGACCGAACGGCGACTGAGATGGACCCTTTCTTTGTCCAAAATGCGACTGTAGCTACTCCTGCAATTCCAGCTATCCCGGTTGAAGATACCGTCGAGGAGACAGAGGAAGAGAAGTGGGAAGAGGAAGAGAGTGATGATGAAGAAGACAGTCTCTATGTCGATGAAACCAAAGACGGCAGTGTCGAAAAATACGATAGTGCTGAAGAAGACGACAGTTCTGAGGAAAACGACAGTGACGAAGAAGATGGTAGTGACGAGGAAAGTGACAGTAACGAGGAATACGAAAAGTGATGAGGAATACTAGACCGAAGATGAACGATTACACAACTCGTAATGAATCAGGCAGTATGATGAGTATGAGCTGAGTGGCTTGACACTTGATCAGAGAGTTTAGGATGACTGGCGAAAAATTTTGACATTTGGTCAAGCATTGAGAAAATGGTGTACGCGAATTTGGGAAAGGGTATCAGAATGGTTCAGGGATGGATAGGTCAAGGAAGGATTACCAGATTGTCAGCCAAGGCGAAACGTGAAGAAAATTGGTGGTGCGATAATTTCTCAATTAGATGGACTAATGAAGATGGCTTACTTAAGGATAGAGATGTGAAGGATTGTTCTTGCTCTAAGTGACTTTGCTTTATTTCATCGGCAGCTCATTGCGCGACTACAAGGCCATTATGAGAAATTTTGCGATAATTCACATTCCTGACACAGCCGTTCACCATTCAAGGCTTACGTGACATTTAGAGAATACTGGATGGAAAACGTGATTCGAGCCAAACTGTATGATAGATCTAGGCCGTTGACTCTGCTGTCGTACGTCAGATCTTTAAGTGCCATGAAACTTTGAGAAGGCGGTGAATATACAAAAGTCAGTGCGAAATCAGTTGTAGTGTATAAAACCCCATGTGATTGTCAAGATAAATACATCACCTAAAATAGCAGAGAGCGCATGACAAGTAATATGATGGCTGCTTGGCTTCATAGACTGTTGAGCATGCGACAATTACACTTTGAACTTGATGTACAGCATCTGCCGTTGAGTCATCTGAAATATGATCTACTCATTTTGAGGATAGACCTAGTAGAAGTAGATAGATTAAGTAAAAGCAGATAGTTCTAGTAGATGCAGATAGATCTAGTAGAAACAGATAGATCTAGTAGAGACAGACAGATCTAGTAGAAAGCAGATAGATCTAGTAGATACAGGTAGATCTGGTAGGAAGTAGATGAATCTAGTATAGACAGGTAGATACATATAGGGTTGGTAGAGGTTGATATGATCGGTGTATACATTCTCTAGTTGAGGCAGTCCGAGTACATGTAGCTAGAGTTTCCATATAGGTAGTCGAACTTCTTTGACGAACCATGGACAACGCCATTAGCTCAATCCGACAAATGGGAAAGTTTATTAAAAGCCAACTGTGAGTCAAGATGTAAAGAGTACAGCCCTGTAGTAACTTCTCCTTATCCAGTGAACTTAAGGTAAAGTTTTGCAAAAGTATCCATAATACCGCCTATTAAAGGAGCAGCATCCCCGGCTCAAATGATGTGCTCTCCCTCTACACTCTTCCTTCTACCTCTTCCCTCTGGCGAGATTCCCATTGATCATATTACACCTGCTCTAATGGCTCAACCAGTCTCGTGTGGTGATGAACATGCACCTCCAAGTAGTTTTGTTACTCGCACACCTCCTGTTATTTACGATGATTCAATTATTATCGCAGCTACACACCCTAATCTCCAAGGTAATCCAGTAATTGACGGGTCCTTCCTCTCCGACTTTTACGCGTTCAACTATCTTCTCAAAGGCTTGGGATCTGAACAGATCTGGCTTACAGCCGCAGTATGATCCCCGTCTCACAGGTCGATTAGAAGTACGCTTCTTGCTAACTATTTTAGGATCCGCGTGAATTACTTATAAAAAGGGAACATTACTTGCATGGAAGTCCTTTTCAAGATCGAAAAATCGTCCTGGATCGTGATCTACTTGAGCGTGGCGAACTGACTCCCGTAACCGTCGTCCAATCCTCTGAGATGATCGATCGTTTTCTACAAGAAGTTCGCACTGGCTCCAAGAAAGCAAAGAGTCAAGCAGCCCCTCTCCTACTCTTAGTCTTTTGCCATGGAGCGGACGACGAATTCTTCCTAGACAATGGAAACAACAAGAAAGGTCTCACTTTGACAACGCTTAAAGAAGCAATCGAACCAGGTTGCCGCGTTACTCTGGTTTCAACAGCCTGCTACTCTGGCGGCTGGGTCGTCCGCAGGCCTAGCGACCCTTCATTTCAACCCATGGACATGACTCTACTTTCTTCAGGTTTGAGGAAATCAAATCCATGGCAGCAAAACCTTTCTGTTGGTCGCTATTGTGGATCAGTGTTTACCCATTCGATTATTGACACCTTGACGTCCACTGCAAGCCCGCTCCTTAAACATGTTGATGACGGCGCAGCAACAAACAATGACACAGCAAATAAGGAACCATCGGACCTCCAACCAAAAAATCCCAATCAACAGCAAACATTGACATATAACGCATTTTGCCAGTCAATCCTCGACACCTGCAGAGACAAAGTGCACCGTCTTTGGCGTGAACAGGAGTTCACCTTCAGCGCACAGGGAGACGAGTGGGAACATTCTTGGACTGGCAGGTCGGGGATTCCATTGAAACACTTCGAGCAGCGATGGAGTGCTTTAGCTGTTTGTCCATACACTGGCTCGCTCAAGCGTAAGCTCGATATGGATCCCAATCCTTCGAATCCATCCTTTCAATACAACGAAAGTACACGAACGGGCGGAAAGGAGCTCATTGATGAACTAGGAGAGGCCATAGACCAAAATCGAGTTGTCGATATGGCCCGTCTATTTCTCCAAACATGCCCCGGCGAGGAGAACCGCGGATGGTACCACTTAACAAATGCTGTGCTCGAAAATGCTGCCAGGGGATTGCCTGATGATGAAGAACTGGTACCATGGATTACGGCCGATATGATACGATTTCGATGGGAAATGTCATTGCTATGCGATCACATAGTGTCTTTGTTTGGGCTTCGGGCTCCAAATGGACTAATTTGTCTTCTCTGGGATGACCTTGCATGGTATTTTCATAATGAATCCATCCCTAGGTCTCAACTCGCCATGTACGACGACACACAGACATACTTGTTTCACCGACGTTTCCCACATTCTGGTGGTAACTCTCGCGGGCCTCCATTCGGTCGGGCGGTGGAATACTTGGCGGCAGCATTAGTTGAGACGACTCAGACGTTCGATGAGTGCATGGCAAAAGCAGATGAAATACTTGCATTTGCAAAAGCCCTGGAAGGAAATTTTCAAGAACATGTCATACAAAACGAGAATGTTGTCGAAAGTGGGCAGAAATGGTTTAAAACGATTGGGAAATAGAGTGGCCAGTCACCACTGCGTCGCAAGAGCCAGGACTATGAAGTATCTGTTGGATCTGTTTCTTTGGGGAAAACTAAGTACATGCATTAATCCTTACGAGACCTGGATGGACGTTTTCCTGTATCACTGAAAGCTCAAACTGTTCGGTGACTTATGCTGTGAACCCAACCACGCTGCAGTCATTCATACACAGCAGCCTACTAACACTACATCCTAGGTAGTCAATCAGCCATGTTGCAGTAGATCCGAAATGAAGACATATAGAGAGATCTGGTAGAGATAGAATGAAGTGCAGATCTGGTAGTGATGCTTCCACTGTACCTAAGGCTAACAGATCTGCTAGAGATTAGCCCTGAAGATCTAGCCCCAGATAAGCGAGCTAGGCGAATTTAACGGCCCACTCAGCCCTCATCCGCTGCACAGTGGAGATTCAGTTGGAAACGAAAATAGGCCGCCATCTTTTCGCCCCAGCCCACTTTGCCATTCCCACACCTTCCCACCCAACGCCATTGCAGTAAGTACAGCCCCGATATTACAGCCCTTCCCCAGAATTACTATGGCGGACCATTTCTCCTATCCACTTGCTTAGTTTACTGACATCTCTTCCGTCTAGAGCATGGCTCACTCTGGCTCTGCGATGGCCGGCTACGATGGCGGCGGTTTCGTCAAGGTACGTTGTTTTCCCATCACCCCATTGCTGTGTTGTGAAACTTCTTACTAATTTTACTTCAGGCCGAGGAGACAATGGAGCGCCTTGATGGACGGCAAATGCTCTTTGACAATACCAGTGGTGATGCCAATCATTGGGCTTCCCCCGTTCATGTGTACTTGAACATCAATGATGTTCCAATCAGCACTCCTGACCCCAAAGACGCCGACACATTCTGCTGCATCTCATCCGATTCGCTTGATGTTACATTTGCAATGCACGGCACGCCACTCATTCGGCCTCGATTCTGGTCAAACTGTTTACTCCTAATCTTGGCTTTGATGATGCCTATGCTGGCCAGATTCGCATCTCTTCAAAAGACATCATCGAGGTGACGGCAAAAAAGCATGATGAGGACGCCTTGAACGCATTGAGACGCTTCTGCCCAGCAGCTTAGAAGGCTTCCGGCAAAATGATATCTATGACCATCTTGGCCACATTCGCCGACGTATCTATCCCGATGGGCGTTAAAAAAAGACTTCACGAGAAACACGAAGGCAGGCACCTGTGGTCTCAAATCAAGGAAGCCTGGGCACAAACAATTCATGTTCAAAACGATGGCCATATCAAATTCGAGGTTCTTTTTCGTAGTGGCCACGGCAACATCATGTTCGCCAATACGTTTACTACGGTGGTCCTCGGTCTTGCCGAGCAGGACTCATACCCAACTACCCCGTCCGGTCGGAACGATGGCAACAAAGAGTGTCACAAGTGCAGAGGACGCGGACACTTCTCCAAAGCTTGCCCCAATGAAAGATTCTCCCTTCTCACCAAATATGTGACATGCCGTACTTGCGGCCAGGAGGGGCATACGAAGGCAGACTGTCCGACTCGCCAGTGCAAAAGGTGCTACGAAATAGGCCACTCAGCAAATGAATGTACAGCGCCCTACTGTACTCGGTGCAGACAGCCGGGCCATTCGCGCGAAGGCTGTAACTCTGCTCCTCCTAAGTGCGATGATTGCGGTGGTGTGCATCCCACGATCCACTGCGAGCTCTTCACTAATGGGAAGAAAAAGAGAGGAAACCAGTGAGCATCATTTGGGAATTATCCAAGGATGTGAACCACCCCTGGCCTGCAGAAGTTCTACGATTATCATGGTGAGGGGGAAAATGACGACTCAGTCAGGCAGAGTGGTAGTGGGTGACATTGCGGGACATTTGTTCGACAGCATGCATGCTTCACGAGAAAGTTAGTAGACAGTACATCTGGAGCTCTTAATACTAGGTAGTCAAGATTGGGCCCAGAGGATTGTTCTGGTTTCTATTTATCTAGTTTGATCCGGTGAATTGATTGCACGAGTCTCTCCATACTATAATACTGTGACAGAGAATTGTTCATAACTTTCCTTTTTTTTTTCTTCAGAAATCTCCAGAAACAGTATCAAGTTGTCCGTAACAGACCGAAGTGAGGACACATTTTAAGCGTATAAAATGAATTGCCTAGTCGAGATAAAAAAAGAGCTGAGACCTTGGGTGAACGAAGATTTAGATGGAAATGGGAGCTCCGTGAATGTGAGTACATCTTGTATAAAGAATGAGTCTAAGCCTGGCGATGTTTTGATCATACCTTTCTACAAGGCACAGGCTCTTGAATACCCAAATCACTCAAGGGTATGGTGGACAAAGTCGTAATCGCTAAAGAAGTCTACCATAGAATTAAAATCAAGACCCTTGACGAGGCGCAGGGGGGTGAAGCTGACTTTGTCTTTGTGGATTTTGTGGCAGTCTCGCATCCTGGATTCACTGGAGAGAGTTTCCGGATCACCCTCGCGACCACTCGAGCGCGAGGAATCTCAATTTTCCTTCTGAATCGTGGGTCATTCGTTGGCCACGAGAAGCCCGAAGTCGCTGAACGCACCTTTTAATTATCCCGACTCTACGTTCTATGTGCTAAAGACGGTATCATCGATTGGAAGACCTGTTGCATCAATTGCCAAGGCGACCATACCTTGGACCAATGCACTGCAACACATGAACATATGGCGAACGTCTTGTGCGAGCGTACGAGCTGTGGTCAAACAGGTCATAACGCAACTTGTCCAGACCGCGTGTGTCGCAACTGTGAAGTTCAAGGACACAACACCAATGAGTGTTCTTTCTAATGTAAAACGAAGCATGTTGCAGATTTCCTTTGCCAAACCTGTCAACAACGAGGACATGTGGCCAAAAATTATGCATCTCTTTCCATAGGTACCGTGTTATAAAAAGATATATAGACACGTTTCTATCATTGATCAAATTTCTATCTATCCCTACTTAACCTATTAATCCCTATTAGATCTATCTATCTCTACTAGATCTATCTACTTCTACTAGATCTATCTACTTCTACTAGATCTATTTATGTCTACTAGATCTATTTATGTCTACTAGATCTATCTATCCTTAGTAGATCTATCTATGTATACTAGATCTACTTATCTCTAGTAGATCTACCAAGTTTACAAGTTATTCTTTTTAAACAACTACAACAGCCTCCTTGAGCCGTGATGGAGAGAGTCACTAGCATCGGATTCACTGAGAGATTCCCTGCTTTGAAAGCATATTAAAGTCTTTTAGAGATGTCACATCAGATTCCTTGATAGCTTTCCAAGATTTTCTAAGTATATTAAGTGGCATCCGCTTACAGTTTGTAACAGACTAAACTTAAGTTATGTTAAACAAATAAAAGGAGCAGTTGAGAAACAAAAGGAGTTGAGAATTTGGACACACGAAGGTTTAAATAAAATGGCTATTTTAATAAATGTGAGTATCTCGTATAAATTACTTGGGCTGGCGTGTGTTGCCTGCTGTATGGACTTGATGGGAACGGTGGCCAGCAACATCTTGATGTAGTGAGACTGTTGCCACATTCACACAAGCGGAAGAATACGTTGTTAAAACCGCGCAGTGAGAGAAGTACAGGAAGAGGAAAGCTTAGAACCAACAATGTGGATGATGAGTATAATATAGCTATAAACATTTCTTCTCTGGTCGACTTTATGGTCAGTGAGGGCAAGATCTAGCGGAAGCAGGAGTATGACTTCTCGCATCTATTTAACAGAGACCTGGTATCTCCAATGCAAGTGACGCCTAAGTGTTGATGCTAAATACATATATAGCTCATCCGTACTCATACAACACATAATAGACCTTGATACTGGCCAACCAGTCATGTGGTATCTCTCGTCTTGTATCAAATGTTTGAACTGTACACTTGAATGGCAAATGGTCAATGCAGAGTACGCAGAAGCAGGAATGATGATTGACTGAGCTACTGGCCAGCAAACGTCTACAGGCTATCATCAACATCTTTAGCGCATCCGAAGGAAGAGATAGAGAACTGATCAATTGTGTGCGAGCGAGTAATGCCAATTCTCTCGAGAGAATCGACACACGCCGCAATCAATCATAAACGGTCACCAACACCACTTGTTCAAGCAGTCATGTCTTTCGAGACATGAGGAGAAAGGTAAATCCGAAATGAATATTCATCTCTTCCAAACTTTGATAGTACACAGCAAGGGGGGGGGGGGGGAGGGCTTATTTTTGCGCGACTTCGTTTTGCGCAACCTCATGGTGGTGGAGGCCCTTGAACTGAGAGTCGGAATCTCGCTGCTCAACATACGCCGCCCAAGTATCGCGATTCCCAATAGGGGACTTGCTCTCATGCGACCTCCTCCCAGATAATTTACCAAAAGCTCCGGAGAACAAGCGAGACATGGAATCCAGGACTGGACCTTGGAGGACGTGGTTGAGGAAGGCGGGAAGAAGCATAAGACACGCGCAAATGAGGCCCACGTTGACTTCGACAGTCCTGTGGTATATGGTTAGCCTTGACCAGCTTCGAGTAAAGGCACAGCTGTATAGAGATAACTTACGCCCATACAGACATCTTGGAGAGATTCCAGGAAGCATCGGGACTGCTGTGGAGAATCGGCGTCATTCCGAGGCGAATAAGGCTGGCGGCGCAGGCACTACAAATCCTTTCGTTAGCCACTCAAATCCAGTATTCTCAGAACAAGAGCTTTGACGTACAGTAGACCAATGCTAAAGACGGCAATGACTTTCACCTTTCGCTTAAGATCCATGTTCAGGCCCACAAGGACAGGGACAGGCAAAACCAGTGTGTACAGATCCAACACGGAGCTCGAGATACCAGAAACATAAGGCAGAATCACGGGGTTCAAACAGTGGCCGGAGACGATCGGGTTCCAAGCTTTTTCCACCGGGATGCAGCTAAAGACATTTCCGAAGAACAGGCTGAGACTGAAGCCGACGACCAACACGATGCCGAGTATGACAAGGTAGCGCATCTTGTTCGTTTCCGAGAAGATTCGGTAGTAGAAGAAGAGGAAGGTAAGTTTGACGCAGCCTCCGAGGAGTAAATAGATGAAGGACCCGATGGAAAACCACTGGAAAAGATGAGTGATGTTAATTAAAAAAAGTCGCCGGGAACAGTGGTGAAGCTTTGAGATTTACCTTTAGCATTTCTGTGACATCTTGGATGGGAACATTCCACATGTGGCGACCGATTCCCTTTGTATAACCTGTTTCTATGGTTATTTTATTCAAATCCCATACAGCGAAGAAAGAGCGTCTCCTTACATTTCAACATGAATCCCGAAAAGGCGATAATCATAAACTGCCCATGTTAGTAAGTACTGATCGAGAACATCGCGATTCTGTTTAATTCTCACATATGAAATGATACAGAAGTCTGTTTATTACCCGTTAGTCTTTCGATGAGGTACAATACGGCAGCCAAACTTACAGTCGTCCACCCCAAGTTTGGCCTTTGTGATCCTTAAGCGCGTGTAAAGTCGCATACCCACGGCCAGCGTGGTCAGCGTCAGTAACACCGTATGCAGCGCAATATTCTCCGTCATATGATCATATGGGTCAATGAAATTCGGCTCGACTCCCGGAGGAGGAGGAATCGATCCAAGCCATTGCGAAGCCATGATTGAGTCCTGAACCCTCCCGGTAAAGCTCACGTTTTTTTTTTGTTCGATGAAATATGTAGTATCAAATGAGTGGAAGCAGAAATCTGCAGAGGCCGGGCAGCAGCAGATCGTCAGTCAGTATGTGTCAAAACGCATGGTCCGGGGAACCCAGAAAAAGCCATGCGAAATAATCTCTATTATAACGCACGCCATCCGATGGGAAATGTGCCGAGCATCGCCGGGCTGAAAAACACATGCTAGACTAAATGGAGGACGGGAAGACAAATCCTGCGACATGTTATGTGAGCGCCTGCCTGATTGAATCATCACCTTGATATCTTATGCACACACTGCATACAAAATACAAGTACACAGACGCACATCCTCCGTCTACCTCCGTCTACACCCGCCACTTGTGTTGCAGAAGAACAGATGAGGAGTGGCACACTGGCGAATCCTTTTGGTTGGGTGCAACCCCCACGAGGCTGCCAATTGGAGAACCAGGATCTCGCCGTAAATTGGGTCTTCCCCCAACTTCTGTTGGTTGGACTGGTAAGACACGGGATGAGCATGGCCGAAGTTGCATTTGCGCAAGGAATGTTTGCGTCGGGGTGGCTTTGCCAAGGACCAACGCGTGGCAGAAGAGCCTGTGAATCTAATCTTGTAGAAGCCGAGCAGGATCATTCAAAAAGCCCGTCTTCATTCAGTTCTAAATAAATCATCATTCCTTTCATAAACGGCCTCTTCCACATAGGCCCGAATCTTCATTCTGTGTCATGGTAGCCGCCTGGGGATGGCCCGTCACGGCCTCGGAGTGGCTGAGCACCACCGCCCTCACGCTCACAACTGTATGAGAGCAAATAAACAGAATTCGGATCACAGGCTGACGATATCCCAGTATAACGTGCTTCGAATTGTTTATAATCTGTATTTTCATCCTTTGTCTAAAATCCCGGGTCCAGTTGCATGGAGGGCGTCTCGATTGCCGTTTATCTGGTCGCTCCTCAGGGGAACAATTGTCCATGACTTCGAGCGCCTGCATCGCCAATATGGCCCCATCATTCGTATTGCGCCAGACGAAGTCACTTTTGCCCATGAAGACGCCTACAAGGACATATTCCAGCTTCGTAAAGATCACCCTCAATTTCTAAAGGACCTCGTCTGGTGGAAAACGCAGCCGGGGATGGCAGACTCTCTACTCAGCGCCATCGACCCAAAGCATCATGCGCGCATTCGTGGTCTTCTTGCTCCTGGATTCACGCCTCGGGCCTTGAAGGAGCAAGAGCACATTTTGCACTTTTATGTCAATCTCTTAGTGGAACGAATACGTGAGCGAGTGAATGAGACACCAGAAAGTGGTGCAGTCATTGACATGGTGCCCTGGTTCAACTTCACCGCGTTTGACATATTCGGAGACCTTGGATTTGGAGAGTCCTTCAACTGTCTTCAGGATTCCAAGTACCACCCTTGGATTGCTCTGCTGTTCAATAGTGTCAAGGCGGCATCCTATGTCGCGGCTGCACGATTTTACCCAATCGTTGAGCGTCTTCTTATGATGTGTATTCCTCCGTCTCTGAGGAAGATGCAACGGGACCACTACCAGCAGATCGTGGACAAGGTTGACAGGCGTCTCAACTTCGAGCTTGAGCGACCTGACATCATGTCTCATGTGATACGAGGCACAGAGCGCCGCGAACTACCAGAGGGTACCGTCCACACTACGTTCATGGTGCTGACGACCGCAGGAAGTGAGACAACGGCGACAGCCCTGAGCGGCACCCTCAACTACCTGGTCAATAACCCAGATAAGCTGGAGACTCTAGTGAGAGAAATCCGCGGCACCTTTCAGCAGGAGAGTGACATCGACCTCGACGCACTGCGCAAGCTACCATACCTCAATGCAGTCCTAAACGAGGGACTCAGGCTCTGCCCGCCCGTCCCGTGGATTCTCCCGCGGCGGGTTCCAGAGGGAGGCGATACAGTATGCGGAACATGGCTTCCGGGAGGGGTATGTGCAAAAGCCCGCCTATCTTTTTCTTTCTTTTCGAATCCCTCACTCACCTTTGCGTACCGTTGTATCGTATCCTTGGCTAACTGACTGTAACATTGGGGGGTGGCCCAGACTCCCGTCTCGATACAAGCATACACGATGAACCGTGACCCGGCCTACTTCCACTCGGCCACATCATTCATTCCGGAGCGCTGGCTCTCTGACAGCCGCACAGACCAGGAGTCGCCCTTCTTCCATGATCGCCTCCAGGTTGTCCAGCCGTTTAGCGACGGGCCAAGGGCCTGCCTGGGGCTGCACCTGGCGTGGGCGGAGCTGCGGCTGATCCTTTCCAAGCTGATCTGGGTCTTCGACTTTGAGGTGGTGGAGGATCGCAAGATGCGGTGGGAGGATCTGAGGACATTCCTGCTTGTGGAAAAGAAGCCGATTGAGGTGCGGGCAAGGCTCAGGGACAGCACGGCCTCGGTCGCGTAGATTGCTGCATTTGTCCCTCCCGAAGTTGACAAGGGGACACAGTCACAACATTGGATAAAGAGAACAAATGAACATGCCTTGTGCCACCCACGTGAATCGTGATGACATGCGTTGGTGGTTGCACGCCGAAACTCTGCATGTATTCAGTAAATGGTTGGATGAGACTGCGTAAACGTGAACATACCCCATCAAAAGCCCATGCTTGAACACTCCCCATGTAGCAGCGGCTATGGAGTAATAATCCCCGTGGCAATACATGCATAAAGTCAACTTTCTACAACATATCCATAGGCGATTTCCTTTCTCGGCGTCCGTAAGCATGCCACCCTGGCGTCGCATCGTGTGGACCTTTGCATTTTGCCTGGCCATTGCGGGTTCGTTCCGTCGCCTGTTCTCTTATGAGCCGTGTTTAATGTTCCCACCGAGAAACGGGCATCTAAGCGCTAGAATACTGTGGCGAGCCGTTTCGCCTCTCAGCACAGCGTTGCACTGCAATCTGCCCTTTGGGGGCCTTTTGCCTTCAAGACTCCTCCTGGACATGCCGTTGCTTCCTGGAGTATGGCTATGCACCCTCGCTTGCAGAACTTGCATAGGCTATGTTCAATATCGCGGGATATCATGCGGCATGTCGACAGATATAATCCCTGGAGCGCGTAATATCACTGTCCGTGCGTAAGACGTTGTTGTAACCTCGGAAGTTGCTTTCGGCCCCCAAAATCCAACACCACCCCGGTCCTTCGATCCCAAACAGGCAACACTTGGTCAAAACACATCGCTGTCTTGACGTGATCTCTTATCTCGGCATCTGAAGACGATAGAAAGTCTTGAATGTCTTCCCCGTCGGCAGTTTTTCCGTCCACTCATCTGCCTTGATGAATATGTAGCTCATCTTATCCAAACTGCACATCCCCGGCCCCAACTTGAGATGAGCAAGACGAACGGTTAAATCTGCTCGTTTAAGATAGTCATACCCTTTGGTATAGTGGAATTGCATCATTGTTCATCAGGGTTCCATCTATGATACCCCGTCTCTGTCCCGAAAATCACTTCATTCTCCAGAATACTACAGAGTCCCCCTTGCACTAACGAATCAAGGCACGCACGCCCTTCGTGCTAAGCTTTGGAAGGGGAATCAAGAAGTCATGCGCTTGCTTCACATCACTCTCGTCCGTCTCGTATAGCTCTAATTTTGGCCCATTGGAGCGATAGAGAACTGCCAAAATAAGACTCATCTCCGCCATAGCCAGACTTGAGCGATAATAACACGGATTAGTTTCCTTATACCACGACATATCGGACACCGGGGAACGGGAGAAACTTACTTCATTCCCAGGCAATTTCTTGACCCACGGCAAAAGGGCACATACGACCGATGCATGGCAGGTTTCACATCATGAACCCATCGTTCGGGTATAAACTCTCCCGGATTTGGATATACCTCAGGGTCTGAGTGCATGAAGTATGCAGACATGCCCACGGGGATCTGCAGTACACCATTAGATACAGAAATAGGCGGATAAAATGTTCGGGTTGTCTTACCCCTGGAGGTATCACAAAGTCCTTGTACTGGATAGCCTGGTCGGGAAACACTCTTGGCAAGCGATGCATGACGCCATAGCTGAGTCTATATACGCACATGTGGTTAGAATCGTCTTCTCGTTGGCTTTTTCATGTTCATACCTCAGGGATTCCTTGATGATTCCTTGCAATAGCGGCAGCTGCTCCAGTTCTGCCCAGGTTGGAACTTGCTCGGGCCAGTTGGCCATCGGTCCCTTCAGCTCAGCTTCAAGCTTGCTTCTCAACTCAGGCCTAGAGAGAATGTAGAAGGAGGCAAAGCCAATAGTGCGAGCGGTACTCGCTGTACCGCCTCCAAGAAGGACCTGGGCTTCCTTGGCCAGTCGTTCTTCGGTTCTCTCTTCCTCTGGCATATCGCTATTCGCAATGTGCCGGAAAATAGAGATTCCACTATCCTCGCCTTTGGATTGCTCACTGTTTGCAAGCCGTATTTGCTGCAATGCTCGCTAAAGACTCGTGTCAGAATGTAAGTGTTTCTGTCAATGAGATGTCTGCGGACTAACTTGTCGGAATATGTTAAACATTTGCCCTTTTGGGTAGACCCAAAGCAATAGACTCTCCGGAAGGAGACTTAAAACTCTATCATCATATTAGTTTTGAGTCATACCACGCCAGAAATCGCACTTACTGAATGATTTGAGGGAATCCCGTAAACAGCGGGATAGATCTCACAATGGCGTGAATAATATCATACCTAACATTTGGTAGACACAATTAGCACGAATCTCACCCAAAATTGGTAGAAGCATACCAATCAGAAGCAAAGTCGGGAGTATCCAGAAACCGATCGCCGTGAGAGCCTCTATCGCCAGTACCAAGGCATATTCTTCCAATAATATCACCTGAAAAGGCTGAAAAAGCATGGTCCAGTCGAATCACTGCATTTTTACCTTCCAGCTCTCTGAAACGAGACTCGAGGTGCAGAGCAACTTCTGCAAGCATTGGCTGTAACTGGGTAATTCCTTTCCGCGAAAAGAAGCCTTCCATTGGCTTTCTCCTCTTTCTGTGCAGATCGTGATCTGCTGTGAGCAGATGAGAGCCTACAACGGAAGAATTAGCAGAAATTCTCAAAAGTTGGCGTATCAATCTCACCGTCAAAGTCGATGCCTTTGCAAAACACATCATAGCTATTAGTTCGCCGTTTGCTCTCTGTGACATATATCTCATTGTAAAACTCTGGATCGTGAATTGATAGCTCATCTGGATTCACTCGAACAATGGGGCCTTTGACCCGAGAAAGAAGCAAAGGGAAATTAGCACCAGTATAAATGAGATGGGAGCTATTGCACTTACCATATTTTTTATGCATTTTCTCGACTTCAAATAGGTATTTGCCATCCAGCCAGTAGTCATAGTAGAATTCATACCAGAAGGAGGCCGCAGCAAATTTAGGACCTGGGAATTTGGCCAGAGGCGAAAACCACAGACGATATATCACGAGATATACATTGTAGATGGCAGAGAATAAAACTGTAGCCACAAGGGCAGTCGTCGCAATGGGCTGTGATAACAGCGCCTCCATGATGGACGAATTGTTTGAGAAGCAATGCTCTTGGGAGAAGTGTATGTGTGTGTGTGAGAGAGAGAGAGAGAGAGAGACTGTGCTAATGGGCTTGAAGAGATGCCAGTATTCTCAATGGAAAAATAACGCGTGCATATTGTTACATTCCAGCAGCACATAGTATAAGAGGCGAATGTATAATTCTCTTGATATTGTGGCGCCGTCCCAGCTACGTGTCACATCGGGCCCTTAATTAGCCCGTTCAAAGTAATCTTACCCGTATGCTGATACTCAGATGAATCTTCACGTACTGGCATAAGAGCTCCTTCAGCCTTCCCCGAAGGATTGATCCTCCGTCCAATCTTTTGTGGGTAATGTGCGTACCTAGGTCCTGCAGAATCGGGGTCAGAAGCAACGGCTTGTTGGTTAGTACGGGATAGATGGGGGTGGGGTGTTGCATTGTATGCAATAATAGCCTGCATCCTGTGATGCATGTGGATAAGTATCAGTGCGCAATCCCGTGAAGTCGGTGGCTAATCTGGTACAGCTAAGTGCAGGCTGTGCCGGTCCAGGATGATGGCAGTAAATGTAAGTGCCGGACTACCGTGACTTTCTGTAATTGGTAGTTTTGCGCCGTCGTCTATTTATGGGCCAGATATCGAGGAATCTCGGCGTCACTTGCAGTGTAACATTAAGGAAGTCATCATTCAACAAGACGAAGCCGGTAATGCGTAATGGGCTTATCCCGTGGTCCGGCGGCTAGTAGTTTCCAACGAAGCCCAGGGCTACTTACTTGCCGAGGATAAAATGTCGCTGATTTTCATCTGGCGTTCGAGCTTGGCACATAGAGTACCATCAGATCACATCACTTTGAACTGCCGGTGCACAGCTCTGCAGACTAGATTGTACGAAACGGAACCATGGAGTATCGTTACTCAGAGATCATCGACCCAAGTGTCTATGAGACACATGGGTTAGCCAACGGCATCGCTCTTCGTGGGCATAAGGAGCCTATGAAGGAGATCCGTGGAGCACGTCGAGCCCAAATCGATTGGTCTACTCACGTAAAACCTCTCGCCGACTACAAAGGCGGGCTGGGCCAGCGGTTCAGCTTCATGCAGGTAACTGTTCCAGAATGTCTGCCAGAGAGGCTTGAGATCATCTCGTATGCAAACGAATATGCGTTCATCTATGATGGTAGGTCCCTATCCATACACGGTTCCACAGACCCTTGATGATCTAACTTCTTGTTAAGACGAGATGGAAACTCTGGATCTCGAGAATGTCTCAGCCACGTCGCCAGGGATGCTCGAGACGTTCAGAAAGGGCGTTTTAGACAGCAAGACGGACAGCGAATCGCGTCCCGAAAAGCGAATACAGGCACAAATATTGAAAGAGATGATTGCGATTGACCCTCAACGGGCTATCACGTCTATGAAAGCCTGGGCCAGGTTTGTCCAGTTGGCATCTCAGACAAGAGAATCGCCATTCCGGACATTGGCAGAGTACGTGCCGGCAAGGGTGATTGATGCTGGCGAGCTGTAAGTTTTATCAGTCCCAAAGGCATCTTTGGCTACACAAGTGCTAACGTACTGTCGAGGATCTGGTTCGGCACATTGACGTTTGGCATGGCCCTCACTATTCCGGACGAAGAGTACGAGCTCTGCATGGAATTGGCCCGCCCCGGATACGCTGTCTTGGGACTCACCAATGATTTATACTCGTGGGAGAAAGAGAGACAAGCGGCCGAGAAAGCAGGCCAGGACTATGTCTTCAACGCCATCTGGGTGATTATGAACGAGCAGCAAGTGAGCGAGGATGAAGCCAAAGCCATCTGCGCAGAAGAGATCCAGCGATATGCCACCATCTTCTGCCGCAACGTCGATGAGACAAAGAGGAACTTGGCGCTCTCCAGGGATCTTCGGGCGTACATCGAGGCTGTCATGTACAGTTGCAGCGGCAATCTCGTTTGGAGCATTTACTGCCCCCGATACCATGAATTTTAGGCCGGGCGAGTCATATGCAGCGTGGTTGTATAGCGGGTAAGACGAGGGTGGTAGTGCAGCATTGCGGTTGGATTCACACCTGGAGGTTGAGATAGAGATAGAGACAAAGGGAAAGGCGCAATAATACACCGATGTTGAGATTGATTGGTAACCGTAACCGAACGATACTACAATTAAGTAGCTACGAGGTAGCATGCATAGAGGATTTCGTATGGAGTACATGCAACACACAAGGGTAGTGGCAGCCTGGACGTCCCAAATCCCAGGTACCAGATACAGCCTTGGCGCAACGTGGGTACACGGACAGAGTAGCACCACCGCCTTCCATCACATGAACTGCTCCCTGCATGTACCTCTTTGTTTGAGATCCTGAGGTACCAATCTGTCTCGTTTGCACGGCATCACATCATGTCACCAGGCTATGAAACACGGCTTCTCTTCGTCTCCAGTGGAATGCACAGGTGTCGACCTTATGCATTTAAACGGACTCGTGCTGCATTCCCCTCATTCGCTGTCCTGTCCAACACACGAGCATCCTTGCTGTGTCGGCTATAAAAGAAGTGTTGTTGGTCGCTGATTAGGGGGCAAATCTCCAAGGCTCGCTGCCTACATATTCCTTCCTTCAACTGGGAGATTACGAGGCAATTCTTTGCCAAATCCATTGCGCATAGCAGATTAAGGACAATTCCTGCAAACCTCTATTCTACCTGATATTTGCCTCTGTTTCGGGCTCATCGCAGCGTCGCCATGGGAAACCAGTGGTCACAGTTTTTCCCACCAAAGCCGACATTCACAGAGGCCAATGTAGGCTCTCTAGACGGCAAGGTGGTCATCGTCACCGGTGGCTCCTCTGGTATCGGGTTTGAGCTTGCCAAGATACTATATCAAAAGAACGCAAAAGTTTACATTGCCGCCCGCGATGAAGAGAAGACCCGCAAAGCTATCGAAGACATCAAAGCTTCCGGCTCCTCCAATGGCAGCCTTGAATTCCTTTTACTGAAGCTGGACGACTTGAGCAGCATCAAAGCTTCAGCAGACGAGTTCAAGGCAAAAGAATCCAAGCTTCATGTGCTCTGGAACAACGCTGGTGTCTCTCAACCGCCAGCTGGCAGCGTCTCAGCTCAGGGCATCGAGCTGCAGTTCGCCACAAATTGTCTGGGGCCATTCGCCTTCACACAGCTGCTCCTACCACTGCTCGAAGCAACAGCCGCAGACGAGGCAACTCCCAAAGGCTCAGTTCGCGTGGTGTGGACAAGCAGCCAAGTCATGGAGCTTTCAGCCCCAACTGACGGCATCATCATTGATGAACTCCGCACACCTCCCAAGGATCGAAACCGCAGCTATACCAACTCCAAGACTGGAAACTATTTCCTCGCCACAGAGCTTGCGCGGAGGGTAGCATCATCGTCTATCGTGAGCGTGTCCTTGAATCCAGGCGCTCTTAACACGAATCTTTTGAAGAATGCGCTCCATCTCAAATATATGGCCTACCCGCTGCTTCATAAGCCCCGGTTCGGAGCCCTGACCGAGTTGTACGCTGGAGTCTCCCCGGATATCAGTCTAGAGAATAATGGATCTTACATTATCCCCTGGGGTCGGATTTCGACAGGCGTAAGAGCTGATTTGGTCAATGCATCAAAGCCCACTGAGGAAGGAGGTTCAGGAAAGGCACAGGAGTTTTGGGAGCTGTGTGTTGAGAAAACAAGGGACTACATGTGAATGGTGGTGAATTTGATGCAGCCTTGACAGCACCGACGAGGCTTTGTGCTCAATCTGGGTGGAATGTGTCATCAGCAGATCTAGCAACTAATATCATTTGTCGACCTATTCATGCGAACTAGCTCTAACTTCAATCTTCTTTTTCTACTCAAATACGATTAATTTTATTTACTAGATGCTAATAGGTACACTTTATAAAAGCGTCTTCCTCCACCACTTCTCTTCCTCGACCAGCCATCCTTTTGCACTCTCCGGCTGCCCAAGCATGTGTCCATCACCTGGAAATTCCACAAGCTTAACTTCTTCACCTTTCTTTTCAAGCGACGCCGCAATCAACCGCGCCTGTTCAAGAGGCACAACTGTATCTTCTTGACCATGGACCAGTAGCAGAGGAGCCTTGATCTTATCAACGTGATATAGCGCACTGCGTTCCTTCATGATCTCGTCCTTCTCCTCGTCACTCATAAGCTTTGTCAGCCCGAGGAGCTTCGCAGCGTAACGCGACTCGAGCTTGTGGGTTTTCTCATCAAACTTCTTCAGGTCCGAGATGCCAGACGCGCAAACGCCTCCAGTAAAGGTGTCAGGGAAGCGAGTCAAGCACTGCAGAGTGTTGTAGCCACCAGCGCTGGGGCCTGTGATGCCAATCTTTCCAACGGAGCCAATCTGGCCAAAATACTTGGCGGCAGCATCAGCATCCGCAGCATCGATATGACCCCAATTACCCCATAGAGAATTCCTGTATTCACGACTATATCCTGTAGATCCAGCGTAATTCAGGGCGAAGAAGCCGTATCCCCGAGATGTAAAGTATTGAATTCTGTATGAGAGCCCGGGACCCTTATGACCAGTCGGACCACCGTGGGCATAGATGATGAGAGGAAATGGGACGCTCACGTCCGGCTTATACTTATCATTCGTCGGTTCCCACAAGAACCCATGGATGGTATGGTTTGGAAATCCTTTGGAGGCGAAGCAGACAGTATGGGGCTTTGCAATGAGCCCTTTTGGAAACTGTTCATCAATAGAGAGGCGCAGGATTTCGTTATGTTCGGGTTGGTGAACATTTATCTTGTGTACCGCCTGAGGAACATCGGTTCCGCTGCCCACTACAAGAACATGAGAGTCATCTAATCGAGCGACGGCGTCCCATGTGATCTCGCAGAGTTGGTCTCCGTCAGCAGCCTCCTTCCACGAATTGTCTTTTAGATCTATGGTTACGAGCCGTGCCGTGCCGTTTGACGTGACGACCGCAACCAGGAATCTTTCCGTGACGGGGACGAAAGTACGGCTACATCCACGTTAGACTTTACCGTCTTCTCCAAACAAATAGAGTCGTTGATTTCAAAAGCTCACCTTCCCTCAAGTAACAGGACTTCTCCTAGCTCAGACGTTTCCAAGCCCTTAAGCTCAATCTTCTGTGGCCCAGTCTCTGTTTTTTCGTAAATAGTCGGCTCCAGTTTAAATAGCTGACGATAGCCACCGGTTTCCTGAGCAAAGAACAGAGTATTGCCATCAACACCCCATCGTGGCTCGGTGACGCTCTCGCCCTTTCCACCAGCAACAAGTCGTTCGCCCCGGATAGTGCCAGCCAAGTAAAAGTCAGCAGTATATAGTTTACAGGCGTCGAAAAGGAGATTCGGGTGGTCCCACTCGAGCCATGCAATCTTGTCGCCTTCTGCATTGAACTGTGGCATCCAATAAAAGTCTGCGCCTGAGGCAATTCTCTCGACTTGGGCAGTCAGAATGTTGATTGCAACGAGATAGTTTCTGACCGTGGCCGGGCTGTCTTCGGTGTGGTCTTCCTCAATTGCCAGCACCCATGGATTTTTTGTGTTTGCACTAAAGCTAGAGTATCGTAATACGGGAGATTTGAGCAGCACGGAGGAATATTTGGCGTCTGGTTCCAAGATCCTCACCGCGTTGTCTTGGTCCGAGAAGATGAGCCGCCCATCTGGGAGGACATCGTACAAACTGGCGCCGTATTCATAGACGGTATTCTGGCAGCTCACGTCTGGAGGAAGAACTTCATTCAGGCTGCCATCCTGGGCAACTTGCACAATGGCTCTTCGCGCTCCATTGGTCTCTGTAAAATAAGCCCGTCCAGTGCGTGGCTATCGAAGCATATGGTTAGCTTTTGGTAGACGTGATAGATGTATATAGTATTCATATCCAGTAGTAGAAGCATAGCATTGACATAGAAACTCTACTTACACAAACACGAGGAGCCGCCAGAGACCTGACTTTGGAAACCACAAAATCAGCCGAGATGGGCGATCCCCAGTCGCCGTAGTTGGACGAAACGACCTTGCTATTCACCAACATGGCTGGCTGAGTGGGGTAAAGGCGTGAAGATGGAAACGCCTCTCGGGTTTGCCGTGTACCGCCAGGGCAATTAGGAAGATATTTAGACAATCCTAACAATGGCACCAGGAAGATTGGAAGAGACTTGATGTTGAAAGGTACAGATGCGAGGTTGGTTGTTAACTTATAGGTAGTCTACCTTATATCCCGATGAGAGATACAAACCCCCCTTCTAGAGAGGGCGCCCTTCCATGATGCATGTACACTGTGCAACTCATATGCACTGTGCTAGAACAACAAGTCCATCTCGACGAAGGATTCGGGGTACTAATTCCGAAGCTTAGAATTACAGCTGTTTAGACGATACCAACGAGAAGCAACATATAGAAGTACTTCTTTTCAACAGATTAAGAGCCAAGGTTTTGACGGCACCACGATGTCGCTGGTGATGACAACGCCAATGCGCAAAGGAGCCACCAGCACAATCTGCTTTATACAGGCACCGTATCTGTACAGTGCGGGCCTTGCGTGTTCAACAAGTGCAATACTGCTAAGCTCACGCTCTTACAATAATATATTTCTCATCAAGGCACTTTGAGACATGGTGTTCATGCTATCCAGCAGGATCCCTGAGTGAATCTCGCGTGTACCGTCTTAATCTGCCCCTCATTCATCCCGTCCTCGGTACGCCGTATCGGCCACTAGCAAAAGCCCCCGGTCACTTGCGTGCGCGTCTCCGGGTACCTTTGTTAGCATAAAATGGCGTGAGCTTCATAGCTCATCCCAAGCTCCTCGCTCTCACCTTTGTCAAACTCCGATCAAGGAGGATAGACAAGATGGAAAAGGTGGAAATCACAGCTTTGCCGGCGGGTGCTTCTGCACCACAAACCAGAAAACGCAGGTCCTGGCATCTCAGGGCGGCCTGCGTTGCTGGTCTCGTCTTGTTCGCGGGACTCTACCGCCTTCATTCAAAGCCCCATCTTCCTCATCACCCTGACCATGACCACGACCACCGCCATCACCACCACGGCCATGGCCACAAGAGAGCCTCTCCCTATGGAAAATTCCCCAAGCCAGATGATCCTTTCCATTTCCTTCCATGCACAAGTGAGACGCTTCCTCCTGCTCTTGACGACAACCGTCCGGTGAAGAGCTGGTCGAAGCTCTTTGACCCAAATCCCAACCACTGGAGCTGGGGCAATAAGACGGACGAAGACGCGAATGCCATTTCAAAGCACGACCCTTACGCTGGACGCGGCATCTACTTGTGCGGATGGCTCGATGTCCCGCTCGATTACACCAATGCTTCCGATCACCGCATTTCTCGACTTGCCGTGACAAAGTATCAGGTTTCTGGACTCGCCCCTGTTCATGGCCGCTCCAAGCCAACCACTGGCCACAAGAGCGAGCGAACCATTGTTGTCGAGCCTGGCGGTCCCGGTGGCAGCGGAACGTCTCTAGTCTGGCGATCCGCTGAAATCTTCACTGAGCGTCTCAGCGGTGGCGCATTCGACGTGCTAGGATGGGATCCCCGAGGTGTCAACACGACTCTTCCCGCCCTATCTTGCTTCCCATTTGACGCCGATAGAGATCACTGGTCACTGCTTTCTGGACAGTACCGCGAGGTTCTCGGTTCGCCAAGAGCTCAGCTCGAGGTTGCCGATGCCATGAACCAGGCAATCTTCAATGCCTGCTATAAGACGCATGGTGATCTGCCTCGGTTCGTCAGCACGGCCTTTGTTGCACGCGATTTGGAAGAGATTCGCAAGGCTCTCGGAGAGGATGAACTCACGGCACATATGATCTCCTATGGCACGGGCATTGGGCAGACGTATGCAAACATGTTTCCGTCGAGCGTTGGCAGGATGATTCTGGACGGCACTGAGTATGTCAAAGACCACAGGCTTTTGGGTGGTTTTGGCTTTACTGCTCTGGACAATGCCACTGATGCATGGCATGATGGCTTCCTTGGGGAGTGCATCAACGCGGGGCCCGAGCATTGTGATCTGGCGAAGCCAGTTGATGGCAAAGCTGTCACTCTAGAGAGTCTAGAATCTCGTATGGAGACCCTCGTTACTTCTCTCATTACGCGACCTGTGGTAGGATATACATCCTTCAGCGGACCATCCATCATCACGTACTCTGCCTTGGTGGGTGCCATTTATAGCTCGCTCTATAATGCATTCTCATGGCCCGCTTTAGCATCCCTCCTCTACGAGTTGGAAGCTGGAAATGCCACCCTTGCCTCCGCCATGCTCGAACATTCAGCATGGGAATACGATCCTACCCTGCCAGCCATTCCCAACAAGAGACCTTCAACTGACGAGCTGACCTTTTTGGTTATCTGCTCGGATGGATATGACGCCGCACTGCCCGAGGACGGCCTCGACTGGTGGGAATCTCTATGGGCGAACATGACTGCCAAATCCTGGATCTCGGGTAACTCTCGCTTCTTCTCTGTTTTCCCATGTCAGCGCTTCACAGAGTACTGGCCCACCCCAGCCGAAGTATACCGCGGCGACTTGAACGTAACACTCAAGAACCCCGTCCTCCTCATCGCGGAAACATATGATCCTGCCACGCCGCTCCGAAACGGCCGACGACTGCTCAATGAAATGGGTACCAACGCTCGCCTGATTGCGCACCACGGCTATGGCCACTCATCGCGAGACAAGTCCGACTGCACGGATGCCATTGCGAAGAACTTCATCCTGCACGGAGAACTACCTGATGAGCAGGAAACCGCGTGTTACGCGAATGAGAAACCGTATCTGTACGGCGTGGACAAGGGCAAGGCGGGCGAGAAGAAGGATCCGCTGGCGATTTGGAGCGAGCACATCAAGGAGCTGCCATACCTTACTCCTCGTCTGATTTAGAGAGAAGAAAGTGTAGCGATCACATGCCATTTTTACTGTTATTTTGCCTTGGAAGGATAGTTGAGCAGATGATTTGTAAAGCATGATGTCTTGTGTATTACTATATCGTCCTAAGGGTATCATCCGTTTATGTAAAACATTTAATCAAACACAACTTACCTAAAAGAAATGCACCTCTTATTAAGAAGGAGGAAATACTAGTAGCCAGCCATCTATAGTCAAAACTCCAGAGGCATCCCATCTAAGGTACCATAGGGCTGACATGGGATGGGCACCAAGTCAGGGGGGGCACGTTGTCGTACATACGCAGTTAGCTCATTTCCAGCCTCACTTCCAAACACCACCGATTAAAACAAACGCCCATTAACCAAATAAGGCGGGCGATTAAGAAAACAAAGAAACCATTCGCAGAATAAAGAAGAATTTAGACAATTATGCAAGGGGTCGTGACGTCATTCACCCGCGAATAGAGAGGGCTCCTGGTTCCTGGATTTCCATGTGACCCCCTTGCGCAAGTGATGTCTGTGATCACAGGTTCCGAGATCCGTGATGAGCTGCGCTCATTCGACCCAAGCAAAAAGCAAAGAAATTTGAAACAAACGAATATTAAAGCCATCATAGAAACTTACCAGACGATGCTAACACTGATATTAATAGCAGTAGCGCACCACAGGGGTCATGGTTGATGACATCACCGCATACGGGCGAGAGACTGTGACTTTTTTCGTTTTGAAATCATTAGTGTCATACGACAGATATGTACAATCAACATCATGGTATATATACAAGTACAGCGCACGGCGCCGCTCGCTTGCCTCCTCGAGTCAAGCCCCCCACCTCCTACTGCTCTTGGGTCTCCTCCTAATAGATTCTCCCAGCGGTTGCTTTTGTATTTTGCAAAGCGCCTCCTCCGGACTCCTCCGAACATCGTGGGAAGGGCTCCCCTCTCGTCGCCGACCAAGTAATGATCTTGGTGATGGGGACCGGCGATATGATGGGCGTTGATGTGATGGGGATAATTGTCGTGGTGTAGAGGTTTTGTAGTCGAGATAACTTGATGATTTAGGGACTTGCCTGGGGGTCGGGGTGTCGGATTCAAGGGTATCATAGTTGGTATTGTTGAAAGAGGATGGGGTATCGAATGAGTCTAAAGTGCAGAAATCGTCTTCGGGAAACTGGGCGGTAGGAAACTCATCGTCGTCCTCATCACCGTCTGCTACAATGTGTACAGGTAGTTCTTCCTTGTCGTCAGCGACATCCGTGGGGTCGAAAGAAGATCGAGTCTCTGCAGAATCACAGACAGATGTGACTGTGGTATCGCAGTCGTCGGATTGAGATGTGTCGTCATCGTCGCGAATCAAAGACCGTCTGATGAAGCGAGCACTTAGTCGGCCAGAGTCCGAGCCGGAAAAAGACATGGATCGCGAGGGTGGGTTGGTTGAAGTGAATGTTGGTGAATCAGCAGATTCCGCTGGAGAACCCTCGGATTCGGGTGAAAGAGGCATATCTGGCGCATTCATTGCGCAAGGCTCCGCCATAAGGGAGCCGTGAGGAAAGAAATCGTCGTCGTCGACAAAGTAGGGTGCATCGGCGGCGCTGCTGGCCTTGGTGCTAATGGTGTGAATGGAATCGGTCTCGGAGAACGACGATGACGTAGACGCCACAGAACCGGGTCCATGGCGGTCGAGGTAATCGTCGGGGAGGTAGCTTGCAAAATATCTGACAATAGAATCGTAGGACTTGGTCCGAAAGAGCTGGAGGGCGTGCTGCCACTGGTCAGAACCTATCAACTTCGGGTTGGCAATGATCTCTACAGCGAGCGATTCAAGAGACTCCTCGAGTTCGGTGATCCGCTGCCGCTGCCGAGCCGCCATGAAGCGATGGAACTCTTCGGTCGTGTCCGCATGCTGGGAGATTTCGTAGACGTCGTGGTGAAAGGCCTCGGGGTCTTGGAGGGTGTAGGTAATGGTGTTATATTGGTCGTGTAATGTCGTGAATAAATCGTCCCTCTTGAAGCCAAACTTCCAGGCCGGCCACGACAGGTCGGGGTCGTCCATGTTGTAAGTCGGATCGTCGAGAAGGACGGGGATATGTGAGTCGATGGATATGCGAAACAAGTGTGTCGAATAAGGAGCCCTGGTGTCATAGAAAGACGGCTCGCTTAGAGCATAATACTCGAGATCATGGCCATGGCGAGGGAGTCACTGACGAGTACCACTAGCAATAACTGACTGATAGTGCTCGTGTCTTCGTGATGATTGCGTGGAGAACTGTATATGTTGCAGAGTGATGTCGCCAGGGCCCTTGAGGTTCTTCTCATACGAGCGCAGCAAACTGGGGGAGGCGCGCGTATACCCATTGCCCCAAGCACCCGATGGTGAGACCGTTGCAGCCTGAGGCACCGAATTTGCCATCCACTTGCCCATCCATGGTTGGTTAACTTTTTCGGCTGCAGGCGGCGCTAGGGCTGATCGAGATTAGATTATTCCTAGCGCGATGCGGGCTCCACCGAGGGAGTCCAATCAGTGGGCGGTGGCTGAATCCTCAAAGCTTGGGCTGTGCGCGCTAATGCATGCCCGTTTTTCAGGTTGGATCAAAGTGTAACCAACGCTGGAGGGCTGTAGGGCTCATTGTTGTTATTATTGCTACCGTACCTCTCGGGATGCCCTTTGAGAATGGCCAATGAGTGCGATGCGATTAACCAGGCAGGTTCCAATATGGAGTAAGTGCAATATTCAGAGTCTGTTCAGCACGATTTGTTCAAAACCATCTCAATTCTTACTCATTACATCTTAAATCGCCTCATCCTCTGTCCGCCCGCGTTTGGCGCTGCTGCGTCTGTCTGTGTGCGTGTGTGCGCATAAACACTCACTCACGCACGCTTTGATTGGAATCCGGCCCACTCCTATGCAGACGACACATGGATCAACCCCCTTGCTGATATCATGGACCATCATGGACCAGCATGGACCAGCATCCCTGTTCTCTGCCAATAGCCTCAACTACAGTGGCGTTGTTGCACACCACACTGTTCAGCTTGGTGCGGCCGTTAACGGCGGCGACAAACTCTTGCACCCCGGTCGGGAGAAGAAAAGTCTGCCCAAAGGATGACGCTCGTACCAATCGCCTGCCCATCGCTTCCGGGAGGGCTGTGGCTGATGCACCGTTTGCCAGCCCTTCTCTACGCCACCGTTGCTAGAAGCTCTCAGAATTTGAGAATTTGAGCGGCAAGTGACCTCATGGCCAGGTACTGGTGGCCTCTGCTCAGCAACACGAGACGCCCATCGTGACGGCTTCACGCTGACGATTACGGAGGCAGAGGGTGAGAAAGTCGCATTCCTCCAGGCAGCTGAGACAACCCTCCCACTGAACTGGGTGAGTTGGCCTTTTTTGATCAGGAGGATGCCGTGAGCGCCGAACTCAGTTGAATACAGTTTTCACCGGATCCCGAATGATTATTTACGGTCATTCGCACGACCTGCGCTGACGGTTTGAGGCTCTTCTCCTCTCTCTTTCATCTCATCATCAGCGCTCTGAGGTGTATCACGTGCAGATGAGTCAGCGCCGAAGCAGTCCTCATTCTCTCTTTCTCTCATGCGATCGATGGCTTCACAGCACCGGCGTGAAAGAAAGATCTGGTGAGTTGCGCGCATGCAATCTGTTCTCATCATTTGCTTGCTACCGACCTTGCCTGATCTATTGATGCCGTTTACTTTACCACTACGGAGATCGCGGTGAGAAATGTGATGAATACCAAAGTTTGTTTCGTCAGCAAGCGCTGTCACAGATAGCCGAAAGGTCACTGCGCAGCAAGTGTTGGCGCAAATCATACTTTCAGGCCTATCGCTGGTCAGATGGCCTCGTGGAGTACGGAGTAGTGAGAGAGAAGGCCTTGCGGAATATGCTCCAAGAGGCGCAGTCTAAATGAACGCCGCTCCGCCTCATTCCATCGTCTGCCCATTCTACCACTCTAGGCCTGCAAGCCTGTTCTGCCCCAGGTCCAACTTACCAATCCCGCCTTGTCAGTGTGGCCCTCCCGAGCACTCACATACAAGCAGCTCCCGCTTCTCTTTCTGGGGGCTAGAAGGCTAGAACCAACCAGCTGCTGGCTTGTTAATCTAGTTCCCGCCCCGTCGCTGCTCATCGCGTGCAGTCCAGCGTCTTGTCCGCGGTCCGCAAGGCACCCGGTGCCCACTGGCTTGGTGGTTGGTTGCCTTTTTTTCCATTTTCAAGCGTTCCTATTTGTACCTGTCCATGACTGCTTGTAGCGGCTGAGACTCCCATCACCAGGCCTGCAACCTCGTCTTGCACTCAGGCCATCTGACACTGGCTACCATGACCATGACCTTGATATAGCGCTTTGGCTGCTCGTTCCTTGCATTTATTGTGCGCCTGGACGAAAGCTGGCCTCTTTTCTCTCCTTTTTCAACCAAATCCTACCACCGTTGTACTGTTTATTACTCGCTGTCGCTGTGACACATCTTGCACAAGCAACCCTTCCGTTGACCCCGCTGCAGCTCTTCTGCTTATTTTCCCACATTCTGTTCCCATTTCCTCTTGACCGGCTTCTGCCTGGACGAGTGCCTGTTGGAGCTGCACCAGGCTTCTGAGTGCTACTACATCCAACATACCCTCAGGCTTCAGCCCTTCCCGCACGCTTATTTCCACCTACCCGCCCAACCAGCCTGCCTGCCTTACCTGCCTGCCTGCCTGCTCCCCTCTTATTTCTGAGGCACTCACTGTTGCTCATCACCACTTCGGTGCTGTCTTGTAGACACATTTGCATCACCATACGGTACATGGGCCTTTGGCAAGGCACCATCTGCCATTCTCATGTTCGAATCCAGGGCCGAGCCCTCGGAGGGGGTCTCGGAGGAGAAGACAGAGCCCTTTTCCCAGTCAGAAATCGACGCCCGATTCCACGGCGTCGGAGTCGATGAGCCCAGTATCCCCACGGACCCAGAGGCCGTCCCGCTGGACGTCTTGCAAGTCGAGGATCACCACCACAAGCAAGGCATCCGCATCCTCGTGCGGCCTCTCACCAAGCTTCCCGGCACGCGCTCAGTGAGCCCCGGCAGCGACAATTGCCAGTGGCTAGCTCTCCGCGCCGAAGTGGCTTCCTCAGACAAGCCTGAACACAAAGTCCTGGCGGTGACTCAGACCTCCAAGGACATCAAATTCTCAGTCAGGATACCGGGGTCTGCCGAAGACGACTTGTCACGGCCGCCACTGTGGTGTGAACTCTATTACGATCCTGCCAGCGACAAAGTCATCTTCCTGAACAGATCGGATGTGCCCATCTTGCTCGGCCGTATACTATCTCATTCCGCCGCCGGCAGCCCTCCACCCAACGAACGCCATGTCATCAACCCGGGTCTCGCCAAGGGCCTCAGACCAGGCACCTTTAGGATCAAAGTGCGAGATATTGCAGTACTGGACTTTCGCATTCTGGAGAAGCGGCCCATTACGATTTACCAGGAGCCAATTTCCTTAGCAGTGCCTGAGGACTCGCTTTCACCATCCCCATCATTCATCACTTCCGACCAGGTCAACACAAGCATGAAGAGAGCCCTTACCCCGGATGAAGACATAAAAAGAGCGAAACGCCGCATCTCGGATGCCGGCAATGGAGCCGATGACGGCGTCATCATGTTTTTAGGTCCGGCAGAACCCCTTGTCTTCCCCCTTCCTAACGCGAGGGAAGGCAAGGAACTGGCTGCGTCCACTGGCCATGCTCTCTTGGATGCAGGACAAGGCGAAACGATTGCCGTACCCAGTGTCTGTGAACTTGACGAATACCAGCTGACCAAGCGCGAGCCCATTGCACAGACGGCTCTGTCAGCAGTCTACACTGCATCACACTCCCAAGTGCCGAACAACATAGTCACTGTCAAGGTCCTCAAGACCAGAGTTGCAAACCCAGACAACAAACCACTGGTACATGAGCGGAACGTCATCCGCCAAGCAGACATGTGGCTGCGAGAGTGCCAAAGCCAACAGGACCTGCAACACGAATCTATTGTACGCTACTACGGGGGTGACGCCAGATTTCTGAGTCTCTACATGGAGCACATCGACGCCAAGGACCTTACTGCCGCTGCCCGGTGGAGAAACAAGGGCGATGATGAGTTTGTAGGAACACGAGAAGACTCCATTCGAATTCTACGTGACATTTCTAGCGCCCTCAGCTACCTCCATGGTCGCAAACTGGTACACAATGATATCAAGCCCGCGAATATCCTGTATTCGCCCGAGCGTGGTGCCGTGTTATGCGACTTTGGACTGACCACATTGGCAGCAAGCTCGCCTTCTGGGGGTGGCACTCCGTACTACATCCCGCCTGAGTTCATCACCCGCAAAAGCCGAGGCCCAGCCTCAGACGTTTGGGCTTTGGGCGTCACGATGCTGTACACAATGCGCTTCATTAAATTCCCAGATTCGCGCGCGCGCAGACAACATCCCAAGCCGCTGTACTGGCAAATCGCGCAGATCCACGGCCAAGCGGCACCTGTTTCCTATAAACAGTACGGCAATGGCCAGCCTGCTGTAAACCAGATGCGGGACTGGCTGACGGAGATTTACGAAGCAAGAGAGAAGCTAAACTCCAAGGACCGCTTAGAACGATTGGTAAAGGATATGCTGGCGCCGAATCCAGCCCAGCGCATCACGATGGAGAGGATTGTCAGAGATCTCGCTCTAGAGCAGACGAATACAGCTCGCTAAAAGAGACGAAGCATCTAAGAATTAGATGTCTCTAAGAGGTTTTTCTTCTTTTCCTCTTACAGTTTCATTTTTGTTTTTACACTTTGCATTTTCATCGTTTCGGGTTATGTTCCTTTCAAACATTTTTGACAATTAACATTGGGATCTGGAGTTCATTTCGGAAGTATATATATACGACATTTACAGAGCAGATGGCAAGCGTATTTGAAGCGGCACAGGATCGGACATCCAATGGAGTAAGCAGCATGCAGATATGCATTTCGGCAATGACTGACTGAAGCAGGGAAGAAGAAATCGACCATTACTTTCCTTTTCTTTTTCCTGCTTGTTTTATTTTCCTTATTGTTCCTTTTTCTCTTTGCTCTCTCCTCTCGAGACTTTTTACTCATGATACCTGAACATTGGAGAAACTACATGTACATAGTCATACATTTCTTGTACTATTATTATTTGACCTTTGCGTGGCAACATTGGCAGAAAGCATACGCATCAGGAGTTGGCGGATCTCGCTACTGCATTAATATCATTATCTTTCAATTCGTGGTATCTGAAGTGTCCTTTGTTCATCTATATCGTATATCTTCCCACCTATCTCGTATATCCACCTTTAGATGCCCAGCCCCAGAGAGAATGCAACCGCCAGTCCAACAACTGTTGTCAGAACAGTCTTGTCGGTACCCAGAAGGCCAGCAGCATTCTTCTTGTCCTCTGTGTCAGTGGCGCCATCCTGAGAAGTACCATTTTCCTGCTGCTCCTTGATTGCGTGCACAACCATGCCATCCGAGGTCGAGCAGTTGCTCAGCCCCCCCAGCACTGGTGGTGAATCGAATATCGGCGCAGTTATACAAGGCGCTGCCAGAATCGCCGCTCGTGACCACCTGAATAGACGCCAGAGTTCCGTTTGCGATATTGTCAAGGGTCACGGGGAGCTTGTCGATGCAGAGAGTGCCCTTGCCGGTGACGTTGAGGAGGTCGGGGGTGAGTGAGATGTTGAAGTTTGTGGTGTTTGCGCCCAGGCCGAGGTTGATGAAGAGGTATGTCCAGGGGTGGTGAAGTTCGAGCTCGATGGAGCCTCCTTCAAGGGGCCAGTTGGTGATGTTGCCGGCCTTGTAGGGAACTCCGCCGCCTATTTATGTGGATTGTTAGTGAGAAAGAATTTTCTTGTTGTAGGTAGGAAGAAGGGGGTGGGGGGGTGGAACGAGGAGAGTTCTGTGGTGTTTTGGGGGGGAGACGTACAAGGATAGTCCCATTGGCTGTACTTGTCCATGTTTTTCTCAGAGAGGGTATCGGCTCGCCACTCGGGATACACGACACTGAAATGTGCAGTGACGGCTTGTGCAGCGGCCAGGCCTAACAGGAGAGACTTGAAGGCCATGTTTGATGAGGATGATCAGGAGAGGCGGAAAGATGGAGAGAAAAGAAGAGACCAAAGAACCAAGTGCAGATGAGTAAAGACAGTGCTAGCTAAAGATTGGGATGCACAGCATCTTATATATCCACAAACTGCAAACGGGGAATGGAAAACAAAGTCCAGGAACACAAGCCATGTGGCACTCAAGACATCAAGGGAGGAGGGCGAGCTGGAGCTAGCAGCTTAGCAGGCGATTAAGCTTGTTTTGAGCATAATGGACTGGAGCAAATGGGAAGCCAAGAGTCTGTTTAGTTGGCCCATTTTTTCGATAATTCGATTCCCAGTTCTTTGTGGTCTGAGCAAATAATTTGTTTACCGCTGTCTTGGGGAGAAGAGCTGCTTGCCGAGGTTTATTCGCACCCGGTTGGTTGTGAGAGGAGGAGGGTGATGAGATGGGAGAGCGATGGTGTAGGTGCGTCTCTTCTTGAAGGATTGATTTATGCTTAGTTAAGATACTTGATGAATAACATGTTCAATCTTTATATTTTATGCATTTTTGTTTCCAAATGTTTCATGCATCTGAAGCAACCTGATCTTCGAGATTGATTGCCTTGTTAGGATTTACACCACCTGAGCTCTATATTGACACGCACTTCATGGCCTCTTTGGGGTATCACGATCCAACTTGTGTGACGATTCAAAACTTGCTCAAATGCACGCAGGACGCAGAGACCCGGCGCTGGGACCGCACTAAGTCTTTTCTCTCTTTTCCCTCTCATTAGCTCTATCGATATTTTGCTTCCCTTTTTAGCTCTTTGCATTCCAGCTGTAGAATCTCGTTGCTGCATGTGCATCTTTCTCTGGTACCTTGATGGATTTGGTACCACGTGCCAGAGATTCTCAGCTGTTTTCTCAATTTTCGTAGCATAGCGTCCAAACTCCCTTGGCATACTCTCTATCATGTCTCAATGAAGTCTGACTGGATAAGATATTCTATTTTTACATGTCGACATTTCTCTCTCACACTCCAAATAGCATGCTCACAGTCTTATCATAGAAACACCGAGCCTACCCTATATAAATATCCTCGCCTCAGGGGAACCGTATGATTTGACTCGTGTTACTGGATACTGTTCATTAATTGTATATTCTCATTTCATCTGGTCGCGATATCTCTCAAAATCTAGACTTGAGATAGTAGCGAGATGTAGCGCTACTAGATCCACTGAAGAAATGTGCCTTCAATCTAACTTGATGCTCCTCTCAATCTCCTATCTCATAGCTCTCCTCAAATGAATCGCCCAATCTCAACTTTTAATTCTTCAATAGCTGAGAATGATTTCCATTCTCCCTCTGGAGAAACTTTAGAGAGAGATTTCCTGCCTCTTATCTCAGGCCGCGATGCTCTCTACCACGGGTGGTGGCATGAATAGAGCACAAGTACCTCGACCGCCTTGGGCAATATCCCGATAGCTTTAAATATCTTTCTCTCACAATCTCACTCCTTTCTCACTTCTTGAAATGACTCCTCCGATCCCCCGATTTTACCTCTCTCCATCACTCTCTTTGCTTACACATCTGCTTAAACTTGAGTAAGTTTTATAATTGTCGATCCGCTCTCTCCAACCTTACCCCAACAATTTGAAGGCCATCAGGGTGCACATCGTTTATACAGTTCTTTCATCCTGAAATACTGATGCTGGATTCTAGTAGCTTCTATATATCCAACCATGCCTCGGACAACGAAAACAGTCAGACAAGAGGCAGAAGAAGAAGAGCCCTCATACCCACCATGCATGTTTACATCTTCAGAAGAAAAGACGCTCTACAAACGAATGAAAGATGCATACATGGCAAATTACCAGACCTGGGACGATGAGGCCTGTGAAGCTTGGCCACATCTCGTCGAACATGCTTCACTGGCACCATCAACAATCAGCAAAATCACAAACCATTGGATCACCAGAAATATGACCAGCAACAAAGTAACGTGGGCACATTATGTTGCACTCCGCATCATCTACAAGGGGCTTCTCTTCAAGAGCAAAAAGATGATGAGGCTCATTCGATTGAAATACCCGAGAGCCAACTTTAGCTCATATGCCTACAATGAGGACTATACCAGGCCATTCAAGGCTGAAGGAGAGCAGACTAGACCACAAAAGACTGAACAGGAGAAGAATCCAAGCACAACTCCTACCTCTCAAGATGAACCGAGTGATCCCCTATTGGGTAAACGGAAGCGACCACTGCCCGAGAATACGGGTGGCAAAGGCAACGCCGAGCACAAGAATGCTCCCAAGTCTCTCAGACAGAAACAGGATAAGCCATACGCCGCAGGGCACGAAGCTCCCGATCCACCTGCCGCTCTGAATAAAGAATTGCCAGATATTTTGGAAATACCGGCGAGTAGCTCTAATAGAAGAATGGGTCACCAGGATATGGATCGGGACCGGTTTATGGAGGCATTAGAGACCCACGCAAGGATTGTAACTGAGAACACCAGGGCCTTAGAACGAAATACAAAGGCCGTGGAAAGAAACTCGGAGCTATTTGCGAGATTGACGGAGCAACTGCTGACTCCCGCCGCAAGAGATGATGATGAGTGGGCATTTATGCGGAATTCGAAGAGGTAGTATTTCCAACTTATTTTTTGGGCACGAGTTGAGTGCATTCATTATTTCTAGCTACACAATACATCTCTATAATGGAAATAATATCATCCGCCTTCTATTTACATGTTGCCATGCCTCGTCACTAGCATCAACTCATCCCACTAATTCGATAGTCTCACAGCTTTGACCCTTCGGGTGAAGCCTCTTTTTCTTCCCTCAAAACGTCCTCTCTCAAGCGAACTTCCACCTGAGAAGGCCCAGCTTTGCCAAAGCTCACCAACACAACTCTCTCCCAATCACCTCCCCTATCCGAATCTTTGAGCTCAAGACCCGGCTTTTCCAGGCCCAAGACAACCCTCTTATCGCTCTTCCTGACAAACAAGTGGTATGGGCTCATCACCTTATCAGCCCACGAGATGTTCGACGTAACGTGCGCTTTACCCTTATCCGTGTCCGCCGTGGGAGTCGATCTCAAAAACTTGAGTAGCGCTCTGCGCTGCTTCGTATAGTACACTGGTCCCTCTTCTACCGATGCCGTAGGACCTTTGAGGAACTTTGTGAGAAGCGAGAGAATGTAGTATTGGGGTGGGAATAGGATCATCTTGTTAGCAGCGACGCGCGAAAGGAACGTCTGCGGAGGAGCGAATAAAGCTTCAGTATGCTCGACTCCACCATCGGGCGTTGGGACCAGCATTTCAGATGGCACGCCGGTGCGTGAGATGGGGATTAAATACAGATACATCTGAGTGGTGAAGCGCTTTGGGACTCCTACTGGAGTCACCCACCTTGTAAAAGGTACGAGCCCATCTAATGCACATTGTTAACAACTAGTGAGCATTAAGAGATAACCTCATAACATACCTAGGTCGGGCTCTGCGCCAATTGACTTCAGATAATCCGCAAACTTGATCTGACTCCCATGAATCTTCTTCCTCGCCTCATCCCTCTCCTGCTGCGGCAAATCAACCAACCGACCATCCTTATTAGCAAGTAAAATGCCCGTCTCCTCAAAGCACTCCCGAATAGCACCTAGCCTATACGCCGGGCCATCAACATGCCGATCCTCCGCCCCGGGAGCCGGAATCTCGCCATCGTGAAAAGCATCCAAATTCCCTCCAGGAAACACATGCGCCGAAGCAAACGAAGTCGAAGTCTTGACCCGATGCAGCAGCAAGACCTCGTTAGTGGGGGACAGCAGCACAATGGAAGAACTCGGCCGCGGCTCCGGAATCGGCTTCTTCGCTGCTTTGGGGTCTTTTCCCTCCTCCTTCTGGGGTGATGCGGGCGACGAGTAGAGACGCGTCCAGGTGGGCGATTTTGAGGCCATGATGGTGGTGAGCTGGATTGCGTGGAGATGCTCAATGGTCGGTCTCGGTCTGTGTGATGATGAGGCCAAGCTGCTGACACGACGAGGCAACGATCTGGTGACGGCGCACGAGACCAGATTCATTGAAACAGAGAGAGAGAAGAGAAGCCGACGAATTGGGGGTGAGATTTGTAGGGGGTGTTTTTGAGCTTGCTGATGATTTGCACGGAGTCGCGACGAGCCGAGGTCCGGTTCGACGGTTCAATTTTGCGGGGAAGGCCACCATCTTGGCTCTAATACTCCGTGCTCCGAGAAATGGGGCCCCGATCTCATCTCACGCGGAGATAAAATGGGCCTGCAAAGATCATGAGTAATAACATCTGAATAACGTTGCGTCGTGAGAAGCATCATGGCATATACTATACAAAATTCCTATGCAACATCGTAAAAAGGCTATAGAACAAGAGGAAGAGAAAATATAACCCGCCAAAAACTCCTATACGTCCGTATCCATGCTCTTCCATGCTTTATTAATATCGTTTCCTTTCTTTACCACGCAAATTCACTTTCCATAGGCAGCATATACTCTTTGACTCGCACCATTGCTTCACTTCCATGGTGCTCACTTCGCCATCAAAGCCCACGCGCGTTAATTGCCCGCAATTCAGCCACGTAGTGAAATCTTCTAGCACAATTGGATCATAGAGCAACATCTTCTCGTGCCATGAAGGGTTTGCCGGATCGGTTGTTCTCGGCGCCGATTTTACAGCTTTAGTGATGTACTCGTAGCTGAGAGACCGATCCTGAGTTGAGGTGAGTACTAGCGATGGATCCGTATCGTCCATGAGTGACAAGGAGAGGTCGACTGCTGGCGGCGGTGAGAATCCAGACTCGGGAGATGAGCTCGGATTCGGCGACATGCCGAGATCGCTATCGGATTCGGAATCCGGAATTTCCACAACAGCTTTGACAGCCGCTGCTTTGGGCTTTCGCGCCGTGGATGCTTCTGCTACAGTCTCTGTCGACACCTTTTTGCCTTTAGAAGTGCTCGCCGTGCTGCGTTTGGTGGTCGAAGCGGCCTTCTTAGGTCTCCCTCGTTTTAATGGTGAAACAGGCGCCTGTGCAGATGGTGGAGGTTCGTGCACCTCAGGTGAGCTGGCACTATTCTTTCTTGGTCGTCCTCGAGGGGTTTTGACCTCATTGTTTGCAGCATTTCCTCCTATAGCTGCAGAGGTAGTAAGCGTTCTCTTGGAACCAGGATGCTCTAACTGATTTTTGCCTTGCCAGCACTGCTCCAACAGGGATATTTTGGCTTGCCGCGACTTGACCGCCTTGAAGCCGTAGGAGGCGATTTCTTTGGAGAGTTGGGCATCTGTGAACAATTCGAAGGAAGGTTTTGAAACAGGGGGCTCGGATTGCTGCGGATCGCCGTCTATGCAAGGGTCTTTTGGTTCTGTGGGTTGACTATTGGCAGCAGATTTGATGCGCCGCTGTATCGGTGATCCAGTAGAGATATCACTACCTATTAGCACAGAGTCCTCGTCCACTAGTTGGATAGGCTCAATGTTTTCGCGCTGTGGAATTATGGCAGAGTCGATGAGGGACACGTGTTGTAAACTAGTATCGACTCCATCGACACTCACAGCAGACACAGTAATCTTTCTATCGACGCCGGTGTAACCGAATGGATCGTCGTCAGCTGCCACAGGTAGCAGCTGAGATGACCTTTCTATGATTCTGCTCATCTCAAGATCGAATAAATCTCCGTCAACATCGCGAGCAGCAGCGGCCCACAGTCTCTTCCGTTCCGGAGGCTCGATGCCGTCGCTATTTAGAGGAGTATCGAGATCTATATACTCGGTTTGGTTCGAGCGTCTCATTGCAGCGTGAAGCTCTCGTAGAAAAGTAGGCGAGTTTTCAATTGCTAGTTGGCTTGATGTTCCAAATACAAAATCTTGCCTTGCGACTTCTTGGAGCGCCTCTGTTGGAGGTAATAAAATTGGTCGTGGGGGTGGAGTTGCTTTCTTCTTTTGCTTAGCTGCACCCTTGGATATCCTCTTTCTCGGCTTCGCTTTGCTTTTCCCTTTAGCGGCTGGGGCATCTGACTCCTTGGTTGTGCTTGTAGCGTCGTCATCTAAGACTGGCGGCGCTGGTTCTGAAGGATCTGGAACTCTATACGCCGATGTTGCAATTTCCGTCAAGGTGCGCGGCTTTTTCTTCGGTGCTTTCTGCTTTACAGGGGCCTTGGTTTTCACCCCAGGAGACGGCTCTGTAGGCGCTGCAGATGTCGTAACAAGTTCGACGAGTTTCCGCTTTCTTAGTATGGAGGTATCTGAATCCGAGGCCATGCTGGCATCTTGCTGCAGATTATCCATGGTGCACTTGTAGGCTTCAAGAATCTGCTCAAAGCTTTTAGACGCTTCCTGGGCTTCTCCTGGTGAATGTAGGCCGTCAATAGTGGGGGAACCTAACGGAAGAATAGCTGCGGTCTTATTCGATGGAGGAGTCCAGTCAAGGCGCCGAACCGTAGCCGCTTCTAGCATGAGCGGCTCATTGATATCGTTTTCAGCCCGTGTAGACTTGGTTCTGATTGCAGGAGAAGATAGGTCAAACGTCGGCTGCTGAGCAGAGGGTGGCTCAACCATGTCGATTTCCATGGGTATTGCCTCGTCAATCCCACTTTTTGGACTATCTGCTTTGGACTTGAACATTTTCCAGCGCTCATCTTTCACGGGAGAGCTCGACTTCGCTCTGAATTTAGGAGGTGTTGCGTGGTGTCTCCGAGCCTCTGGCGTATGTGTGGTAGGGGGTTCAATAATTAACAGTGAACTATCATCTGGTTCCATGGTGCGAGATCTGGTTGAAACTGAGGGAGTCGGCCCAACAAGTAGAGGTTCGGTATGCTCTTTGTTGCCCGCCTTCTTGATTTCCGTCTCCTCGTCGGAGGAGATGACCAACGCTTGGTTGCCATGTTTAAGAGACCGGATTTTGGCATTGGGTGACAATATGTCTCCGACTGCTGGCAAATCCGGCGACGATGAGGGAAAGAAGCGAGATTTCTGGTTGCTGCTTCGTGATGGCGACAGGAGAAAGGCATTAGGAGATGCCATCACGCCGACAGCAAATCTCCGAGAGCGCAAAGCGCATCTCAGATGGTTGACGCGCAGCACGATGATGGACGCGTGAGGCCACACTCATAAAGTTCCGGGAAGCCTTTCGGCGCATGAATTGCGATTCCGTCTCTTTTATCCCCGCCTTGTCCTGTCCATACAACAGAGCGGTGTTGTCAACAATCGTTCACATCATTTAGTATCCATTAGTCGCTGACGCCTCCCGAAGGCTTCTGGCGAAAAGCGGGGCGAGCCGCAAGTCGCGAGAACGCCACGCTGTCACATGACGGGTCAGCTGACGCACAGAAAGCCCTCCCCGCCCCACGAAATTCATGGGCCATGTCAAATTTCCTAGGCGAATTTTCGCTGTATCCCACCAAACGGCTCTCGACAACACTTTTCCCGCCAAATCACTACCTCTACATCACCACTACCCCCCTCCCACACAGCCGAAATGGAGAACGACCGTGGCGACATCGTGGACCTGTAAGGAAGATTTTACGCAGCATTGTTGGAGGAATGTCGAAATGCTGATTGTGTTGATCCAGCTACGTCCCGCGCAAGTGCAGCGCTACCAATCGCATCATCAAGGCCAAGGACCACGGCTCTGTCCAGATCTCCATTGCCAAGGTCGACGAGAACGGCCGAGCTGTCCCCGGCGAGAACCACGTCTACGCCCTCTGCGGCTTCATCCGCGCCATGGGCGAGTCCGATGACTCCCTGAACCGATTGGCCCAGCGTGACGGCCTCGTCAAGAGCGTCTGGAGCGCTCAGCGATAAATTTTGCAAAACAAAAATTTGGAAGAGGTACAAAACAACAACAACAATGCCGAAACAAAGGAGAAGCCTTGGATATGGAAGAAGCAGGTTAACTAACCTGATTTGCAGGGACTAGCTCGGGTATGAAGGCAGGCGTGGAAACTAGAGTTGGCTGCATGTAGCAATTCCAATTCAAGGCGTTTTGGCTCCGTTTCGAGACAATGATTTGCGACGTGGAACTATGCGATTCGGACGTGACGTTGATTGAACATTTCTTATCATCCTATTAAACACCTACCGGCTAGCAAAGTCTCCTCGGACGAGCACCAACCTGCTCTCTATGATCGGGGATTCTGGGGCTACCTCGATAGTCCTCGAGCCGAAGAGAAAATATTTGGCCTTCAAAAAGCTGTGGCGCTCAAGTTGCTCGTCATAGTACAGATACGGGTCAAACATATTTAGTATTTCAGTATGAGTTTTTCCGTATTAATTTGGACTTATAGAATTACTAGACAATTACTCCCAGACCTGATTTTCCTTCTCTACATTCCACTCTCGAGCCCTTCCTTGTAGGCACTCAAGGCACGGTCCCTTGCGCCTTTATGATCGACAATCTGCTTGGGATAGCCCTGCTTCTTCGCTTTGGTTCCAGCACCTCGATTATACGGATCATGGATTTCCTTGTCGGTCAATTCTTTCAACTCGGGAACCCATTTCCGGATGTAGTTGCCGTTAGGGTCGAACTTTTCGCTTTGAAGCAACGGGTTGAAGATACGGAAATAGGGCTGCGGATCAACTCCGACACTGGCGCTGAACCCCCAACCGCCGTTGTTACTCGCAAAATCACCGTCAATCAAATGCTCCATAAAGTATCGCTCGCCCATGCGCCAGTCGATGAGCAGGTCCTTGGACAGGAACGAAGCAACGATCATCCGGCACCGGTTATGCATGTATCCCACGTGGTTGAGCTGGCGCATCGCAGCGTCGACAATGGGAAACCCAGTCCGTCCCTCGCACCATGCTGCGAAATGGTCTTTATCATAGGACCACCTGATGTTTGAATACTCGGGTTTGAACGGCTTGTTCATACTGATTTCGTTCTTAGTAATTATTCATTCATAAGAAACCTCCTTATTCACACTTACCACACATATGGCCAATTGACTAGGACGTGCTTGTAGAAGTCTCGCCAAGCGACTTCGCTGATCCAGACTTGGATGCCCTGATGCCCGCCGTCTAACTTCTTGGTTTTATTCCTGTCCCTGGCCGTTCGAACACACGTCCTGGAGCTAATTGTCCCGCTCGCAAGGTGGACAGACAGGCAAGATGTGCCCTCATCTCCAGGAATGTTTCGCTCATCGTGATAGTGGCCAATAGCTTCTTCGCAGAAATTTTCCAGTCTGGACATCGCTTCGTGCTCGCCACACGGCCACAGGCCGCGAAATCTCTTTTTCTCTTCGTCACTGAGCTGTTTATTCCCTGGTGCGTCGGGAATGCGACAGTCAAAGAGCTTCTGAAACTTTTGCCGGACTCCATCTGGATTTTTCTCAGGCCGATCGTAAAGCTCCAAGAGATCTAGATTCTCGTGTATATGCGCCATCCAGGCTCGGTACCAAGGGGTGTATACGGCGTATTGCTTGCCAGAGCCGCTATGTAACTCTCCTGGAGGCACGACGCACGTATCGTGGACAACTTCAAATGACTTGCCATTTTCTGCAAAGTGGCGGATCATCTGAGCTTCTCGTCGCAGCTCGTCAACTTCGTATTCCATATTGGCAAAGAGGTGGTTACTGCCCCATTCTTCCATGAGCTCTAAAATGCGATGTGGAATGCGTTTCCTCTTGTCCACCGTTTCCACATACAGTGGAATATCGAGGGCCGCCAGATCATCTTTTAGGACGCTCAAGGTTCTAAGCATAAAGTCTACCCTGACGGGCGAAGTGAGATGAGCCTCAAAGTCTTGAGGGCTCACAATATACATGCAAATAAGAGGAACATTTGCCTCTTTCGCCTTGGCACTGGCCAGTGCAAGCGATCGATTGTCGCTGTGTCGTAGATCCATCTTGAACCAATGAACCACTGCGTCCTTGGGCTTGACTTGTTTACGAGCCCCAGCCGTTTCTTCCAAAGCCGCAACAAGCGCCTCGATTGGTCGAGTGATTTCGTCAGAATTGTAAGCATGAGCTCGGAAGTTGCTCATCTCATGTGGATAAAACTGCCGTAGCACGATGCCATATTCTTCAGCCTCTCCCGCGAATGGATGGGGCTGTCGAAGAGCATCTCCGTTGTTGGCCTCATGCTTTGGCTTTTTAGCACTAGATCCGTTGGTTTTGCCTACAGGAGAAGCTGTCTTGCGTTTTGCACCCTTTGGAGCCATGGTGGAGAACTTGAGTGTCGATGAAGTAATTCGAGTTTGTGAGAAAAGTGGTTGCCAGTGGCTTCTGGTGGTGACTCGAGATCGGCTTATAGCGTGGAAGCTCTTGAAGAACATGTACAGTTAATTGAGTCTGTAGAAGAACATAATCATGGGTGGGAAAAGAGATGAATAGAGAAGAGTTGTAGAGCTACGCGTTTATTCGGCCATTTCGCGGTTTATCTAATCCATTTGCGTTTTACTTTGCACGGTTATGAGGTCTGGTCTCGATTTGGCCTGCGTCATTGGCGTTTGGAGATCGATCATTTGGCTGTTGGGATGCCATTGCGATTCTAGTGGCTTGTTATCCCTGCGCCAAACGGCGAGACAAGGCGGAGACTGCCAGAGGTGACAGGCGAATTAGATTGAGGCAATCTTAAAATACAGTTGAATAATTATGTACTAGTTGAATCCTCTTGTTGTTTCTACTGTGAGCTGAAGGAGGGCAAATGGCAGAGTCGGAGAGATCATCTCATCATACATGTTTAATGGTAGTACTCGATACTTGATCTTCCACACAACCCCCTGTGTTTAGCCTGTACCCGCTACTTTAACCACCACTAAGCTGCAGCTACAGATCGGTTTGCGATTCAGAGGAAGGTGCCAGCCCAACGTTAATTGTTAGGCGCGGTTAGCTGCACCATTAAAGGGAAAAGTCAAAAATCAAAGCCCATCCATCTTCGATACTTTCACTCGCAAAACTGCAGCAATAAATTCACCGACACAAAGCGATTCCAATCCGTGTGAATGATGCTGCATCTCGACGGCAACCTCGGCAGCTGCCACCACCTGTCCAGGCCAATTGCCGGCTGAGCCAAAAGCGCTACTAATCCATCCCGTCCAATTATTACCAGCCCAAGATTCAGGCAGAGCAAGGATTAATGGTTTGGTGCCTTATCGCCAGACCGCGACGCCACTGGCTGGGCCACGACGCGTTCCGCTTCATTTCCAGAACAATTCCGATTTCAACCATAGGGCGTGATTCTGGAGAGACTTCCCGTGCCGCACTTGTACACGTTTTGGATGCGAAGCCGAGGGCGACACAACGGGGTCGGTCCTATATTGCTCTGTGGCACAAGGCCGGCATCCCAGAGATTGAGGGGCCCCGTCCCTCTCACGAGCTTTTCCTCCTGCTAGCCCATAGGCCACAGGGCTGCTGCGGCAGAGACAGATCCGTTGCGCACGTCCTGCTCGGCCTTGAGAACCCCCAGCTTGTATTCACCGAGAACGCCCCTTAGGGCACACGAGTGCTGCCTCACAAGCACGCGGTGCTTTCGACCTTACAACGCCGCTCTCTCACCAAAGTCTCTTTGAGATTCTCCCGGTGGCACCATGTCTGGCGACCTGACCTGGCGGCCGTTGCCGCAGGCCACATCATCTGACATACCGATGCTTCTGGTGTCGGTTAGCATTGGCACCGCCGCGTACACCGTCCGCATCACTGACACGGCCAATATCTGGGTTGAAAGCCTGGATCGAAAGGCCATTTGTATGAGGGGGTGGAGTGAGAACACAAGCATAGACCCCAGTGACACACCCGAGAATATGGCCAAATTCCTTGGTAGCCTGAGATCGGCCCTAGATCCCACGCAACCGGGCCATGAGCAGACTTCTCTCACCCTGTCACCAGGCTCCTTCACAGAGGCCGGAGAGAACGGCCTGACCCTCATGGTTACTTGTCCGCTGCCGGGATTTCAACCCCTCAAGTGGCCTATTCATCTTAAAAAGTCTCCGCCGTCGGCTATTGCTACTGATCTCGTCTTGCCTCTACTCGAGGCTCAATTTGCGAGAAACCAAGAGGTGGAATCGTTGGTGCAGGCACTGAACCAGAAAGACGCAGTCATTGCAAAATTGGCCGACAAATTGGAGGCTACCGGAACTGGTCTTGAGCATGTCTTTACCTCTCTTTCGGGAAAGAAAAAAGTGTCCAGAGCTACCGCGGAAGACAAGGTCAAGGGGTTGGCGCCATTTCGCCAGAGTAGTTGGAAGTCAACGCTCAATACGATGGATGATTACCCAACCAATGTTGGTGATCTTGCGCGAAATGTGTTCACTGGGGAAGGACTGAATAGACGTTCCCTGATACAAGTGGACGCATCACCAGCACTGGATAAATGGTGGCATGATTTCAAGGGCACGTCAAAGCTGGTGCACCGGAACAAACAGCAAACAAGCACTACGACAAAATCACAATCACCAGCTGCTAAATCTACAAGTGCAGAAGATGATGATTTTCAAGTTCAGCCAACTCCTCCACACCTTCCATCCAGGAATAAAAGCTCGCCTATAGCCATCCCGGATGATGCTTCAACAGAGGACGAGGAGGAGTTGCCGACGGCGCCTCCTCCAGCAGCACCGTCTGACATGGATCCGCAACCCAACACAGGAAAGTCTGCGTCACGTATGGCGAATGTCGGCTCGGGTGCATCGAAGCCTGGAATTTCATTACTGGACACCAAATCTGCCGGATCACGGGCGACGACGGCACCAGTCTCGAAAGATGATGATGAAACAGCGTCTGAAGCTAGTGATGATGATATGACCTCAATCCATCCTCCAGCTTCCTCTGCGCCAACACCCATACCCGCGTCAGCTGCACCTAAACCACCTTCTAAGGTAGGGGGCTTGGGCCGTATCGGCGGCACCGCAAAGACAGGCGCAACAGAGACACCAAAAGGTGTCGAGGCGAAGGAAGATACGGAGGCCCGGCCGACCGCAAAGCCTCCCACTCCGAAGAAGTTGGGAGTTATTGGGAAGAAGGCGGATACGGCAGGCTCAAAAGCGCCTACGGCGGATAATAGTTCCAAGCGTGGTCGCACCGCAGAGCGTGAAGAGCTTCAACTTGAAGATGAGCCCAGAGAAACATCACAGGAACGCGCTGATCGAAGACGGGAAGAACTGAAAAAAGAGCTTGAGAAAAAGGCAGCGGCAGGGCCGGCGAAGAAGAAGAGGCGGTTCTAATCTGCCCATCCATTCTCCAAATCATACACGTTGGGCGTCATCTGTCTAACATGGCTTCACTAAGGATCAGCGTGTCGTTGGATAACTGATAAACGAGCTCCCCACTAGCTACAGTCGCTCATTCCAACAGAGACATGAGCTGCACAACCGGCTTAAGCCGTTTCTGTGCCTCCTGGGATACGGTGCAAGAAGAGTATTCTCTTGTAACCTTCAGTCGTCCAATCTCGTCGAGCTAGACTTGGTTGGGAGGTTACCGTCGGCCAAACACGCCGTCTTCCTTTGAGCCATTTATGTTACGCTACTATGTGGCACATGAGTTGAATGGTCCCGTAAGGTCCTTGTCTCGCATTCGCGTTGTGCTCAACTGTCTATCCTGAGTAGTGGACGCGCCAGCGGTACATTCTGCAAGTATTCAATGCCTGGAACGGCCCATGGGTATAGCACTTGACGCGAAGCGCCGGCTCACGTCACAATGAACTGATGATGGCACGCGAAACCCTTTCACTAGGAATTGAACATCCACGGATTATGTGCTCTTCTCCTTGATACGATTATCTACCAAGAGATGTTACTGAATCCAATATAGAATAAGGCGAATTGGATGTCGCAATATTGGATATAGTTTTGGCTGGTGTTCTGTAAGGGACAAGCACCACAGATACCCGGGGCAGCAACCAACATAGCCAGATCAGGATGCTGCCGCTCTCTATATAAGTCCACTTCAAGACAATCATCTAGATAGTTTGAATAGCCAGTCGTTAACATGGAGTCAAAATTGAAGACAAGCGCAGTCCTTGTATCCCTTCGGGTGCAATAAGGTGCAGTCTATGTACTATATCCGCATTTTTTCTGATCTTGGTAGAGATTTTCTCATTTCTGTTTGTCTGATTGGTTTTAGGTATTAAAGGTACATAGACCGCACCTTACCGCACTCAAAGGGATTCGACTTACACACTATGTGACTGACTACAACTGCACAAAGCTGCCCCTAATCGCCCCTGCCAACATCATCGTACTCGTATAAGTTTATGTGTTTTATTATCTCGGGAACCTACCCTGCTCGGACTGTCGACACGGAACGTCGCTGGACGCAAGGATAGCCAGTTGTCTTAGACCTCGGCGAACTGTTATAGCCAACCAGGTCGTGCCAAGTACTGAAACTAGAACAAAGAGACGGCTCGTGTTTCAGAATATTATTTGATATATGTCATAAGCGCCATCATGTCTGAATATCATCTTGATCGTGTATGCATCGGAGAGTCCCAATGGGCAGTATCGTGGTGAACCTTGAGAGCTTGCTGCGAGTTATAAAAAGGCCCAAACAACCCTCTGTAATCCATCTCAATCCACCTCATTCTCAACTCCAACGCAAAATATTATAACAAAATCACCTCTTCACTAAAGAAGAAGCATGATGTTTTTTAAGAATATCCTCTACATTGCCCTTGGCGCTGCTGCCTTGGTTTCCGGCGCTCCCACTGCTTCTGAGCAGGATACTTCTGGAGAGGCCGACATATACCTCCCACCAGTCGATCCATTTTGTCTTCCTTGCGGCATTTTGGGCTGTCCGCCTCCCCTCAGGTGCCAATTTGGCTGCTGCGCCGCATAGGCTTGATAAGATTCATCGAGTCTTGGTGAAATTTATCACATACGACACTTGCTAGGGGTTGGCTGAATACGGGGATTTGCAGCACACGAGTGTTGTTGGCGGGACTCGAATTTCAACGGTCAAGAAGGAGTAGGCATGTATTCAATGGAAGAATATGGGCTTCTCAAAAATCCTTGTGGAGGAAGCGGAACTGGCCTTGCACGTACATAGGAACAGTTGTACAACGGAGACTTAAGATTCACTTGTTAGCCGTGCAGCAGTCATATTCCAAGAGAAGAGATGAACGATATCAATATGGATATATATTGAATATTTTCTAAGTATAAGAGACTCGTTGAGACTCCATTGCCAGTTGATATATCCTGCAACCTACCCATCAGGTATATATGGAGAAACTGTATGCATCAGTAAACAATGTGGCACGGTCGTTTCTACTGTAACAATAGTAATAAGAAGTCTCAGGACATCTTAAGCTCTGACTCCTCGCCGGTCCAAGTTTTAAGATGCATACGAGCGCATTGTTGAACAAATACCCCTCGTCCGATGTCATCTGGCGGCTTATTCCGACGCGAAGAGTCGAAGCGACGATGGAAGTCAGCCCGGTAGCTGTCGAGGTATATCGTTGGTATTGTTTCTACTAGGCTTCTTGTTGCCCAGACTCCTTTTATTACGTACCAGTGAGTGGAATAAGAAAATGAAATCATGGCAGGTGTACTGAGTTAGCTGGGACACCCCATGGGCTCTTCCTTTGTACGAAAAAGGCTGCGAAGAGAGATTGTCTTCCGTCTTCACGAACACGATGCATATCTACAACGCACAACATCGGTCGGACATGACTGACGGCCGACATGCTTAAACATACTGCCACTTGGTCAGAGCAGTCGGTAAGAAGAAGAACCGGAAATGACTCGTCGAATCTGAGCGATATCTTTTCCCGCGAATTGTTGTAGAAGTGTGAAGAATTCAGCGCAACAAGAGCCTCAGAGTGGTCAGTGTCATTCAAAATCTCTTGAATACGTTTTTTTCGGGGCTTCGCTGGGCCAAGACCGTCTTCCTGCCTATGTGGGCTCCGAGTGGGCTCACAAAGGCGTGCATTGCGCTTCACTGCACCTGAGACAGAGTCTGAGACGTATGAGTAAGTATATGTAAGTGGATTTTTGCGTTACAAGAACAACCCGGGTGGAGATGAGAAACCTAGCAAGGAAAAAGAAAAGAAAAGAAAAAGAAAGAAAACATCTAGGCCCGACCCGACGCCGCCAATCTCGTCAAAGCCCGCATCTCTCGACGAGGCGCGTACGAAAAGCACCTCCTCATGCACGCGAACGAAACCGGGCGGGAGCGAGTTAATATCTATCATATTACTGTACATGCACCGCGGAGAAGCCCGCTCGTTTACCTACATCGAGTGGCTGTCAGAAGCTCAGCTGAAGGGCTTAGCCGTCCGGTAAGCCGCTGCATCAGTGGTCAAGTGTCAATGCGCCTGGCCTAGGACAAGGGTCTCTGGGTGGCTGCTTTTTTTGAAGGGCAAAGGCAGTGCTACGACATGCATGGCCCTAGGACGAGGATGGATGGATGCCTTCATGTTCCTGGTGGTTGTACAGCTACGTCAAGATGCGAGGCGACCCCAAAGGTGCGAGGGTCGGGCTTGGACAGGGTGAGACGAGATTGGCCTTTTGGAACGCCACGACATGATCACAACACCGGGGAAGAAGAACAAAGAGAAAAGAAGAAGCGTCGGTGATAAGAGCGTCTGCCTATTTACTTGTCTTGCACGGGGATGCCCAGGCTTGCGTAATAGTTCGGAGAGCTTCGCGTCGTACAACATGGTCTCGGACATTGGCATGCCGTAATTACGTTAATGCATTTATGAGAACTCAATGGCAGTGGCATATCATCATCATGGCCATATCCAGCGTATTAAGTTCCCTCTTTCGGCCTCCAATTGCGCATGGTAGCTTGTGGGAACAACCTACTTGTGCAACAATGAAACATCTTCTCAGCCTCAACTGAGTGATTGAATCACGCCGAGTATTCGTACAGCCCTCTGTAATCTCGGTAAAGCAAGGGCAAGAGAAGGGAGCAAGAGAACAGCTGCCTATGAGAGTGGCTGCCGCAAGTCCATCGAATCGAAGCCGAAAGACGCTGATTTGTTCGATCTCCCCAACCGACCAGGATCATGGCCATCGAGCAGGATTCGCTGCTTGGCCTTCGGGCATTTTCCCATGTTCCATTTTTTTTTTTTTTTTTTTTTTGAAACTGACGAGGATTAAGAGCTGACGAGGATCCGGAGCAAGGGCACGCTGCCCCGTATACTTGGCACGCATTCCTGTTTCTCGAACCATCTGTTCTGCGGTGTAACGATGGGCAGTCAGTGTACTCGTACGGTCTGGATCTTCAGCCCTCTCTCTAATCTTCGTAGGAGCCAGCGTTGGATCTAGAAGAAGCAACACACAGATTACACCCACGACTAAGATGGTAGCGTCATTACTCAGCCCAACCCTCTCTTCGCAACTGCAACTGCACGGGGCCGGCCGCAGCGTTGCCACACACAAGAATCTCATTCCTTGTCAACAATATCCCCACCCCATTGGAAGGGACCTGGCTAGTCAAGCCACATCGGCATTGGGAGTAGCTAATGATGAGAAAAGTAAAGTAAAGGAGAGAAGCGGAAGAAGATGGTCTAGCAAGGGGCCTCTTACACAAGATAGCCTCTCAAGAACTCTCTTCCGCCATGCTCGTGTGGGCCTTGCCGGCTTTCTTTCGCTTGGAATTCCCAGATTTGACGACGGTGACTCCAAACGGATCCCCAAGCCCACTTATCTGCAACCAGACATCTTCCTAGTCCCCCAATTCTCTCTCTCTCTCTATGTGTGTGTTGTTCAATGGCAGCAGATAACACTAACCAGTACACTCCTAACGACTTCTTCTTCAACCCTGTTCGGAGCAGTCATCTAGCGCCGTTTATACAAACAATTACTATTCTTGGCGTACAGGAATGAAAAACCTCCTAGATGAAGATGAACCGCCAGGGCCAGGCCGCGGAATGCTGTTGTTCTCCGCACATTTCATGGGTAACTACTCGTACACACTATGGGCGATACATGGAACACGGACCCGATATGCCCCGGTTATTGTACTCCCACATGATCGCCGGGGGCATCGGAGTACTTCGTAGAATCCCAAGGCATGGGGCCTGTGTACTTGGTCAGAGCAGCAAAAGTCCATGGGACGAACACAGGCTAACTCTGGGGTTTTCTCTATGGCCGACGCTCAAGACAATACACGATCAGTGCCAAAGAGGTCTGCGCTTCAGGCACGAGGAGAAGAGAGAAGGGGGGGAAACTAACATAATATTGTATGTATGTACGAGTACATAGACGCAAGGGACCACAAGCAGCCAGCAGAGCTTTTCTAGAGCGTTGCCCCATGCACACACGCCGTCGAGGCACATCTCCCGCCACTACTCATGCCCCCGTTAGTGTACGTGAAACGGCCGTGAGGAGTGTGGCCATCTTCTCTCACTCGTACACTGCATAGCGGTGAAGCCAGTGGGAATTGGGATCTACAATGCAGAGTTTGCACTGTTGGTGCCAAAGTTCAAAGTTCGAGGTTGGTCCAGAATACAACGTCTAACTTGCATTATTTATGCCACGTTTTTTTTATCTATGCACAATACTAACGGCCCTTGCCCCCCCTTCCAAAGCAAACTCTCCGGGATGCTGCTGCCAGCAAGGTGTACGAGTATGTATGTCGTGGTGGAAAGAGTTAACAGGCCAGGCCAGGGTTGGATAAGATAGACACGGCCCAGGCTTCGTAGCTTCTCTGCAGTTTGAAGTCTTTGCTTGAACACTCTCCGCCTGTTACAGTAGGGCCCTCTTGGCTTGGCACTAAGCAACGGCAGAGTTCCTGGAGCCTCAAGAGGCATTGAGATCGATCATCTACGCTTATTGGCTCAGTCGGTGCTGCGAGCTAATGTCGTGGCGGCGTTAGTTTTCCAAGCAAGGCCCGGCCATTGATACGAGCCACCGGGGCCAGATGCTGCCAGATCACTGTACCTGCGTCCATCTGATAACCTTGAGAGTTCTGGAGTCATGTACGAGTATGCGAGAGGTTGTCACAGGAGGCTCTTAGTGAGAGGTTCTTGTAACAGACATCTTTACCAACATCTTGTCAGTTTCTCAAACTTCTCTCAAGACCATTGCCCTTCTATCCCGCTATTCTCTGCTCTTCTATATTACCATTGTATCATGTGTCCCTGTGTTTTTCACCTTTCTTTTTATGATGCTACGTGCCGTGCATGTATTTTATAAGGTGGCTGGGTATTTCTCGTCTCTCCCGTCACCCTCTCTTCCATCTCATCCATCGCCCATCACTCGCTATACCCTTGCTGCAGGAAAATGCTCCCCCCAAACAGACCAGGGCCATCCTTGACTCCAGCCTCACCCGACAAAAGTCCATTACTACCTCTACTTCTTCGACATATACCTGTTATTTACCAGTCCCTGTCGATTCCCTATCACCACCCCCTCAAATCTCATCTCGGGCTCGACCGACCCCCAGCAAGATGGAGATGGCACTACTGCACTTGCTTCCAGGGTTTCTGGTTGGTGAAAGATGGCGAAAAGCACATCAATGGATCGCGTCAAGTACATACGCGGGCAGGACGATGATGCCACATGAGCAGTCCATCCATGCATGTATGTACTCGTATGTATGTACCTTCTTTCACCGACTCTTCTTATACCAACCACTCCCTTGTTGGGAGGCTCCTCTTAGTCTTAACCCATCGGCCGCTATTTGCTACTCGCAATGCGTCCTTATCCAATACTCAATGCCGGTCAATGCATGCAGTGCGGACACTAGACTCAACTTTCAGCTAAGAGAAGGACTTGCATGTCACCAAAAAGATCGGGGTCACCAAAAACTGGGGGAATACGAGAAGTGAGAGAAAATCCTTGGGAGCGATCTCGCTACCCGCAAAAAAAGAACACCATTGTGTGCTTCTTATCTTATGTTGTTGGTTCACGACACAGCGCGCCAACGCTAGGAAAGTTTTCTAGTCGGAACTTGCCGGCTAAGGGAGAGAAGGTTTTTATCGGCGGGAAGATCACACGTAGTATTATATCTGGTTTTACCAGGGGATGGTGCAGAGTACAGCAGACGATCACTCACCAAGTCAACTGTAGCTGTCAAGGAAAGTTGGACAAATGGTTAAAGCACAAAACTGAATTCCCGTGGTAATTAAGCATATATGAAAAAGAAGACCCTTTATATAGAAACCCCAATAAGGAAAAAAACAGAAATACAAATTACCCAAAACCGAACCGAAACTAAAACAGAAGAAAACAAAAAACCACAAAAATCCGCTCGCGAAAAACTAGCAGTGCTAAAACACTACGGGTATGGAGACGCTCAACAAAAAGTAGGCAGAGCAGCCGTCACCAGAAGAGAAAAGAAAAAAACAAACCAAAGATCCAAAGCAGCAACAGCAGCAAAGAAAGCAGCAAACACACAAGAGTACAGTAGCAGCAGACTCTTTTTTCCCACACACAAACAAACTCGCTAGGCTTTCGTCCCAATAATCCAAATCCAAACCAAAAGCACAATGTTCCATTAATCCATTTCGTGTCATGTTTCCCGTTTCCATCGCTGATTTCATACCTTTCCAATCATTTCAATCGCTGTTCGTACCTTTCCAATCGTTTCCATCGCGTGAGCCGCACTCAATGTATTTCAAACACAAAACAAAAAATAACAAAAAAGAGTCCGTCTCTAATCTCGACAAGGCACCCTTGCTAGAGCGCGAAAAAAGAAGAAGAAGAAGAAAATAAAATAGTAGTACTCGTAGAGTGAGAAGAGAGAAAAGAGGCGCTCAGCAAAGGAGCACATCAGGGCAACTAGAGCCATATAGACAACTGATACCAAAGCCCAGCCTGCCTTGGCACACCAGAATTAAAAAAAAAAAAAAAAAACAGAGGCCATTCATGTGTTCATGGATCCCCCATGTTGCGGCACATTGACTAGCCTCGTGCGAAGTGAGTGTGCCTTTGTTCGCCTGTTTAGGCATCCCCCCTGTCCTGTTTAAGAAAATGGGAGGGTGGCATAGCCTCCGGAGCATGAGATCCTTGTCAAGGAAAAAAAAGGACGCGGCTGTTGGTTCGCTTGAGATAGCCGTGTACATGTTCGGGGGATAGAGAGGGGGAAGGGGGGGTACCCCTGCTGGGCGTCTCTGGCTTCTTGCTGTGGCGATGGGGGAGAGGAGGTGTGTGCATACTCTGTGGCTCGGACAGCTGCCTGGTTCTTCTTGGTGTCACCCAGCAGAAAGCCACGTTGAGAGGACGCATGGGCCGGCCTTCATCCCCACGCCCCGTCGTACCAGTTCCGTCTGCTGCTCTCGCAGCAACAGCGGGCAGCAGTCTAGAACTTTACGGCATCGAGCCAATGGTTGATACCTAGTTCGTAGCGGTGATGCTGGTTTGCGCTGTTTTCCCCTCCTCCACTTGTTGTTGAATTGCGTGCTTTTGTTGCTCTGATGTTTTGTAGTTGCTCATGTTGATGCTGTAGCTGCATCTAAGTGTGTGTGAATGCCTTGCTTTGCTCTGCCATGTCTTTTTCAAGCCTCCCGCATCGCATGTGTGCGTACGAACTTGTAAGCAAGTTTGAAATGGGGCCGGCGCGGAACGCGGCGAGAAGAAGAAGAAAACGTGTGTATGTGTGATGTGTGTGTGTATGCGTACGTGCGTGCGTGCGTGCGTGCGTGCGTGCGTGTGTGTGTGTGTGTGTGTGTGCGTGTGTGTGTGTGTGTGTGTGTCTGTTGTGTGCGTAGCCAGTCATATTGCATCGCCAATCGGAACGGGAGCCTGTGTGTGTCGCACAACCAACCGTCCAGCGTGACGCTGTGTATGCCAAACTCCCCTCCCCGAGGCCAGCTCGTTCGTTTCCACAAGAGCAAAAGAGTTTGGTTTGACGGGCTCCAGCGGTAGCAAAGAGCCAGGGCCACGAGCAATGGCGCAAGCAAGTCTCCAGTCTGTTACTTTTCTTTTCTGCTCGGGCCCGCGTTGATTCTGTTGCTTCACATGCCGTGGGGAGTGGCCCAGCTCATCCTGGGGGTGCCCGTCATGGAGTCATACCGCCGGATCTGGTCAGCGACATCGCCAGAGTAGTCTAGATGGACATCTGCAAGTTCATATGGGAAGGCCGTGTACATGTGCTCCTGTTGGCCCATGTATGAAACACCGTCATCGCCAGCCACCTGTTGGTCCATCCGCGGTCCTGTCATCTGCAGCCCAAAGAGGTCCGTTGCTGTATCTGCGGAACCGAAATCCGCCCCGTGCGCCCCTGGGGTCTGGATGGCCGTCGGGTCGATCCGTGGGATGGCAATGGGCATGGAGTAGAAGCCATCCGGCATGCTCGAGGCCGGTGGCGAGCCCAGTCCGCTCTCGATCAGTCGGTACTGGCGCCCATCGGCCAGTGACAGCTCCTGGCTGTACATCTGGCTCCTCACTCGGGCGTTTCTGGCCGCACAGCCGCCCTTTTGGCCAGATAGGGCCTTGATGGAGCTGCGTTGGCTGCTTCGCCGCATGTTGATGCCACCGCCCACGTTTGTCTGGCTGGAGCTTCGTCTGTTCGAGCGGCGCCCAGAGTTCCCCTTTCGGTATCTGGTCGTGCTCTGCACACCGTCACGAACTGCCCAGTCCTCCAGGACCCATTCGTTTGCCCGCTTCGCGTCGCCTGCCAATGGCGACTCGTCCTCTACACACGTTGAGGCCGCAGCTCCATCGGCGCGCTTGCGATCGCGTCTTTTGAATGCCTAGGGTCAGAAAAAAGTCAGCATGTCGGTTGTTCCAGCCCCCAAATTGTATGTATCAAACAGTGAACCAGGGAGTTGGTACTGCTGTCGGAGCAACACAAGACGCGAAGAAAAGAAAAAAGCAAAAACATAGAAAAAAGGTGGGCAGTGTTATGTAGGGCTCAATGACATGGGATCCCTGAACCCTGGACATAGAAAAAGAAAAGAAAAGAAAATAGCTGCATATAGAGAAGCGAGGTGCTAGTTTTGAGGTCAAACTCACCGCATTCATGCTCAGGTTGTGGCGGATGCTGTTCTGCCATCCGCCCTTTTCGTTCTTAGCCTTGTTGGTGTTGTCCCGGAACCATTGGTAGAGCTCCTGCAGCGTCATAGTATAGTCTGGTCGGCTCATTAAAGCTCTGTAGATGAGCTTCGCATATGGTTCATCGTTCTTCTCGTCGTGTCCAACACCGCTCGCCGGAGCAGGATCGGCAGCGTTGGGTACAGCAAGGATCGAATCCATAAAGTCTGCATCTTGGTTATCCATGGGCTCGATCTTGGGCATAACCAGAGAAGCAGGGGTCTCTGCTCGCAGACCCTCTGGAGAGCCAACGCTCGAAGAAGGCGGGACTGCAGACAAACTTGGCATCACGTCAGAAGACGACACCGACATTTTCATGCCAGTTGGCATCTCAGTGTCGGACTCTGCGTGGTAACTCTCTGTGTAGGGAGTGGGCATGTCTGAATAGTGTTGGGGAAGGTCCTGTGCCGACATGGGAGTGCAGACTTCGGCAAAAGATTGATCTCCAGGATGCTGCTGAGGAAAGAAGGCAGTGGTCGGTGGGTAGCCAGACACCGTCGACCATCCACCAGGAGAGGTAGGCGAGTTCTCGTTGCTGCTATTGTAGATGGGCAGGCACGCGCTCCCACAAACTGGTGAGTCTTGGAAGGAAATACAGTTCTGGATATCTCCCGGTCCTAGAGGAGGCGATGGCCAGATGTTTTGTACCGTCGACTGATACGACATGTACGAGCTCATATACAAGCTACTGTCGCTGCAGCAAGTCGGCGGCGAGAGAAGCTGACCTCCTTGCGGGTCTTGCAAATCGTATTGCCCTTGTTGTTGCTGCTGGGGGAGAGCGCAAACCGCCGGAGGAAACGAACATGTATCAGGTTGGTGATGCTGTTGTCCCTGTTCAAAGCCAGATGGCAAAGTCAAGAGGGTCGCAGGTGAACAGCAAGCCATCAAGCCCGATTGCTCTAAAGGTTGGGGGTGGCGGAAATCCGTGTAGCTATCCACCGGAAGCTCCCTTTCTAAAATTGGCGACGCCATAGAATGACAGCGGGAGGCTTTGGAGACAAAGGGGGAAGGGAAAGGGTGTCGAAAGAGAGCAAAGAATGGTAGCAAAAAGAGGTAGTTGTTTTGCTTGGCCCGGAGACTTCTTTGCTCAAAGTAGAAAGAAGGAAGCCTGGATGTCGTAACAACGCCGTCAGGGGACGGGAAAAATGGGAAAAAGTGATGACCCAAGGAGATATGTAAGTGGAGGCGGCCAAGTGTCACAAGAATGGCAGTATGGAACACCCGAGCTATGGGAGTTATGAGGGGGGAAACAAAGGCAGCCGACGGGATGACAGTGATGAGAAGACGAAAAAAACGAGTGAGGGAGGGAGGGAAGACAAAGTTTGTAAGGTTCTTTGGAGCAAAATAGAACTGTCGAGCTCTTGCTTCTCGTCGAGTTAGTTCTGACAGCACAGATCTTGTGGGGAGAGTGAAGCTATTTATCAAAATCCTGTGGAGAGGACTCTGATAGATAGAAGGCTGCCCGTGCCATGGGGTAGGAGAAGCTGCTCGCCGCTCTCTGTCCACCACTACCAGGGTGTCGAAGCTCCCGGAAGAGAATCATCCCAGATCGGCCGCTCCGGGGCGTGTGAGCAAAGTTGTTGCATCGGCACACCGTGGACACTAGTGAGGTGCCTGCTCAAACCTTGCCCCCTCCAATAGGTGGACCGGGTACGCTTGAGTACACGAGCCATCTTCTTTGTGCGCCACCTCTTGATAGTGCGTGTGTATGTGCGCTCGTGCATGTGCAGGAGGAGAGCAGCGCGGGAGAGGGAGTGGACGAGAGAGATAGAGAGAGCAAGGCGTGTGCGAGAGTTTCCTAGGTGACATGTATGGCCATGTACACGTTCCCTTGTGGACTGGTCAAGCGTAGTCCTGGCCCCGAGACCAGGCAGATGGAGCATTTTGGGCCGTTCTATCGAGACCTTGTCAACAAGCAGGCAGCTCAGGGTTCGCCGTGTAACCCCCATGAACCAGCACACACACAAAGTCTGGCAGGTTCTCAATCGGGCCATCCTCCATCCTTTTCTCCTGTCTCTTTAGAAGTAGCCACCAGTTACACTGTGAGTAACGCGGGCAAGGCTCGTTGAAACAGTGCCGGGTGGATGTCGATGTGTATGAGATGGCCGGCCGGCATAACCTTAGGCGACAGTTTTGTGTGACAGAGCCAGGGTCAGGAGAGAGAGAGCGAGAGAAGAAGAGCCATGTGGTAGCCACAAGATTTCGACAGCAGTGGATAGGAATCCTGGCCAAGGCTTCCATGGCTTCTCTGCCACCGTCCTCGCCGCTGCCATCACTTCTCTGCCATCCCATCCCATTCCATCCCATCATCCCATCATCCCAAGCTTCAAGAGACCACAAGTCAGAAGTCTCCACCTCCTCTCTACATGGACCACGGGTATTGCTGGCCATTATTGGTCTATTTACGAACCACTCTTTGCCATCGGCAAATGTACGTAGCCATGATGCTACTTGAACACTCTCGGGTCAGTTTACCAGCCCTTCTCATTGGCAGCAACGCGGGATCCAAGGCTTGGGCCGACGGCTCGCTGCATTCAACACACCGGTAAGGAGAGATGTAATGGAATCCCGCTGAACCGTCTATTTGTGACCCATGCTGACAGGGGTGGGCCAGAGCGAAGCTTCCAAAGGAATCCTTCCATGTAATATGTACATCAAAGTAGGGCCGCGGCATCGGCTGAAGGCCTTAGGGGAGAGAAAGGTGCATGCCGCGTATGTCAGGAGACGATTCCGGAAACAAGATGCATTAGGCGATGCCAGCTGAGTTACCAATGTTTGATTGCCCTTCGTTTCGCATTGATTCATGCCAATAGTCATGCAGCCAAGGGCAGGAGAACGCCTTGCGTCAAGCCACTCCATCCTATCCAGTAGCCTCCTTCGGTCCTCTCTCCAGGCCCTCTCCCAGCGGACCTTATCTATGGTCCGAAGTGTCAGCCGACTCTTCTAGAACACCGGCAAGAAGCGTCAGGCGTCAAGCACAAAGATCCTCCTCAGATCTTCCGAGATGTCGGGCTTTTCCCCTGCAGAGGATCACCAAAGTCTCCAGAGAAGGAAGGCTGCTGAACCTTCGCGAAGCATTCTAGCTCCAGGAGTGGGACACGGCCATCTTCTCCCGTAGAATGTGCGACGGGAAACAAAACGTGTGCCAATGTTCCTGATTCAGCGACCAGGAGATGGTTTAGCATCGGCGCATTGAAGTCCGAGACGGCAGCGAAGTGTGCACAATTTTGTGAATACCACGCGCAAAGAATCTGCCAATGCCGTCGATAGCCGCAAATTGGCTGTCTTTCCTTGCTTTTGTTTATTAGCTGAAATAGTTATCCTGCCGCTCTAGCTCTCTGAATGCTTCTTCTAGCTTTGTTTCCTCATGTTTAGTGGATCGAAGAGCTGGTACTATTATTACGGTGTACCTGTATCATCAATTCGTTCGTTCTCTTCGCTTCTTTTTGCCTTTTTTCTCTTTTCCTTTCTTCTTTTTAAAATTTTCATATCCTTGGCAGGGAACGCCAGGAAGCCGCTTTGCCGAGATCACAGGATCTCTCTTATTCCATAAACAAAAGTCCGTATGTACAAGCATGGAGAGCATACGCTGACCAGCCCTTGGTTATTTTCTGTAAAAGATCTGCAAACCCCCTAGTTAGTGACTGTTCTTCTACTCGTTGGTTGGGCTTCTTCTCTCATTCTTCCCCTAGCGGGTGCTTCTTTCATCCTTACCTTTTTAAACTGAAAGTGCAATTGTAAGATTCCCTGCAAGGTCACAGCGTTAGCTCAGTGGACAAGGTCAAGGATGGCTAATGCAAGGGAAGAGAACGACAAGGGCACAAGCCCAGCTAAGGAACCGCGCTTGTGGCGGCTGTCTCAGAACTGGTGGGCACCTTTTGGTGGCGCTGTAGGATTGCATCTAAATCAAGCCAGACCAGGCTGGGCATGACCAAGACAGAGCAGCAAACCGGGTAATGGGGAAATGGCGGCCTCGTACCTTGTCGAATGAGCTTCTAAAGCCACGCTCCTTCTTGGCACTATAGTCCCATTCACGGTCGACAATGCGGAACGCAATGTCTTCGTACGGAGGTCCCGCGATGAAGCGGATGAGACAAGTGTCTACTTCGCCCGCGGCAGCAAACGATTCTCCGCGTCGCCTGCCGTGCTCGCGGATGATTTTGAATGTCGGGGCCTTGGTCTTGTCCACCAAGTCTGGGTAGAAGATGTTGAACTTGTATCCCTGCACCACTTTGGGAGGGGGGTTATCATGGTCGTAGTGCGTCTGGTTGTACTTGTTCCATTCGTAGCCCATCTGCACGCGGTTGAAATACCTAGGCTTGCGAGCCTGATACTTGTCTGTCCACTGCGGGGGTTTCGAGCCGTCCGGCAGGGCCTCTTCAGCCGCAAAAACCTCTTCGTTTTCAGATACTCCACGTGCCGCTTCTCTGTCGTATAGCGCCATGGTGGCTTGAGAATCATCCTCGTTCCTGGTTTCAAATGCATCCGCTTTGCTTGCTGGGGCCTTGGCACCACCTGAACTATGGCTGCTGATGCCCATACCGCCAGCGGACAGGCCGCTGCTCTTGGATGTCTCTGTTGAGCGAGGCGCCTGGCTTGCAAGCCGCTCCTTCTTCTTCGCTTCGATGTCCTCAGCTATGCGAGCCAGCGTGGCTTTGGCCTTCCATACCCTGAGGCTGCGGAGCAACTGCTCCCAGTAGTCCGTATCGATGTCCTCATTGGACCGCAGCTTGGCCTTAATCTGCTGCTCCAGGGTCTCGAGCTGATCAAACGACTTTGGCGCCAGAATCTTGTCAATGTCGTCCGCAACGCTGTTGACCACTCTTCCCTCGTGTCCCTGCGGGTCCAGCTTGGCCCTCCGATCTGCGCACAGCGTCCGCAGGGCCTCCCAGTACCGACGGTTTCGCGAGTCCGTCTCCAGCACATGGTATGACACAATGTTCGAATCGAGCTCGGAGATCTGCGCGGCAGAAGACAGATCTTGTATGACCTTTGTCGGTGCATCCACCTCGATCTCATCGTCGATTTCATCGTCGTCAAAGGCGTCGCGGTCCGCGTCGATGTAGCGCAGGTTGAAGGCCAGGACGTCGATCGGCTTCGCCCGTCCCTCGCGCACCCGGATGTCGGCCTTCTTCTTGGCCTGCTTCAGCACGAACTTGTCCTCGTCGGCCACGAACTGCCGTGACTGCTCGTCCTGGCTCAGGTATTTGGCGGCATTGCGGGCGGTCGTCGATGGACCTGGTCGGCTGGGCTTGGACACGCGGTTGCCTGAATCGGACCGCGGCGCCGTGGGTTCTCGACGGCCAGATGATGAGCCTCTCGAGTCCGCGATCATGGCTCGCCTTCCGGGATCCATTGCTTCGAGAGTGGGAGTTGAGGCGCGCGCAGACAACCGGGGAGAGGCAGTTGAGGTGTTGGCTGGGAATCTCACTTGTCGTTAGTCGCTCGGTATTTACTCTCCGATAAGCTTTTTTAGTCTGGTCCGCTAAAATCAGATCATAGCAAGGTCTTGTTGTTGCTCCATCATTAAAGCTTCCCGTCAAGTAGCGTCACATGACAACCCGCGGAACTCACTTACCCTAGATGAGAAGGCGAGTGGAAGGGGGTTTTTAGTCAGGGTGGCAATAATAGGTATGACTGGAAATAATAAAGAATTTGAAAAGAGACACTGATCTGGAGGGTAGGAAATTGGGAAATGATGGGTTTTAATATATGTTGATGATATGATGTGAGATCAACGGAGAATAAGTACTTTACATGGGGTCCACAAAGGAGCGAACAAGTATCACAGGTAACACTACATGGAGCATCGTAAAATTGCAACGCCCATTACCTCGAGTAGAAACACTTGGCAAAATAATGGCAAAAGTAACATGTAGGTATATATAGCGCATATATAAATCATCAAATAATACTCATTCACACATGTCTAAATCCCATGACGAAACGCCTCAGTCGCCCAAGGGTATCCTAAAGCATTCCCCAGCTTGTCCCCCCATAACGTGTATATAGTCGAGTGCTTCTTCCTCCAAATAAATGGTTCGGTATACATACAGTGTAGCGGCATCAAATGTATTTACCCAGGTCAGGTGTCTTGCTTTTCACCAGCCCTGCTTCGGCGGTGCGCCATACTGTGCGCCACCCATTCCCAGGCCGCGAATGCTCTGGCTCCAATCCTGCCAATTGAAGTCAGCTCCCAGCATGTCTGCATCTTCCATCTCGAATTTCTGATTCGACGGCGCAAATGACTCGGGCCAGAGATATGGTGGAACGTGGTGCTGTTCCTCTTTGGGCTGCTGGTTTTGGTTCTGCAGTAGCAGTGCCTGCTGCTGCCTGTCATCCATGCCCATGGCCGGGCCGCTCCCATTATCCATGCCGACCGACCCTACATTCCAAAGCTCGGCCATGGTGACACTGTTCTGTGCCATAATATCATTCATATACTCCATGGTGACGTTGGAGAGGTCCATGGACATTTGGGGTTCAGCATCGGCCTGTGGCTGCACCTGTGGTTGCTGGAAGTGTGGTCCGGCCAATGCTTGCTGTGACGAAGTATTGGTATCTTTAGACATAGGAAAGGTGGCTGGCGTTTGTTGTGCAGAGTTGGGGAGAGACACTGGTATAGGCGCATCCAGATGGACCATGGCTCTCCATCTATCTCTGACCTGCTGCATCCTGGCTTCAGCGCCGGGGATGGGATCGAATCGCCGCTGAGATGCCTTTATCCTCTCTGCGAGATCCAATCGCTTGGCCTCTTCGGGGTTGGCCCTTAGACGCACCACCTCCAATTCTTGATATCTCTTGGCTCTGATGAATAATTTACGCAAGGGAAGGAACACGGAAGCGTGATCAGCCCTCTTGATGTTTTCAGATAGGTCTTTGTCGTATCCATTGACAGCCTCCCAGCCGCGCTCCACGAGCGCCGTCCAAGGACGACGGCACGTCTCAACTAGTACGTAAGCAATTGCGTGCCAGTTGGTATATGTCCTAAATAGCCATCGGTATTGTTTGCCTCTAGGATCCATGTTTAGTTTGTGGTTGTATTCAATGATTTCGATGGAAGCAATATAAATCCGCTCGCGGATGTCGGTCGTAAGTTCACTATCCGTGCCCGGGAACAGCATCGACTGGTAGGTGATGAGGCACATCTTGGCCATGATGATGCGGGATATCATGGCCGCTACCCAATACAGAGCGTCGACGTCCTCTTCCAGGTGCTGAAGGAATTTGTCTTCAATTCTCTTGTAGAATTCGACGAGGAGCTGCTCCTTTTCCGCAACTGTGTTGATTCCGACCTTTGTACACGAGTTCTTACCATTTGATGCCTCGTGTAAACGTCTCGACATGGCGCAAACCTCGAACCTCACTAGAGAAATGGTGGTGTCCGACTTTCCCTCCCTTGCTACTGGAATTTGTGTGCCCGTGGGCGTAATGTCAGAATCGTTGATGGCGGTAGGGAACTGAGTGTCAAAGTCTCCCTCTGCAACAATCAAGTCGGTGCCCATTTCTTCCGATGACCGAAAGTCCAAAGTAAGGATGGTCCACCAAAGACGCCGTCTCTGTTCTGTGTCATATGGAGAGAGCCCAAAGTTAGTTCCATCACGGTGAATACCCAGACCTTGTGCGATCCGAATCAAGAGGCCAGTGAGGGACCAGGCAAAGCGCGTTTCGTCGTGCCGCCTGACCACAAGAAGGAACAGCGTGAGCGCCTGGACGACTGCAAAATCGGATGTATTTAGGAAGTTTGCCTTGGCAAGCGACTGCTCCACAGCAAAGCGAAACTGTGCAAGTAACTCTTCTTTGCCTGTACCAAAATTGGTTTGAACCTAGAGCCATGTTAGAGATACAAGGATTATCAGAAGGGTTGGAATGACTTACATCAGCTTCCTCGAGCGTTACAACGGCGGCAAAATATACCGCAAAGACTAACGTTTCATTACCAGGGGTAAGCTTTTCCGGATTCCTCCGGGCCTCCCGCAGTATAGCCTCCATGGTTGGAACATGGAGTATTTTGAGTAATGGATCGACGTTTTCTAGATAGACCGACCAGAGAAACGTGCCGTGTGAGGGTAAGGGATGACATTTTTGTAGATTGACATCGATGGAGCTATACCCCAGGATGAATGCATGGTGGTCATAAACGGAGCTCGCAGCAGTGGTGGGTGAATCGATGGGCGGCGATTCTTCAAACTCAGAATCATCGGCGTCTTCGTCGGTCAGCTTTTGTGTTTCCTCGCGAATGGCGTCCAGCTGTACATATGATATATCTCGTTAGCAAGAGGAATTTGTTTTGGTAACGCCCTTAACAAAGGGCCATAGACTAGTAAAAGAGGAAGGGGGGAGGGACCGTACCTCATCGTTCAACCTCGACCAGAATCCACTACTAACATAGCGAGAAGTGCCCTTGTTATCATTCAAGACCAGTCGACCCAGCTGCTTCCGGCTCTCTCTCATCAACCGTGATTCACCGCCATCTCCGGTAGCGTGGCTATCACTGTCGCCTGCAAGCCCCGAGGCGAGTGCACCCAAGCTGGTAGACTTTGCTCGCTGAGCTATGGGGGATCCTTCGTTGGAGGGCGAGTCGCCGGTGGACGACACTCTGGCGCCCGTCTCGATTTCGATCTGGCCGCTCAATTCCTCGACGATGCCCTCGAGCTTCTTGAGCCGTTTGACCAGCTCAACCTCGCGCTGGCTCGTCGCCTTGGGAGGGGCATTCGGGTCCTTGGGCCGGTGCTGGCGCGGCGCACGGCCAGGAGCGGGAAAGACGCATGGGATGAGGGCGCGGCGGCAGTTGGAGCACGGCATCTGCTTGTCGCAACGCACCTTGCGCCTCCGGCAGGTGACGCAGGATCGCGGATTCAGCAGCGGTGTTCCCGAGTCACCCGGGGCCATGACGGGGCCATAGTGGGCATCAGGCCCGGTCGTCTGATAGATGGTGACGTTGTTCGGATGGTGCGGCGACGATGCGCTCTGCTCGGCCATGTTCTGCTGCGGCGACGTCACAGAGGCGGAGGCGCTGAAGTCGAAATTCGCCGCCATTGCGTCTCTCTCTCCCGCCTCTTTTCCCCCTATGTTCGTCTTGTCCGTATGTGCCGTGTCGCTGGAAAGGCGTGCCGAGAAATCGATGACCTCACAAACGGGATGGGAAACTTCAAATTTCGGACTGACAACTAATGACGCAGGGCTCGGGTGAGATACAAGTCTGCCAGCGGTCTGCTCGTCCGCGGAACGCACTTGAGGGGGGGCCTGAATCGCATCAATGCTGTGGCAGCTCCGGCGGTGCAACGGATTCAAGCGCTTTACAATACAAACAGCAGTGCGGCAAAGACGTGAATCGTTGGTTGATAAAGGAAAAGATGGCGATTTGCAGACGGGAACAAGCTCTGGACTCAAGTGGGGAGGGAGTTACTAGGAAGAGCGAAAGGGAAAACCTTCAAGCCACAGTGGGCTGGCTGCAGATAGATTGGCAGAGCTGCAGGTGGTGGAGACGCTGTGGCCGGCCTGGGGACTGTGGCATTGCCCAAATCGGGCGGCTACTTGATCGTTATTTGCCATGCCCAGAGACAGTCGGCGTCTGAGCCGTATCCGTGAGCCTTTCACCTCGACTCCAGCTGGAACGTTGGCATGCATAGGGCACACAGCGTATCGAAGCCACTGTATGTGCGCCTGGTGTTCCGCCGGATAAACGCCTGTGACGGCACAGTAGCCTGCACCGCCACAGCCTGGGTACAGGTACTTTGGCATGTGCCTGTCAGCAGTGTGACAAAGCACGAGCATGTAAGCCTGGAAATAGGGACTAACAATTGCCAGGGTAGGCAGGTGTCGTCTTACGCTGTTCCCGGGCACGGAGATCCATAGGACTACTATTCTCGCCTGGCTTGGCGACTCTTCCTGGCCATTGACTGATTCTATGGATGGGTACTAAAGGTGGACATGAAGACAAAGAAAAAGGGCATCGCTGAAAATTCTGCATCTTTGGAAAGAGATGCCGATAGTACCTGTACCTATCTATGCAACATGAGGAGCAGTTCCCGCAAATCAGCCCCCACAGGATCCGTTCTAGAACTGTGGACACACCAAAGAATTGTTTAAAATAGGTGTTGGCAGACGTTTTTTTGTTTTACCACTTTGTAATCCGGCCCCCCTCGGCGCCGGCCGTACTCACGGTCTTGCACCGGAGCAGGTCCGTGGAATAGTATCCATGGATCCAAAACGGTTGGCGCTGCGGCCAAGAGATAGAAAACTCGATCCTTCGGACTTTAGATACCTAATCTGTTTATGGTCGCACACGCTTACTGTGCAGTATGACAACTACTACTTTTGCTGTGAATCGAACTCATCCCGGCGTTCTCTTCGGTCTGCCAGGAACCCAGATAGCCGGCAGATACGGGCTGTAAATAATATGGAGCTTCCAAGGTATATCCGTAGTATATTTCCGTGTGGCTGCAACGTTTTCGCTACTTTTTGGTACCACCTACGTCTATGATCTCAGCGGAAGCCCTTTATACCTTTTTGCGGTAACTCGTAGGCTGTTGGCGGCGCCCGTTCCACTCCAATGTTAGTTCGGCTCATGTCTTCATCCGACCTAGATATTGAGTGCCCAACGTCGTACAGAAATGCTGCTTGCTCGAATCAATTGATGCGACAACTTCTCCCTGCAGCACAGAAAATGCCAGCACTTCGGCTGGGTTCTGAGCCCAGGGCACCGGGTCCAATGTCTTCAATAATCTGTACATACGACGAGACCCACCTCTGTCGCCCAGCAATCACCCCGCACGTGGTGTGGGGGATGGCGAATCAAGCAGCATCGATATAAATGGACGGAGCCAGAGCCGCTCAGGCTTGCAGCAGCTGGTTGACCGGTTGCAGTGTGTATTGCGAGCATCACCGCCTCAGCCCGGGGGAATGGATGGATGGATTGGCCTCGTTGCATCCAACACTGGCCCCCATTGGGTCCAATTAGTGGCCACTTGGCCGATTGACGTTGGGCTGCGTCCCATCCCGCCGGCACTAACATGGGAGAAAACATTGCGAACGCAGAGAAACTCGCCTATTACCTACAGTAGCCGCTAGGCGGGAACTTGTTTCCACTTGTTGCCGCCAATTTTTTTTCTATCATATTTCCAGATTGAATCAGGTACGTGAGCGATTGAAGTCCGGTTTGCATCGACGCTCGACGGATATAGGCGAGGTCAGGCATATGTGCAGTTGCTGCAACGCAACGCAGTGGATATTGGGCGCTTACCGCGCACCATACTGTATGCAAAGTATGGTTGCATACGTCTTACGGTCAGTTCGAGTGCGTTGCCGTGGCTTGAAGTGCAGACAGTGATAAACCTTGTCCACCAATAGAGGATGGGATCCGTGAGTGAGCTATGCTGGACGAGTGTCGAGCACCTAGCGTACTGTCGAGATGACCTCATGTTGCACACCACCATGCAGAAGCAGAGTATCGACAACAGACTCGCAGGCCAAGACATCTCACCCATTGGCCATGCAGACAATTAATTTACAGATTGCAGAAGTTGTGCCTCAACTCTGTTGGATTGAGAGACGACCACGTGCCTTTGTGAAGTCGGGAAGGTCACTGAGCCTGCTTGTGGTGTCCTCGCAGAGCCGCAAACTGAGATGTGGTGCTGTATCATTGGCGATTCTCCCAGACACTAGGTCGTCGTGGCCCGAGCCTGATGAAGAATGATGGTTGGGACGGCAATGGGGATGCCAGACCGCATGTCCTCTGGCCGACAGACGGCCATGAGCTGATGGATGTAAGGGAAACAGAGGGGGTTTAAGAAGATGCGGCTGCCCCGGCGTGAATGTTGCGGCTTTCTGGTCTTCAATAACCCAAATTCCTCGGTGTTTTCACCTGCAAAGTATTCGTTCAATTCAACACCTAGACCAACAAAGGCCTTATTCAACATGGCTGATGAGAAAGCAGGAGAGTTGCCGTAAGTAGGTGGTCGCAATTCGAACAAAGCCTCATGTTGATGTGTCAGCAGCCCTGCGGTGACATCATACCTCAAAGAGGAAGAGAGTGACCTCTCATACAGACTTGTCTCGATAAGCCAGGGACACGACGGCAGCAACATGGATAAGATCAATACCGATGTGGCCAAGACGCCAAAGACAGTTGCAGCAGACGATTCGCCAGTCTCGGATGCCGGGACGACCCATTCGTGGGAGAACATCAGCCATGGCGATGCAAACGAGGTGGCCACACCTGAGAAGGACGAGTGAGAAATGATACTCGAGGTGGTGTTGGACTGATTTGGGTTCTCTGAATCTCTTCTCTTGCTTTTAGTTTTCCCTTTATGCGAGTTACGATGAAAAAAGAATGTCCGCGTTTTTTTACGGCCTGTGATCCCAGACGTCCGTGCTACTCACTCATGGTGTCAGTGTACCTTCTTAGTAGCCATAGCCACTCGTGTATATTATATTCCTCTTTCATGGCTCATGGCTCCAATTTCTGTAGTTGGCATTTCAAAGTAGAATTGATGAAAATCACGAGAAAATGTCAAGAAAGCCATGAGTATTTCCGTCAATCGACACACTCATCGCTGCATGTGAATACCGACAAACTGCCCGTGATGCCCAAATATGAAATTGCAGAAGCAAAAGAATTAGTGGGGCCGTGCGGTTTCTTTAGCCCCAAAACCCACCCCAAGCTCGAATCACTGGCCGCCATTTTCGGCGCCAGCTCGATAAGCCTTATCTGCACGTGCGCCCACACATTCGCTTCTCGTAGGGTTTTCCACCCCCACAGATCGCATAAGGAAAATTTGCCCTGAAAAGCTTCAGCTTCACGACGGCAATCCGCGACTTTGGCACGTTTCTCACGACTCTAACGCCCCCAACCCTTCAGACACAATGGCCAAGCAATCGTAAGTCGCTTTAATTTTCTAGCAGGAAGTTTTTTCGTATCTGTCCTCTCTTCGTTTTCTCGACGAGATGAATGAAACACTGGAGGAGCAAAAGCCGGGCAAGAGGAGGACGATGGAATTTCCCACCGAGGGACACACATTCGAGACCGACAATTTGGGGCTCTGCAGCATCACCGAATCAATCTGCTCGAATTTCTTCGTGAAATCGATTTTTACGTCAGAAGATTCGAAACGCAACCCGCAAACCAGTTCGAGATTTTTTAGGAGGGAAGGGAATTCGGGATTATGCTCGCCGGCACCAGTTTTCATGATTCTCAGTCGAGAAATTGAACAAGACGAGAGAGGAGGATTGAACACAACAAACGTATCAAGAGAACTTGTGGACTGACCAAGCGTGCGCGTGCAGTCGTGGTGCCCCTGGTGGCAAGCTCAAGATGACCCTCGGTCTCCCCGTCGGTGCCGTCATGAACTGCGCCGACAACTCTGGTGCCCGTAACCTGTACATCATCTCCGTCAAGGGTATCGGTGCTCGCCTGAACCGCCTGCCCGCCGGTGGTGTCGGTGACATGGTCATGGCCACCGTCAAGAAGGGAAAGCCTGAGCTGCGAAAGAAGGTCCACCCCGCCGTCATTGTCCGACAGTCCAAGCCCTGGAAGCGATTCGACGGTGTTTTCCTGTACTTCGAGGACAACGCTGGTGTTGTACGTTTTTTCTATCTCCCATCTGGTCGAAGAATGATTGCGGTCCCCCCGATTCCGAGGCCTAGGCTGCCATTCGAGACCAGAACAACCCCCGTGGCTACGACATGAAGCTAACATGATGCCTACTACAGATCGTCAACCCCAAGGGTGAGATGAAGGGCTCTGCCATCACTGGCCCCGTCGGCAAGGAGGCTGCTGAGCTGTGGCCCGTAAGTTTTCTTCCACTTCTAAAAAACTTTCCACTCTTTCTAACATTTCCATCTCTAGCGTATTGCCAGCAACTCCGGTGTCGTCATGTAAAGAAGTTGTTAAACGAAGGGAGGGGATCTTTTTTATTTACCAAAGAGAAGAGGAATGAAAAAAAGACAAATGACCAAGTCCCTCGATGCGATCTTATAGAAGCGTGGAAATCTCTTTCCCGCCTCCTGTCCCTTTTTTCTGAGATTTTTTTGTTCTTTGGGGCACGGGAGGGGGAAAAAAGAAACGGGAAAGTAAAGTCGCTGGATTGGCAGGCTCTTGCATTTCGGTTGCGGCGTGTAAGGATGATTCAATATCAGGTATCGCATCAAACGGACAAAGACAAAAAAATATCCAAGTCCGAGTCTTTCTTTTTAATTAATGCTGGGTGAATGATGCATGCCACGATAATGCCACTACTATACCGTAGAGGGAATGTAAAATACCGAATCATGGCCTTTTCTGTAGGAGATGAAGTATTGAACAGCCAATTTGTATTGCTATTTTTGTCTACAGCGAATCTGTCCCCGTGGATGTCTCCGGCGGTTACCCTGCAAGAAAATTTGCACCATCACTTTCGCCGATTTTACTGAAAATGTAAGCATTGCAGCAATTGAACTACAAAATTGGCAAATACCGTCTTCAAGTTTATCTTCTCAAATTTTATTATACAGTATTAGTCCTCCATGATTTGTTTTGCGGGTGATATGATTTAACGTGCATTTTCTCTTCAACACATCAGTCCCACTACTTCACCCCAGTCAACTCTAACCAAGCACATCCAAAATAGTTCACTTCACACAACACTTATACAAATTATATCAAACCAACAACTTTTATTTATTCAACAGCACGAAAGAAAAGCGTTTATTACGTACGAGCAAAAAGAAGCACCCACAGCCATTCAGATGCTCAAAAAAATAGATACAGGCAAAAACCGAAAAAAAAAAAGGCCTTCCGCCCTCTTCTCCCCCCTCACACAAATATGCCCCCCTCCCTCCCCTACCATTCGCATACCTTTGAATGTGTTTGTACAAAAACAAAGATGAGGAAAAAAAAAACTAAAAACACACAGAAAATGAAGAATGCGCAATAAAAGGAAAATTGCAAATCGAAAAAAAGGCAAAAAAAGACATCAAAACATTTCCCCCTGTATAGCCGTCACTATGAGGAGGCCACCAACGCCGGACGGACCAATTGGGTTCAAATGCCCCATGATAAGCTGGTCCGAATGCCAATCCAGGAAAAAAAGAGAAAACAAGAGAAAAAAAAAAGAGACCGATGTCCAAGTGCATCGTAGTCGTAGTTGAAACATCCCACCGCCGTATATGTGGTCCTCTTTTTTTTCTGAAATGATCAAACTGTGTCCACCCCCCTTTTTTTGTTGATTAAAGTGTTGAGAGCCCGTTTCATTCGTGCAAGTCGTCTTTGCCAATTTTTCTTCATCGGCAATACACAAAACACTCCTGTCGTCCAAGTATGATACATGAATCGGCATCGCGGGAAATAAAAAAACCTTTCTGCTATTGGAAAGGCGATAATAAGATCGTACAGTCAAGCTGCTGTATATTTGATCGGGCCTTGTTGATTCATAAGGCAGCCACATGTTTGGCTTTCTGCTAGATTAGATGGAGTTTTTAAGATGAGGGGTATGGGTATCCCATTCCGTGCATATGTTGTTGCGGCTGCTGAGGATTAAACGGTGGCGGCATTGGAGTCTGCTCGACCGGTTCCTTCTTGGCCGACTTCACCTTGGGCTTCGGAGCGATAAGTCCAACCCTCTGCTCGGCCGCTGCCTGCGCGGCCTTTTTAGCAGCGAGGGTTGCCTTTCGCTTCTCGACAGCACCAGCCATGTTGCCATTTGCCCAGCGACCTGGAATACATTGTTAGAGAGTTGAACAAGAACAAGAAAAAGAGATATCGTTCTCTTTGATGATGTTAGATACTTACTCTTCATGGATGCCGACATCTTCTCGGATTTGGTCATAGACTTGTAATCCTTTTGCGGCTCCTCTGCTTCCTCGCCATTGGGAAGTGACGATGGCGTTCCCTTGCGGCTCGCGGGTGTATTTCGAACCACCTTGATCTTCTGAATCTTGCGATTGTTGACGCCTGCGAGCGTGTCTGGGTCGAGCATTTCCGTAGGAGCAAAATCCTCTTCGACTCCGAGTGGGGCGCCGCCGCTGGTACGCTTGTTCCTCTTCTTGATAGGGCCCTGCGCGGCCTCCTCGCTCTCTTCAGCGTCGTCACGGAATCGCTTCTGACGCTTGGGGCGGAACGAATACGACGACTCGGCCGTGTGTGAGGTCGAGTCCGAGTCGGCAGTCGAGGGTCGCGAGTCACCATTATCCGTAATTTCTGAAGACGGTTCGCTAATGTTCTTGCCTTTGGGGATCTTGAGAGTCAAGAGATGGCGACGCCTTGGCGGCTTCTCTTCCATCTGAGGCTCTTCCTCGACGAATTGGTAACCCAAAGACTCTTCGTCATACTTGATGGGTTGCTTAACACGCGCTTTACGGCCTGACCTTGGCGTGTCGCGGACAGAGGGTTCCTCGCTGAGGGGAGTAGAGACGAGCTCTTCGACAATGCTGGGGACAGTCATCTTGGGTCGTGTTGTACGATTGCGCCTTCTCTTTGTTTCGCCAGCCTCTTCGTCTGAGAGGATGGGTTCGCTATTGAAGCTGGCGCCGAAACCATACTGACCATCATCGTTATCGCCATTAGCCGTCTTGCGGCGTCGAGGCCTGCCAGTGGGAACAGGAGTCGAGCTGCGGCTGATGTCCTGAGTTGCCGGATCGAATAACTGCACGGGCTTGCGTTGTCTCTTGCCAGTGACTTCGTCTGCCTCGGTAGCCTTGGCTGTGGGCTTTGGCTGGTTGCGTAGTGAGCGACCGCGGGTCATGATTCCTGCTTGCTGTGTCTCCGGATTCTGGCGGCCAATCTTGGATGGATGAGGGTCATACTCAAATCCATAAGCGGCTGCCATGATTCTATCTTGGTTCTGGAGGTAGCGAGTCTCGGTCATGCCTTCTCTGTCCTTGGATCTGTATCCCTTGACGACAAACTCGGGCTCCTCGTAGTTGACGCCGTGCTGATGGAAGTTGCGTGTTCTAGACTCATATTTGATGTCCGCTACGCGTCTGCGAAGAGAATTCTCATAATCGTCGACAATCTTGCCGAGACCAGTCCATTCGGTTTGCCATTGAAAAAGGGAAACATTGATGGATTCCAAAACCTCGAATAGCTCGGCTGTAGACATGTCCTCATAGTTCTCAATGGCGGAGAGGTATTCTTCAGGATTCCTTAGCTTGCGGTAGCGGAATGATCGGCTTCGCTCAGTAGGCTCTTCGGAAACATCCACATCGTCGCCGTCATCTCCGCCAGCAGCTGGGGAATTGGAAGCAGTTGGGTCAATTGAGTCGGGAGCAGGAGAGCCTCGCAAAGGTGTGTTGAGAGCGGGTGTAGGTGCCTCAATTCCAGTTGCATCGTCGTTGTCATCAACCATTGGCTCCATGTCATTTGTCTCGCGGTCATCCGCAGTTTGCTCTTCGCTGGTGGCCACCTCATCTTCCTGCTGTGCCTTTCTTTCAGGATATGAGACATACTCTCCATCAATGTAAGGAGTCAAGTGAGCCCAGCGACCAACAGGTTTGGGCTGTGGCTTGAATGGACCTCGCTCAGAGGGCTGCGTTGATGTAATCTGGGCTGCAGGCTTCACTTGCACCTCTTGAACATGGATTTCTGGCAATGCTGGGGCGACAGAAGCATCGTCTTCTGGTATTGGCGCCGGCAGCTCGACAGATTTCACGTCCACACTTGTAACCTGAGAGTCTTCTAGGATTGTGGAGTCGAAAGTAGATGTTGATGGAGATGCTGGTGTGCTGGCGACTGTAGCTGAAATTGCGACAGGGGGAGGAGGACTGGATGCCTTGGACTCTGGCTCTGGGGACTGTTGCTTCGGTGTTTCCTGTGCTTGGGGCTCGGGCTGTTGTACCAATGGGGCAGAAACCGTAAACAAGTGTGCAGCAGCCGAAGGATAATATGGCAGCTCCTGTGATGGAGGTTGTGGTTTAGACTCGGACTGAGCATCCATATTGCTGTCCCGTGTCTCCTCAAGGCTGTCTTGAAGAATTTCCTTTTCGGGAAGTTGGAGAGGCGGCTTAACTGATACCGTATCTTCAGCGGGTGTCACCTCGGCAGTGCGTGATGCAGGCGGTGGAGGCGAGGACTGGGAAGGCGATTGACGAGGCTGTGAGTCTTGCTCATGTTTCTCAGCAGATTGTTCCAAGTTGTTGTTGTTGTTGTCGGCATTCTTGTTGTTGTTAGGTGGAGACGGATGAGCGCCATCTTGTGTAGCTGTATCCGAAGTGGCGTCGTGAGCTTGTTGAATTTTGAGTTGTGGCTCAGCCGCAGTCTCAAGAGCGTTTGAGGCTGGTGCCGTGGTGTCGTGTGGCGAGTGCAGTCGCGCACGGCCAGCCTCAGAATGAGAGTGAGACTCGCCTTCGGGCTTGATATCAGAGAATTCAGTGATTTCAGCGGGGGAAGCAACAGAAGTAATGGCTTCTTCAACAGATTCTGCGTGGTTCAGGCGCTGCTCAGCTTCCAGCGGCTGTTCGGCGAGGCCGGCATGACTGAAGCTGCTGTCCTGGCCTGAATGGATGGGTGTAGATTTTTGTGGGCCGACGGAAAGGTCCGTGGATGAAGCATTTGAGTGATCCATGTGAGCGCTGTCGGATTTCTCAGAGTCTGAATAGAGAACGCCGACCTCAATGGTGTCATGGACGGTGTCCTGGACGTCGTTTTCGTCGTCTTCGACGTCGTCCTTGTAGGCCCTCGCCTCGGACATCTTCCTGGAGGGATTGCGGCGCCGGCTGGAGGGCGTGTCAGCGTCAACAGAGGCGCCTCTCCTCTTGAGTCCAGAGCCGTAGAGATCCTCGGAGTCGTAGCTGCTGCTGTCCGGCCTTCGCTTCTTATTGCGGGCTGAGGCGGATGCAGATGCAGAAACGGGGTTTGTAAAGTCAACGTCGTCGTCAATCTGCTCAAAGGTGTAGTCGACACGCGCGCGTTTGCGAAGACTGTGACCGCCCTTTTTGGGGCTTTCATTTTCATAGTCATCATCGGCCATGGCGTAGTCATCCATGGTTTTTGACCTTTTCCTCAGATTGGAGGGCCGGGTTGGTCCTGGGATTGAGAAAGTGAAGGCAGGCTGAAGAGATTTGTTGGCGCGCCGGCCCTGGGGTGCGCCTTGGGGAGTGTTAGTGGCATGCGCCATGATGGGACTGGCAGACGACTGATGGCGCTCAAAAGAAGCGTCCGAAGTAGACGGAGGAGATGCTGATACTCCAAGGGGCTTGCGACGGTTGTTTGTTGCGCGGCGAGCGCGGTCCATGATGCCAGGCCGTTGCAGCCTGTGAGGGAAACAAGTGAGGTTAAAGGGGTGTAAGAGAAGAGGCAATGCAGGGAAGATGTCATCCGCGAAGAGTCGAGGCAGCGATGCCGGGCAAGACGAGCGGGAGAATTGGCTGACAAGCAGCAAGACGAGCAACAAAGAGATGATGAAAGGATAGGGGGTGGATGAAGGGCTCGTGAACTGACGGCGATGAGTTGCTTTGTTATAAAATGAGAGGCGGATCAACGTGACGTGCCGGCACAAGCGAGCAGGTTTTTCGTCGCCGCCAGCAAAACAACAATAGCAATCAACAATCAGCTGCGGCAATGGACGCACATCCGGCACAATAAGAAGACGCAATAGAAGCCGCCGCCAGCTGCTGCGATGATGCCGCAGTGAGCTCGATATCAGAGATTTCTGAGGGCAGCCTTTTTCCACGCTGTCAGTGCAGCTCTCCTTTGGGTTTCGGCTTCGTGGATCGAATAAGCCACCGGCTGTTCTCTCGATTCTCACTGGCTGGCGCCCGCGCCGGTACGTACTGCCCAGGTACAGATTCTACCGCCGCGGTACGAATGGGCCTCAGCGCGGCGTGCAGCCTCGCCAAGTACCCACATGTACCAGTACGGTATCACTTGAGCGCACCGCTGGGGCCGTGTACTTTTACGGAGTCATACCTCTGGCAACCTTATTCCATCTTGTTCCATTTTCGCCCCCTTCCAGGCCCAGATTACACTCATTATAAAGTAAAGTCATCGACATGTCACGTATTAATCTTAAATCCCCTCACCAAAAGGTTTCTCTATTTCATCACCCAGAACTCCAGGACTCCATCCATCTCATCGCGGGTAAACAGTTTTGTTTGGGGACGTTTCCTAGGCTTGTTCCGGCCTGGCGCGCGTCTCACAAACGAGCATCAGGCCCTGCTCTCGCCTGTAGCCGTAGGGCATGCTTGAGGGTTTTAGTGCTTCATCGACTTATACAAGATGGGCACCTAAGGTAGCAACGCTGGGCTGCTTCATCACCAAAGACCAAGGCCCGCTGTGGCTTGTGTTCTGATACGCAGCGTAAGCTGAGCACCTTGGTGGTACTGCCTACTGCTAACCTTCTATTAATGGGACCTGTAGGATTGATCCTGCGGCTGTGTGCATTACATAACTACTCCGTGGTAGACTATTATCTAGACCAGATATGACGCTTCAATCCTTCATAGATGCGTTGTCAATTTTTGTAGGCAGGGCGGGCAACTTACATGCACTTTACTGTCCAACTCTCAATACCTCACAGGCAACTGCCTCATGTTGCTACAAGTACCGCTACATTCCCGCTACCAAAAGCGGCACCTCGCCCTCGGTCACAACACACACCGCGTGACAATGACACATGTACTTTGACCACCTGCAGATGTCAACACCACACAACGCATCCAGATTTGTGCCCGTACTCGTCCAGGTACCCACAGCCAAAGATACTTTTGACTGCAACAGGGCGAGTCTGCGCTAAACCAACTGCAGGCCCGCTGAATCTGAATCTGCTGCTGCCTTGCACATGTTTTCCGTACCTAATAACTCGCTCCTAGGTACTGAGGTTCCCAGATGGCCGCTTTTAATCATTTGATCCCATCTCTCTGCTCACTCTCCGCTCACTTTCAACAACACCATCCCATTGCTGCTTGAATCATCGTAAACATTTCTCCGTGCCTCATCAAACTGTGCAAACAAACTCTGTTGTTTGATATTTAGCAGTACTTTGTGCAATACGACCTCTTGTATGTAAGCTGCTGGAATGCGCCTACATTTGCTGACCATCCCCCAAGCTTCTTTTTATATCGACCTGCAATCGCTACCCCACCACTGCATACCGCGCTACTCCGTATTCCAACCAGAAACAGAGCATAGCTGAAGTACCAACCAAACAATCAATCAATCACAAACACCTGCATCACCAACGTCAGCAACATCTCCCGTCATAGCATCCGGATATCGCCAGCCATCAGCTCTTCTTATAATCCCGCCATGGCCTCCAAAAAGTCCAAGGCGGCGCCTGCCGACGACAATCTCGACGAGCTCTTCTCGGGCATTGGCGACGAATCCAAGGCCAAGAAGCCATCCAAGAAGCCGACATCTGCTGCCGCCAAGGCCATTGGCAACGACGATATCCTCGCCGACCTCGAATCCGAGCTTGCTCCCTCGCCTGCGTCTCGCCCGCACACGCCTCGTCTCAAGGAGACCATCGCCCGACGCTCAACGGCTACTCCTCCTGCCGGCGACGAAAAGGCAGCCGCTGCGCGCAAGTCCACCGACAGCTCCAGGAGCCTTCGGGCCAGCTTCACTCCGAGCGCCACGAGCTCCGAGCTCCATGAATCAGAGAAGAGGGCCGCCGAACAGGCGCAGCCCCAGCAGTCTGGAGGCGGCTGGTGGGGTGGCATTCTGTCGACTGCGACCGGCGTCATGAAGCAGGCCGAGGCTGCCTACAACCAGATTCAGCAGAACGAAGAAGCTCAGAAGTGGGCAGAACAGGTCAAGGGCCTTAGAAGCGGTATTGATGTCAACACACTGAGGAGCTATGGTAAGTCTTGAGCTTCATCCTTTATCCTCGACGCAAGCTTCAATGTGTCTAGCTAACACTCTGGCTTCAAGGCGACGAGCTTCGCAACCGAGCTCTACCAACTTTATCCAACATTATCAACACCATCGCACCCCCTATCGGCTCCCACGAACGCCTTCTCATTCACATCACCCACGACATGGTTGGATACCCCTCTCTTGACCCTCTGATCTACGAAGTCTTCTCCGACGTCATGCAGCAGGTGGAAGGCGGTGAGCTCAAGGTTGTCCAGAGGGGTCACGAAAGCGGCGGCCCGCGATCTCACGACAACGCCGCTGGCTGGGACGATGGCCCTTGGTGGAGACAAGTTGACCAGGCTCGCGAGCTGGGCGTGGTGAAGGGCCTTGTTGAAGGCACCAAGCTTTGCCGCGTCAATGCAGAGTCATATGCAACCGAGTACTTTGCCACAAAGGGAGGCGTCGAAGCCGTCAAGACAGAAGCGAGGTCGGGCATCACCGAGCCTGGTTCCGTTCGGACGTCGGACTTGTTCCTGTCTGTCCAAGCCATTGTCAATGACCACGACAAGGCCCTTTTCGGTCGAACTGCAGCGGCCGCAAAGGAGAAGGAGTCTGAGGATGCCGAGGAGGAAAACGAAGAAGAGTTCCGCTTCGCCATTTTCATTATTGACCCGGTTCACGAGATCGAATACGGCACTACTAGCCAGCCTATTCCCGCCAAGTGGGCTCGCTGGCTCGAGGCTCCTCGTCCCATGACTCCTCAGTCGGGAGACGACGTTCCTGGATCTCTGCATAACCGCGTCCATGAGGATATCCGAAGCATTGTCGAGACGGGTGAGCTCGACCCCAGGGAGTGGGTGGCGGCTTGGATAAAGGAGTCTCTTGTGCTCTCTGCTGGCATTGTTGCCCAGTGGTATGTTGCTAGACGCATGCAAGTTGGTGTGAACCACGCCAGAGCGAGTGCTGAAGAGGAGGACGATGACGAGGAAGAGGAGGAGGAATCTGATGATGATACCGAGTAAATGATACACCGCCGTAGGCTTTTTGATAATTCTGGACAATATATGTGAAACATTCTTACTATATCTTTTGGGGCTTGTGCTGTGAGTTGATGCAATTATACCTATAAAATCATGACGCTCCTGCGCCCAGTATTCTTATTCTCCAAATTTACTCTATTCAATAGGCAGTCTATAAAGTCTCTCTAATATTCGGCCGACTTCTATGTCTACTCGCTGCCAAGTTCTGCACCCCGTGTTTTCCTTCTCCTCACCATCCTGTGCTACAGTCCAGGCATGGCCTTTCCAAGCTCTCCCTTGGCCGCCCTCGTCGCGTCCTCCATCTTGACGAGCCTCAGCGGGCGATACTCTGGGTTCCACATCTGCTCCTTAATCCACTCTTCAAGATCACCGTCGTCAGAAGGGATGTTCTTTTCCGTCGCTACACCTTCCTCCACGGCCGCCTTGATCACGCTCTTTGCAACTTGGACGCTGACGGGTCTTACTTCTTCTACATCTGGTAGGAGAGTTGCTGTCGGATCTTTGAGTGTTGGGCTGAGTGCCGCGACACCTTGAACTGCCGCAACGAGCATGCGGTCGGTGAGCAACTTTGCGCGGCTAAGAATGCAACCAAGTCCAATACCAGGGAAAACCACCGAGTTGTTGCACTCGGCAATCTCAATCGTGATATCGCCCCCGTCCTTACCCCAGGGGCCAGTGACGGGATCGAAAGGAGACCCTGTTGCGACCAGCGCCTGGCCATTGGTCCACTTGAGCAGATCGGCCGGTTTTGCCTCATGAAGCCGCGTCGGATTGGAGAGCGGGAAGATGATTGGGCGTGGGCAGTTTTCGTGCATGGCCTTGACGATCTCTTCCGTAAATGCCCCGGGCACGGTAGATGTTCCAATGAGAATGTTGGGTTTCACCTGCTTGACGACTGAAAGGAGGGTGGTGTTATCGCTCCATTCAGAGGCGTCTTTGATGTACATCTTTTGGGCGTCTGAGACATCGACTTTTGACGTTAGGAGGCCGGGCTTGTCAATCAACCTATGTTGTAAAGCATTAGCAAAATTGTATTTTTCCCTGGATAACGGAGTACTGATCCATAATATGGACGACTGCTCTTACCAAATCTGCTGCGAAGCCTTCTCGTGGTTAATGTTCATTTCTGCAGCAATAGCATCTCTGACTTGATCTGCAATACCAACTCCAGCGCTTCCCGCACCAAAAATGACCATGCGAGAGTCGCTGAGTTTCTGCCCACTGGCATGGAGAGCAGCCATGATGGCAGCAAGGGTCACACAACCTGTTCCTTGGACATCGTCATTGAAGCAGGCAATCTTGGGACGGTACAGTTCTAGTAGACGTCGAGCTGTATTACAAATTAGTATTTGTAAAGCTAAAGCCTAGGAATTGGGGAATATACCATTCCTGAGACCAAAGTCCTCAAAATGGATGTAAGCTCGCGGGTACAGCTTTCGAGCAGCTTCGACAAAGGTCTGGACGAAATCGTCATATTGTTTGCCCCTTACCCGACGCTGATGGAGACCGAGATAGAGTTCATCGTTAAGTAGATCTTCATTGTCTGTACCGCAGTCCATGACTACCGGGAGAGTTCGGTTAGGATGAACACCAGCGCAGAGGGACGCAAGAGTCAGCTTTGCTCCCGATATGAGAATGCCGCCAACGCCCTAGTGGATGAAGAAAGGTTAATCAAATAAAAGCGAACTTATTTCGGCATTCATGATAGAGTTAAGACAAACCTGGTCGCCTATTCCAAGGATTTCCTCGCCGTCTTAGAGCAACAGTTAGTATGAAACAAGACCGAAGACCAGAAGACAACTATACCTGTCACGCAAATATAGTCGACATCGTCTGCGGTTCCCCAAAGGGCAAGATCTTGCTCCACATTCTCGGGATGGGTGATATCCAAGAAACAACCCTCTGGGCGACGGAAAAGCCTAGAGTAATTCTGAATGGCATCACCCTCGGTTGGAGTATAAACTACGCTGAACATTTCCTTGAGGTGGGTGAGCAGCAGCTTGAAATACAGCACTTCATTCTGGTCCTTCAATGAGGTAAGAAACGTGTTTTTGGCTAGGTCATCACTTCTGGACAGGTATTGCTGATAGGCGCGCTCAACCTGGTGCTCGAGGGACTGCTCGTTTGCTGGAAGCAGTCCGGTGAGGTTGAACTCTCGACGCTCCGATGGCGGAAAGGCAGATCCCTTGTTGAAAATGGGGCTATTGAGAAGTGCCGTTCCGGTGAGAGCGCAATCGAGGGGGCCAATAGTGCTGAGTGGGAGATCTCCAAACTTGACGGAGCCCATGGTGAGAGGGTAAGAGGAGTAGGTTTACAGGGAAACAAAATGGCTGATCTGAGTTATTCAAAAAGCAACAGAAAAGACGATAGGAAAGATTAGGATAGGCTAAAAAGAAATGTTGTTGTCAAGGAACTTGTAAGAATGCTCTCTAGGATATGTAGCAAATGAGGAGAATGACGATGTAAACAGTGGTGTTGAGGTACTTGTACTACCTCATAGCTCAACCACTGTAAGAAATTGGGCGATAAGGCACAGCATCTAATGCGGAGGATAGAGTGGGAGTGACGTAACCGATTATTCCTAGAGGTATCTTTCGATACTCATGCACGCGCTCCCACATTTGGATGTGGGAAGGCGGCACTTCAGGTTTTTGGGGTTCTTAGCTGTGGGCGACGAAAATAGTGCATCATTTCCTGCGGCTTTAAAGATTGGCCGTTATAGCCAGCGAATACGACACCGCATCTGGATAACACGGCAACAGTGTTCCGGATAGTATACAGCACCTTGGATAGTATGCATTTTTACGTTTCTACGAACGCGTTCAGTCACAAGAGGCAAGCAAATGTAGGATCGCTAGGAGCCACACCGAGGTGAGCAGCATTCCCAGAGGGAAGTCAAATCGGCATGGACTATGAAGGTCCATTTGTCTTGCAGCAAAGCAGTAGACGAGATTATCGAGATAACCTCATCTGCAATCGATACGCCAGCCCTTCTAGGCGCAAACGCAAGACGCGCCGCGCAAGGAAGAGAGACTCGTGGAGGGTTTGAGTGGCTGGCATGGATGCGCTGCGATTTCACGCACGAGAAAAAAAAAAAAAGACGAAATCCTACCGTTGGTGCCAACTTGAGCATTTTTCAGACGTGATAGAGTCTTGAGATTTAGATCGGCGTTGAAAACAATGTTCTCTAGAGAGCTTCGTGCATGGCAGCGTCAAGGTGATGCTGCACGTAAGATGAGAAGAAATTTTGTCGAGGAGAAGAGAAAATTCTCAACATGTCCACAGGTGTCATTTTGGCAGGTCCTATCGATTGTGAACCTGTCCGCGTGTGGTTAGTTTAAGCGTTAGAGAATTCAACCGTTTGGGACCTAAAGGTTAGATTCGTACTAGGTATTAACCTACCTAGGCAGTGGAAGATACAGAAAGAGCGCACAAGACGTCTTACGCATATGGAGAAATAGTTCAATAAAGTACTAGGTAGTATAGATAACATTGATAATACACTGGTATTTAACCTTTTTTTCAAATAAAGCTCTAATATCTATAAAAGTGCTGTATGAGAACGGAGAAAAGGGAGCTGGAGATCAATTTGTATTTCGTGACTGCGTTAGCTGCCAGGCGGCTTGACCACACCTTTACCGTACAAATTACAAGCCCGCTATACAGTACAATAGGTAGGTAGGTACTCTGTCACCTTTTGGCGCCTTCCTCCAGATTCTCTATGTGAGCAAATGCTACACTACGTAGCCCCTGCGCACTGCCAATAATACTCTGCCCTACCTTAACTCGCACATCCATCCTCCTCAACCTGTACTACAAACACTTGGCTTAGCACATGTGTGCAACGTCCTAGCCAGACCATCCGTCTCCATGCTCATGCATGGCAGTGGCCTAGGTCATATCGGAAGCATGCTTGATGGCGCCGGGCCGGTTAGTCTACACCACTCGTCGTACCTTAGGGTCTTGCAAGGTACACCACCGTAGGGTCTTGCAAGGTACAATACTAGACTATCGTATGGGTTTTTTTTGGTACCGTATCGGGCTGTGCCAAGATATTATGCATGCATCTTGACTGTCGATCCAATCACAGTCGCCGAAGGTACCTAGTAAACTGGCGGCCACAGCCATTGAGACGTCGTCTTGACTTTCCATTTGCATGGGTGCAATTAAGATCACAATCCAACTCATATCTTAAAAGGAGATGCTTACCCCGAATTGAATGATGCGATAGCCTCTTCTCAGAACACACTTCTTCCCAGGACACACTTCTTCTCAGGACACATCCTCAGATGTCTAATCTCTTAGTCCTGTCTACATCTAGAACCACTTAAGCAAGACAGCTTCTAATTCCGATCCACTACTGCGCAGTACAAATTCCACGATCAGGCGACGCAAAGGCAGTCCAAGAAGTGAAAGCCTGCAAGCCATTCCAGTGCCGAGAATCAAGTCTAGATGATGGATTTGCCTCTACCTGCGTCAGATAAAAATGTTTCCTACATCACAACTCTATGGTCTTCCATTAGATGTTATAGCACTCGCATCCACAACCATGGTGTACAGCTTACTGAAGTGAGCCGCACGTCTGCGGAGTGCGATATGAGTATTCCCTCTTCTCTTGCTAATGATGCTGCTTCAATTACTGAGACGACCATTTTGAGCCCTAATCTTGGGGACAGCAACATCGGCCAATGCAACTGGAAACAAATGCAGGCTCATCTACCTGCATCCGCCCTATCTATATCTTCTTTGCCAGTTTATGACGAACCAAAGACGGACAATGATGGAGACCAAGTTGGAGATATCTTACCTAGTGTCAAGGTTGTTGACAGCAACGCAGCAAAGTGTGACCACCGAGAGCTTTGCCTCGTTCATGCAGCAGCAGCTAAATACAAGTGCGCCACCCAAACACACGGATGTGCCGAGATACGCGTTGGCTGGGATGGTAAAATACCACGCTGGCGCAAAGGCTCTGAACTCAGCTATGTCGTCTGCGTAGAAAGCTTCCCATCCCCTCTCTCGTCCTTGGTGGAAGATTCCATGAAAGCAGCAATTGATATGTGGGGTGGTATTAGTGTGAGATTTAAACAAGTCGCACGCAATGACCCAGCTACGTTTGCTGTTATATACGAAAATCGCAACAGAAACGTCTATGCCTGCTCTTTCTTCCCTAACGACTCATCGCGCGAATTGACTATATACCCACCGAGTCTCCGAGAGCCAAATTACCTAGCCAACATCTTGGCCCACGAAGTTGGTCATATTCTAGGGCTTCGACATGAGTTTGCTCATGAGAGAGAGAAAGGACATGCTTCTGCTCTGTTTGGGAGCGAGAATGCCGATTCGATTATGAACTATTTTGACCACCCAAAACAGCTCCAAGTAAGGGAACAAGATCTCGAAGAGTTAAAACGTTTCTATGCGTATGACAAAACAAAATATGGGAAACTATCTATCCTTGATGTCAATCCAGAGGTATGGTCCTTCAGCAAGATAATGGAGATGAATCATGATACCAATTTGCTTCCTGAACTGCGTTAATAAGACAGCAGACATTCCCTTCTTCTTGGCCTTCCAGTAGCCCTCCAGTATCTTCTATTGCTTCAACCGCCGTTGATGAACAATATGGACCAACCTGTCCATATTTGTATTGGTTCGGCGTCAGCACCACGATGCAGCATAGAGCCGACACCCTTGTCTTCCTATTCCTTATGCTCTTCACGGTATCGGTGATAATCGGTGCTACTTTATTTCTTCTTTTGCAATTGCCTAGCTCTTCTTTTCTTTTCTGTTAGGGTGATGTAGCGCTTGGCTACTTGATCGGATATGGCGATGATTGGATTATTGGTTGACGGATCCTCCTCTTTCCCCTTCTTTTCTTTTTTTTCTTCTTTATGCCCCTTTCTTTTCGGTTTAGTAATAGATTGATAGAACCGCGAATAATAGTAGAACCGTGGATTATAGCTTGGATAGGAAAAAGATTGTGAAAAATCTCGCCGCTTTTCTCAGGGCGGTACGGGCGTTTTATAGACTGCGAGCCTTGATCCTGTATCTGCACGTGCTTGCATGATTGGCCCCCCATCTGCGAGGCAAAAGTGAGTACTGCGTAAGTGAAGTAGCTATGTATGTGCATGTAAGGTAGTTTTGCTTCTGTTGTACCTACCACACACCTGGACCCTCACTGTTCCTGGCATCCTCGTAAGAGGTAAATTGGGGGGGGGGTTTGCTATCGATGCCATCAACAATATCGACATATAAGTTACTATGATGAAGCACTACGGCGATATAAAACACCCATCATCAGCTCTACAAGCGCGGGATGAAGGGGAAATGCCACCGAAATTGCAATCGTCGACCGCGAAGCGCGTGGTGGCTCAGAATTGTACGCTTAGTCTGCTATCAAAGACGTTTCTCAGATACATATGTACTTGCTTTGCCTTGCCTGCCAAGTGGAGGTCAGAAAAGGCGAGGCCGTAAAATAGGGACCTAAAAAAGTATATACACTTAGCAACGTACTGTCCTTCCATCGCGGCAGCATTCTCTTAATATACCATCTCGTCATATTCGCAATATCTCTGGCTTTATTACGAACCGCCTGGGTCTTCAAGCTCTCGATGTACTGGAGCTCCTCAAGTTGGTCTATAATGAGGCAACTGCTAAAAATATATAACTATACTAGCAGTTACCAAGGAAATATAGATATAGTAACAGCTATTAAAGAAATATAAATATAGTAGTAAATATTAAAAGATATATAGCTATAGTAGCAGATATTTGAAGATCTGGTGTATTACTTAACATGTGGCTGTTCGAAATCTTATCGGTCTGGATTTTTCTGTCCCCCGCTTGCCAGCTTACAAGGCAGAATTTGTAGCTGGTGGGAATAATTAAGTGCTTGTAAACAGCACTATTACATACCCGCATTAGTGAGGCTGTGTAAATAACTACATACCTACCTTGAGTGGGTGGTTTGTTTGTCCGCGATTTGCGGTTTGGGTTTGGAGGTCGGTGATTCGCGGTCGGTGTCCAGCGCAGTTAGGACTCGGTGGTAGTTGACGAGTTCGTTGGCGCAAGGGTTCAGGTCTTTCTACCGGCGACAACATCGGCTTTCCGTGCTTTGTCTGTTTGTTTGTCTGTGTGTTCTCTATTAACGATACTGCTGATAAAGTATCATAATCCAGCCCCTTGAGGGTAAAGAGATCTGCCCTAGGTACTATAGCTAATAGTGTTTTGCACGGATGACCAAAACACGTATCCATAAAGAGCTATTCCAGGCACGCTGACTGATAAGTGAGAACGGATTAAAGGATTAAAGAAAACTTGGGGGAAAACAGCTCTGGGAAAGAAAAAACCCTGATAGCACACAACCAAAGAGAATGTACTCGAATGTCGTACCCGTACCTGGAGCTGCGAATGCGACGACACGATGCTTGCGGTTCTTATTGTACGAGTACGAGTAATTCGGCACATACGGGGTATTAGTGAGCTTCAGAATGGAAATGCTCCTTTCATCCCCCACAAGCAGTACTACATCCGTGGATTTCCCCGACCCAAGATATCCGGAGAGTTGCTTAAACAAACTTGAATTGATACGATTTCCCGGTCGGAAATTTCTCTGGTATAAATTCTCCTGCTGGAGATACCCGCCCGCAAGATAGAGTACCTAGATATAAATCCAGAGTGTCCCGCAAGAAAGTGTACTTCGCATTTTGAGTTGCAAGAACGAACCGGGAAGAATCACCAAAGGCTGGAAACAATGAGAGGCCCAGCCTGCTGATGCAACGGCAGCAGCCGCAAGGTTATGGTGGCTACTGGAAAGCCGCTTAAACTGTTCTCAGCATGTGATGAGACGCTTCGTTCATGACGTGGCTCCATCAAGAACGCGATCCTCTGTTCCGGTCTACCCAGAAGAGTGCAAAAGACCGAGAAGAGGAATTTTACTGAGAAAAGAGGGGAGAACAAAGGACGCTTAGCGCAGTAGGTAGGCTCAGCCGCTTGCAATTCGTCGTCATTGGATGTGTCGGGGAGCTTCGGTATCAGTGGGTGGCCTGGCGTCTTCGGAACTCGATATCGCTAAGGCGCAACAAACGCTTTGTCTAGGTACAGCTGAACGACCCGGGATTGCGGAAGGCAAAAAGAACGTTTCGGGCAAGGCTGACGAGATTGGCCTGTAATCAACAAGAGCCCACGGCAGAGTCAACAATTTTTAGCTGATATTCTCACTCTTGGTGTAGAGACCGCCTCTCCGTGGAATGACGGTGATAAGGGCATCAGTCTATTTAGCAACGCGTTGATAGAGGTTATTCACATCGTCGGTCTGGCGCTGCGTGCATCTAGACGGATAGTATCACGGGCCTTGATACTGTACATGTACCAGCCGGCTAATTTGACTGTCGGTAATAGCAATAGGCAGCCGCAGGATAGACCGATGATGTCAAGCATGTGTTGGCGGTGGGCGGCATCTTTCGGCAAAATTGCAAAAGATCCATGGATGCCAGGTATAGTCTATTCGTGTTTTATACCTGAAGACTGAAGTCAGTCGCCGCCAGTAGCCGGTCAGCACTTGGGAGGGCCGATCCAAACCAGAGCATGGAGTATTTGTTCCCGTACAATGGTATTAGGGTGGGGCTGAACAAAGCCCGAGGAGCCCGATCCAATCCCGCAGCGACGCGCATGTAAGAGGTGTGGGAAAGTGTCACTATATTGGCTGTAAGTTGGGTCAACAAATTGCAGCTCGACGATATAGGGATTGGTACTACCTTAAGTAATGTATATTTAAATACTAGGTAGTCGCAGATCCTTAAGCACTAAAAGGTACCTAGCTTCCCCGCGACGAGATAGCCGAGCACGGAGTACGGAGTGCACTCCATTTTTAGCACAGGTATGGAGAGCTACCTACAGTCCCATTGACCCGAAGCTCCCGTCGGAGGTTAGTACCTGGTCCTGGCCGAGGCCGATCAGTGCAGCGAGAAGATTACATACGTGTAAAGTAATACCACAAGGTCTTTCTTCTTTACGATTACGGAAAACTCGTGGGGCTGACTGGGCGTTGACGTTTGCCACTGCTGCCCCCTGGAGATCCAGGAACGGTTGATCTGGAGCTTCAAGGCTATTAAGGCGGGCGCTTAGTCCCAGCCACTGTGGACCGACCGCAGTGCTGGGATGCCTTAATACAGGTAGTAGTTGGTAGGTAGGCATCTGCCAAGGTAGTATCTATGCAGTACGGAGTAGTCCAAATCGCGATAGGATGGTTGATGCGTTGTCCATGATATGATTAGATCAGGTGCTCAACGCTCTGTCCTCATCAGGTAGACGGGTGCGAAAGGGATTGAGAATATTAGCACTGTCGAACAGGCAGCGGCTTCCTGGTCTGACAAATTGCGGTAGAACAGTAGACAAAGTTGGTGTGATGAATAAAACTCGACTCGGCGTTTTCCCCGGCCACGAGTGTATTCGTATGACGAAATGAGCGGAAAGAGAAAGAGGCATCGATAACACGTGCGCTACGGCTGCAAGGACCGGACGAACTTTGTCATTGAAGCTTGAAGCGTTGCCAAGGTGCGATGCCCCCAGCCAACCAGTCTGCATACGTTCATAGCCTCGTGTTTTACTGAGCACTTCTCCACGCCAGCAGCTCCATCGGGGACCCCTAGTGGGGATCCCCAGCCCACGTCACTGGAGCGCGGCTGAGACTCTCTGGGTTCAGCAAATACTCCGTCGTAGGAGGGTGAAGCTTGCCTCTTCGCTCCAACGCTCGCAGGGAGTACCTCAGTGGTAGCGCCGTCTCGGCATGTCTTGTATGCGTCTTCAGCTGCCTAGCCCTATCTACTTGCATCCATGAGTGTATCTCAACGGTTAGCGAAGTATCTTCTGCTAAGAAGTTGATAGAGCTCAGCGCCTGAGCAACTTACGGAAGCAGAGGAACAATGAGCCATAGTACCAAGTCTGTTACAATGGGGGAAGCGTGCCAGTCACATGGCATCAGGTCCATGGGGGTTGTTTGGGGGATGCGTTACATAACCTGGTTCAATCACATGTGTCACCGTATAAAATACTAGCCATATCATCTATTTTGGTTCTGCCGTCCTGTGCTTTCCAACAGATGCGTCTCAATCCGGCACCTTGCTGTTGCTCCAATCAGCCAACCCATCTCAATTCGATCAACCACAACTACCTAGGTACGCTGTACAAGAGCCTCCGCGCCATCTCGAACCATGGAGTCTCCAACCATGGAGCAAATGTCTGGCGTCATGCGAGATACTTCTCAGCCATGGGCATTAGGTTATCGCCAGAAGAACAACAGTGTCAATGATATTGGAAAAGACTACAATGTCAAAGACCTTGATGAAGCCAGTCGCTCATCCTCAGCAGAGGGCAAGAGCATCTCGACTCATACTACTGACCGTAGTGATGCATCAACTGTTGCAACGAGCATCACCACAGACCTCGACGCCGTCGACAGAAACGCCGATCGTTCCAGCAACAACGCGAATAAAACCGCCGTTGCGCATATACTCCCACTGCCTTCATGTTTGCTTGATGGGCCGACTAAGAGCGAAGCTACGCTACGTTACGATCGGGAACTAATGATTGACGATGAGGAAAGAGACAAAGCTGAAAATGCTTCGCCTGGTGTCGCTTCGTCTGGTGCCACCAATGCTAGTGCTACCAACACTGCAGTAGCACACGCCAAGCGTACATGTCTCACCCAACCACACGGGTGTGCTGAGGTGCGCGTTGGTTTTGGCGGCGAAATACCACGTTGGCGCAAGGGCTCCGTACTCTCCTACGTCGTCTGCGGAGAGGATTTCCCACCCAGTCTCTCGATAGAAGAAGCTATGGCAGTAGCAGTCAATAAGTGGCAGAATATTGGGGCGACCTTTAAACAAGTTGGCCGCAATGATCCAGCCACGTTCGTCGTCACCTATCAGAACGGGAACCCACCAGTCTATGCAAGGGCCTTTCTCCCGAATGAAACGCTACGCGAGTTGACCGTCTATGAACACACTCTTCAAGCGGCCGAATACCTAGCTGGTATCCTGTCCCACGAACTTGGCCATATTCTAGGCCTTCGGCATGAATTTGCCCATAGGCGTGACGAAGGAAGGGACCATCGCTCCGTTCTTGTTGGGAGCGAGAATCCCCAGTCAGTTATGAACTACTTCGACGATCCGAAAGATTTCCAAGTTCAAGAACGAGACCTTGAAGAACTCAGGCGCTTCTATGAAGACGATAGGGTTGAGTACGAGGGGCTTGTCATACGTGACATCGATCCAGAGGTAAGGCCTTTCGGCAAAGACGATGAGCCGACGAATCCGATCGTCGGCTTTGTCACTGAATTGCGCTGATAATTTTGACAGGATCAGCTCTTTTTCGCGTCTTCTGGCAGCGACCTAGCATCTTCTGTCACTTCGGCTGCCATTGAGATCACACACCCACCAGCTTGCCCGTTCCTGCATTGGCCCAACGTTAAAACCGTGATGCTCCATATGATAGTCATCCTCATCCTGCTCTTTCTTTTGTATATTGTTGGCTTACTCTCTTAGAGCGGTTTGGCGGTTCTGGGCGTACTGCTCGTGCACCCACTGAGTCTCGGAGGGCAATAAAACGACCTAGCCAACATCTTGGCCCACGGAATCGGTCATATTCTAGGCCTTCGACACGAGTACCCTTCTATTCCTATTGGAATAGAGAATCGGCGTCCTTCTCTTTCTAATCCCCAGTGTTTCAATGGTATTAGCGATGACTGGTGTTTCTTTAATTCTTCCTTTATACTTGGCACCCTCTTCTTTTCTTTTGTTATATTGCGATGTGGCGCTTGGCGCCAGACCAGGACGGTTACATATACTTGGACAGTGAAATGACTAGATGGTGAGAATTTGACTCTAGATTGACAGGTATTTCATTTTTTGGAATTTTCTTTTAATTAGTGAATAAATCAATGAGAGTACAGATGACGGCTTGACTGGAGAAAGAAAGTTCGTGGAAAATCTCGTTGTGCGCATACATGGGGCCTCGAGCTGGCCCTGCTTCTGCTGTGCCTGGTAACACATGGACGACCATCACTGTTCGTGAAACCGTGGAAAGAAGATGCCAGTGAATCAGATTTTCATATATCTTTTGAACTGTTCCTAGGATACTATGTTGCCCGTCATCAGAGCGGGATGCAAAGGACATCCCCCCAAGATTGTAATCGGCGACATCGGAACGAGTGCCTCGGTAATGACGACGGACTATCACATGCTTCTCTTGGCTTCACCGAGAGTGCTTCTCATTCGCTACCGCTCTTGCTGTGATGCTTGGTACCTGTTGGTTGTAAGGTACTGAGCACCGGAAGGGTACTCCAAGTCTGGCGGCTCTGCCGATGTTTTCACTCTCAGGGCAGAGAATACCTCTCCTCGTGATGGCGTTGATAACGAGACTACTGAATCCTTTAGTGACGTGTTCATAGAGCCTACATGTGCATGTACACATCCTCGGTCTAGCGCCGCTGTCATCTGGAGTGGGTGGTATCGCGGGTCCTAAAGGTGTTACTCCGAATCTAAGATACAGTGTAACCCCTGAGAAAAAGAAGAAGAAAAAAAGGAATAAAAAGAAAACCGGGTGTGCTGCACGAGTCTCTTGATTTGATTGTCAATAATAGCAACAGCCATCAGGAGGCGATACCAGTGATAGTAATTGGTAATTACATATAGTGTTGGGGGGCACGGCTATGTGGAGAGAGTGCCTGCAGAGATGCCTATATGGCTACAGCACGTCCATTGGATCGGGTGCTCCCTCCCGTTCCCTCCCGCTCATTACCGAGTGCTAGTATTTCTCCGCCTATCGTGAGGAGAGCAAATTTATGTACACGTAAGAGGCTCGAGAAGATGCGTCAACACATTGCCAACTGTAACTTACAGTAACAAAGTAGATTGTAGTTCGGTTGGTGGATCAAAAATGGAGACAATCTCGATGTTAGCCATTTTTAACCTCGGCGGCTCACGGATACCGAGATTTAGCAGCTGGGGAAGCGTGCTGTCTAAGACAGCGATCACTTTAGTAGTCTCACACTAGGAAACTTCCCCGGTGTCAGTGTCAAGATACCCGAATACGATCTCCCCTGTCGGACAAAATAGTTCATAGGGCTGATCACTTCACAAAAGACATTATCAGTGGGAAAACACGATAAGCAAAGAAGCCCGGCGGAAAGCTGGCCTAGTAGACTTGACACTTTAGTTCGCAAGGCTCCGTTTTCTGAAGAGTGCAAAAGAGACAGACATGGTAGGTATATTACCCGAGAAAACGCGAGCGCGAGAACAAACATATGCAAAGCACAATGGATTCAGCTTCTGCACGCATTTGCGTCATAGCATGATATCTCATAAAACTGATTGGCGTGATATGGCCTGTGGCCTGAGGTCGCTGCGGTGCCTGTTACCCCATGCAGATGCAGGTCTAGATAGGAATGGCTGGCGACGGACCGGTGTAGGTAAATATGACCAGCTGTACTCAAAGTGACTGGCGTATTATAAGGGTGTGGCCGGGGTTTCAAAGCAAATATTGGTTCGTCCACGTACGAAAAACGTGCCCGCGAACCATCAATCGCGGCTTAAATGGCATGCCGAAGCGACGAGGCCCGCATCATCGCCCAATGGCAGGCAGACACTTCAGAATCAATCCTCGCGCGGATGCTCGCCGGTGCATGATTAAGCGAAATCACTGACATGGCGCGTGTTCCTGCAGGTCTTCGTACATCGTCCATTATCAATATCTACTTGCGAGGATGCGTGTTGCTGAGCGGGCATCAGAGTATCTTAATTAGGAAGTAGACATGGACAATGCCCGAACAACCCACCGGGCTAGAGGAACAGGATCGTGAATTCTATCATCTTACATACCTAGGTAGGCACAGAAAATATTGACCAGTCATAATGGATTCACGGGTAAACCCATCTGACCTCCACGTACGGAGTTACGAATAAATAAGGCGAAATAGTTTCCCCAGCCTCAATCATGCCTCAGTTTTTTATTATCGCGCCATCATCCGCATTGTATTCTGTATTGGCTCTATGGCCCCGACAGACCAAGGACCGACTGACAAAGGAAGATAACATCTGGTTCCAGTACGCTGTTGCTCCATCCACTCCAGCCTAGTTCAATTCAATTGGCCACGACTAAGCAGTGCGAGATACTCCAAGTCGCCTCCGATGATGAGTCTAATGATGGTGGGAACGGCTGGTATGACGAGTGTATCCCTCTCTTCACCCGCGATGGGGCTTGATGTCGCGTGTCAGTTAAACCTCTGCTAACCAAACATTTACAGACACTATGCGAGATACCTCTGAGCCATGGGTCTTGGTTAACTACCATGGCAATGACCATGACGATGACATTGGAAAAGAATATAATGGCGCGATATTCCGTGACGCCAGTTGCTCATCCTCGGAAGAGGGGATGAGCGTTTCGACTCGTGCTATTGATCAGGGCGATGCATCGACTGATACGACTAACATCACAGACCTCAGCACTGACGATGGAAACATTGAACATGGCGACAACAACGCATGTAACGCCGCCATTGGACACACCCTCCTACTACCTTGGCTTACTCACACTGAAAGCCCGCTACGCTACGACCTAGAACTAAAGATTGACTATGGAAAAAAAGACGAAGCTGGAGATGAAGTTATAAACGCTTCGTATGGTACCAAAGCTGGTGCCATAAACACGGCTGCAGCTCGTGCCAAACGCAAATGTGCTACACAACCACATGGATGCGCTGCGGTGCGTGTTGGGTGGGACAGTCAAATTCTACGCTGGTGCAAAGGGTCGGAACTTACTTACCTCATTTGTGAAGAAAGCTTCCCTTCAAAGGACTCGGCTATGGCTGCGAAAGACGCTATGAGGGCAGCGATTGCCAGGTGGAAGGGCGAGGGTGCGTCCTTTAAAGAGGTCAAGCGCTACGAGCCCGCTTCATTCGCTGTCATTTACGACCATCGCCAGAGAAGCGATTATCTTGCCTACGCCTTCTTCCCAAGGGCGGAACCTGGCGAATTGCTCTTGTACCCACGAATTTTTGCTGGAGACAATGGAAAATACCTAGCCAACATCTTGAGCCATGAAATTGGCCACGTTCTGGGTCTCCGACATGAATTTGCCCATAAAAAAGAAACAGAAGTCCCTTTTGTTCATTTCGGAAGCGAGGATCCTCAGTCAGTTATGGAATATCACGACGATCTGAGCAAACTTCAAGTTACCGACAAAGACCTCAAAGGTTTAAAGGAGCTTTATGCATACGACCAACCGGTGTACAAAGGACTACCGGTGATCGATGTCTCTCCAAAGCCGGGCACTTTCAGCGAACGCAGCAGTGCCAATTATGAAGCGAAGAAACTAAACCGCCGACTCTCATGCTGAATTCGACTGAAATTACTATTGATCATGGATTTCTTGTTCATCTTGCCGCAGCTCTTGGATCTTGCTTGGACTAGGCTGTCGCTGCATGGCGTGCATACTAACTTGCCCAAAAGCAAATTGTAATGGCTAAGACAACAGCGCTATATTCACTTATGCTATTTAGATTGTCTAATCTCCCGGTTTCATACATATCTAGTCACAGTTTCATGTTTTGATATATTAGTTGAACATAGGGTTTTGGGTCAACATACTAGGATGGATTCACAAGGATAGGTACACTACGTCAGTGCCTTGATGGTCCAAGAATTTTAACTCTTTCGTTTTTTTTTCTTTCTTAATTGCAATTATTGTACTACCAGATTACCGTTCGAGTTCCTCGTTTCTCTCTCCCACCTGTTTAAAGAAGAGTGAATGCTTCATAGAAGAGTTCTGAGACAGGCAGTATCACCGTTACTGCTGAAGATGAGGACGAACATAAATGCTATACGGTACGGCTCTAAGACTAGCGTGTATGACGTTAGAGGAAGCCGCATTACACGAAAAGGAAATCTCGGAGAAATTACACGAAGAGACCATCAAGCGAGCTGAGGGATGAACGGCAGAGGCAGAACAGTATGAATGGTGCAGCAGATAGAAGGGGAAAAGTGCCGACACATGGATAGGGCGCCCCGAGGGGAAGGCGGAAACTTGGGGGCTAACTGCAAGAAACCATAACAGTAGTAGCCTCATCCGTGACCATATTATCCGCCGTACACGATATGCGCGCTGTGAGCTGAGTTTGAACAGAAGGTGTATACGGAGTATGCACGGCAATGGATACCAAATTTCGTGCTAGGGCGACGGGGTCATGGACAATGTGGATAGCATGCAGTCATTCATGCAGGTGTGCTCGTAGGCGGATGAAACCTATCAGCCCACCGGGGAACCAAGCCGGTGCGGTTGCAATATTTTTCGGGACCAACCAGATTGAAGCGAAGAGTGGTAGCAAAACGAGGCAACATTAGACCTTGGGTGACTGGGCTATTATAAAATAGTCTACGCAGCAGGAGGGGAAATTGTCTTCACGGAGATATCAGTTTAAATTAATTACATATACGGCATCCCAATATAGAACGACACATGTAGTTGTTGGTTTACTAAAATGTGTCGTGGTACACAGGGGCCTAATCTTTCTAGGAGGCAGCTTAACCATTTTTCAGGTGCGGCCCAGTCTAAAATTCAGCCGCTGACACGGGATGAAATGAGCGGTACTCGCGCTTGGATGTGCCAGAGTGCCACATATGTGTCAGCACAGGGTTCAGGGACTTTCGAGCATACACTCCGTAGGGATGTTTGGCTTAATGGTTGCCATGTTGAGTTATCAGTAGGTAGTATGAGTACCTGACGGCACTCCGAACCTCGTTCATGAGACAACAACAACCATGTAAGCATAGGTAGGGTGGCGGCCTAGGAGCCCGAAGGATTTCCTTGAGCCAAATACCCTAGCATAAGGTAGGATTAGGTTACAGGAGTACCTGGGCAAGCTAGAAGCGATTTTATACCCTGTATTTGATCTATCATGATGCTAGAAGCGATTTTACACCCCGGAACTTGCAGCGTCTGCGGCTTGAAACGATTTTGAACCTTGTATTTGATGTATCATG